ATCTTAAATATCGGATCAATAGTCTGTGAGCGTGTCTCACTTTCTTTTATCAACTAGCTCAACTTTCTCTGTCTGCATATATACATTGCACTTCGCATTCCACCCCTTGCTCTGTCTAATATAATTCTGTTTGATATCTTGTATTTATCGGATAAATACAAATGCAAAAATACAGTCTCAATTGTTCGAGTACTAAATCGTTATGAGGCTAATACCACCTCATTGTAACGTAAAAAATAATTAATTTGAACACTGTTCTCTCACTTTATGCAAGGATGATCGATTATATCTAAGACAAAAACGCGATTTGCACTTATTTAGGTATTAATGATCTACGCCCCACCATTCACGTGACAATTATGATTTCCGTGTCCTGGAACTGCATGCGTGCGTGCGTATCATATTTGCATCCGTTTGCTAAAAATAGTCTTCAACGGAATATGAGGCAGCTTGAAATTAAAATCGAAACCACAGTTATCAAGTGAGGAATCAGTTAGACAATATTTTTTAAAGTACATCTGCATTAGGACTGCCAATGAGTTGAGTTGAGCTGAGTTGAGGGTTAACTCATCTCAACTCATTAAGAAAAATCACTGACTCAAACTCAACTCAACTCAACTCACTAACTCAATGAGTCAAATGAGTTGACTCGAACTCATTGGCAGTCCTAATCTGCATGTAAATACATATATACATCTCATCTTCATAAATTCTTAGCTATATAAACCAAACCGAAACGGTTTGTCCAGCATGCAAAAATTTGAACTGTGTTTCACGATTCTATGTAAATATGTAACCCTTGTTATGCCACCGTTTAACGATATTCATTTACATATCCATTCATTTCCGTGCAAACAATCCCCTTGTGCAATCCAGAAAAATATTGTCATTTATTTATCCCCTGAGCCAGACATGCAAATAGTGATTGACAAGCACGAACTACCAGCGTCGGGATGATCATGAGAATATTACTCGCAAATTGTACTTTATAAATAATTAATAAACGAGCTCTGGTCAATGAATATTTAATGCCTGGGATTGAACATCGTTCATTTACGATATTACAGGAGAACAACTAATTCTGTTACTGTTGTACTTTATAATTAGTCGCATTGTCACGTGGATAGATATTTTTGAGTGTGCAGATTTAGGCTATTTCGGCTATATTTTTGACGATTTTCAAAAAATTCCTGCGGCCAAACGAGGCGTGACGTCATCAAATCTCTTGCTGGAGGTGACACCCCTACATGGATAGCGTCGTTTGAGATATCTACGAAACCATAAATCAGGTCGCGCACTGCGCCACAGGGTCGCAAACTGGGCGCAGAATGCAAAATTTCGGTGTTTGGAGGCCGATAACTTTGCTCTCGAGCGTCGTACGTTGGTGTAACTTATATGAATTTGGGTTAGCTTTCAAAGATCTATCGAATGCAATAGTTTTCAAAGCCACACCCCTTCAAATGGAGATAACTCCTCCCCCAGGGGGTGTGGTTGCACTACAGTCATATAATTTGTGTCATCCGTCCCCAAACTACCTCATATGCATAAATAGCTAAAAAAAGTCACAAAATAATTTATGCCAATTCCTACCATAAGGCGGCCCCATTGTGCGGTAGGTTGGGTTTTGAAACTCCAAAGAGGTGGACGGAAGTGCGTGGGAGACGAATATTTGAGGAGTGAGGAACCAAAATGTGATTAATTTAGATTTTTGCATATGTAAGTCTGTATATTCTACTATATTTCATGTGGGCTGGACATTCATAACCATTCGTCAAATAGGGGCTTAAAGGCGTCCAAAAAATCGGCATGGATAAAAAGTTACGCTACATTTTTAAAGGTGAGGGAGGGATTATGAATGCGTAATGAGTGCCAAAATTAAGATTTGCACATTTTACGGAAGTGTCTTTCGCGTATCAGCATCAAGTGCACACCTTTGTAAAAGTGCAATAAGTAGGTGGAAGTTGGGGAACCTTTGCCAAACCAAACATTTCACTGTCATGTAAAAAAAATATGAAATAAGATTTGACCACAAATTACATGAATATATTACGAAATAATGCTCATAGAACAAATTGATTCACCAATAGAAATAATTACTTCAGAATATGAAATATGCTTGAAGAATTGATTTATTTTTGATGAAAATCAGGTAGAAAATTGTTATGATACAAGAAATGTACAGCTTGAATATACACGCATGGAAATGATATCAGTTATTTCGAGGCATCGATAAGTCGTCGAAGTGACTTGAAGGCGTTGATCCTGCCTTCGCCGTGGTGATGGTTGGGAAATTGGTTGTCTGGAACTCCGCTGCAGACCTTTCCCATGTCGACGAGGTCCTGGTCAACCCCACCCCGCATGTGGGCCGTCACGTTGCCGAAGCTGATGCTCGGGTTGTAGGCGAGGAGGAGAGAGGTCAGTCCGGCGGCGTGGGGGCAGGCCATGCTCGTTCCGGAGAGGGCTCGATAAGCATCGTCAGCCGTGTTGTAGGCGGAAAGGACGTTGGATCCTGGTGCAGAGATGTCGGGCTTCATTCTTCCGTCGGTGGTAGGGCCAACGGAGGAGAAGGAGGACAATTCGTCGGTGACCGTGGTGGAACCCACGCCAATCACGTTTCGATCTCCGGGTGAGTTGGCCGTGTTGCAGGATGGGCCAGAATTTCCGATGGAGAAAAGTGGGATGATGTTGGCAGTGTGGAAAGCAGCAATTGCACCATCAAACCTGCAGAATTAAAAATAATCATAAAAGCTAGGCATTAGTATAGCAAAGTTAACTGCATTGAGACGCTACTCACCAAGTAGCACCGCGACCACCACCCCAACTGTTAGAAACGAGATGTGGGGCCTTGCTGCAGTCAGGCGCACTTCCGTTGGGACGCGTTGGACACGTGATGAACTGGGCGCATGCCAAAAGGGCGTTCTGGGCACACGATGAAGTCGCACATCCACGACAAGAAGTCCATTTAGCGTCTGGGTAGACCCCGATCCCTCCAGCGCCACAGATCGTCCCTGTCGTGTGAGTACCGTGACCGTTGATGTCCATGGGCAACGCGTTGGCATCGTAGGGGTCGAACCATCCATAATCTCCTAACCAGTTGGCTCTCAAGGCTTCGTGGGTGTGACGAGCTCCAGTGTCAATTGTTGACACCACGATTTGCGACGCTTTAGTCGTGGATCCCAAAAGTTCACGAGCTTCGGCCGCCTGAATTTTCTTGACGCCCCATTCGCCCGATGGATCTTGTCTTCCACGCAAAATTGGCCCCTCTACGATCGTGTCCAGTTCGATGATTTCCTCCAACTCCAAACTCTTGACCTCGTTGAAGGAGGCGAGGACCATGATCAAGTCCATCGTGGCTCCCTTGACGTAAACCTGGTTCGTGATCCACAGGGATTTGAACTCGAATCGCCCCTGGAGGTAGGACAGGACGTTGGACTGGACACGACCGGCGAGGCGGACGAGGGCAGAGTTCATGGCGTCAAGTCGGTCTTCTCGAGTGTCGAATCGGGTGTCATCAATCGCCTGCAAAGTTTCGGCCGTGCTTTCTTGAAAGGTCACGAAGATGTCGGCAGTTTCGGCTTGTTTGGCTGCTCGGAGGAGACGGTAGTCGATTTTGTCGCCATTTTCAGGTCGGCCTTGCGCCAATGCGACGAGTGCAAGTACTAGAAGTAGCTTCATTTTCAAGTGAAAATGTTTAATGGTTTTTGTTTCTGTTATTTGAAGTTGTAGTTAATAATTGTTTGAAGTGAATGATACTCTTCTCCAAAGTTTGGGTGCTTTTTATACCAAAAAGCTTCATTGTCTTGCTCTCATTGCGCATCAAAGTTTTATGAACTTTACTTTAATTTTGGGTGGGATTTCAATTATTTTTCCCAGTGTAAACTTGCAGATTAAACGATAATATGAAAGCATTGTTCCGATTCGTGGCATGAGTTGAACTTGAATATTAGTGATAATCATAATACATTGTACTCCACATTATGCAAATATGTATTATTTCTTGTCCATGCACTGCGCTCAATTGTGCTGCAGATGCCTGTTAGTTCACACATTGCATTTCCGACATGGGTGACTGGCCGTAAAAAGATCAATACTTTATTAATTCGCAACAGATTTACCCAGTGTGGTTGGCAGATAAGCTGCTACTGCAAATATTCAGTCTGAAAATAATAAGTGATGAGTTATGATAAGCTCAAGTTGTCAAAAATCTCGCCTCATTAATGAACTTCTGAAGTGGTGGATATATATGAATCACGCCTTGTTCAGATTTCTGGAAATTTTGTTTGTAAAAATTTATACGTGAAAGTCAAATGAATTCGTCTGTATTAACTATGAACTTGTGGTAAAAAAATCAATCCCACATTTTGGATTCTTTTGTATAATGAAATGCTTTGTGATTTTGTACTGAATTTTCTAATTTTGCATCCAGAAGTAAGATTTCAATTATTATTTGAATTTCATGAAATGTATTTAAGTATTACGAAAAGTTAAAATAAAAATTGCAGAAATTGCAGAAGAAATTTGACCCCAATAAATTTTCAGTACAGGGTACGAGATGTGATCTCGTGGCTGCATATTTGCCCTTCTGGTCCCTCGTTTTTCGTTCTGTAGGACGAGAGCAACGCCAAAGCGTCACTTTTAAGCTTTTTCGCCACCATTTAAAGCTAACAAACCTTACTTCGACACAACCTGTGAATGGATTTACTCTATCGCAACTCATTATTTTCATGGGTGACAAAAGTCATGGCATGCTAATCCAATAATTTAATAAATCAGAAGTACAGCTGGACATAATCTGTGCTTTTTCATGCTTATTTATTGTACCGGAATTTTACATGCACGTTTTATTAGAAAGATTGGTTTTAGGGCAAAAAATTTGCTCCGAGCTAAATTGTTTCCAGGGGAAGAGTTACCCAGATGCTAAACGTCAAATTGACATAAGATGATTTTACTTCCTCGAAACTATTCACTATAATTAAATTCTCTCCTCAAGAATTATTTCAATGGACTCAAACGGTCCGATTGCCTGGGATGTCAATTCCGCCCCCGCCTCCGAACCCCCGTCCAACTATGAAGCGATCGAATCTTATGATCAACCTCCACACCCCGCGCCTCCGCCGCCCAAACCCCCAGCGCCTCGCGGTGCTGGCTACAAACTCATGCTGCTCATTTGGAAGGTATAAAATACATAAGCAATCTTAATTCAAGAACTGTTTTAGTTGAATCCGCTTTACATATTTTTGAAGAATTGCCTCATCCGGAAAAGACACTGGTTTATTACTGGGATGGAAATTATCCTCCCTTTGGCATATATATGTCTGACTATGTACACATCGGGACGCGAAAACCCAACGCTGTTACAGGAATCATCGTCACCGCCCCGAAGGCACGAGGGCGAAAATAATCACCAAATGGATTTTGATTCTGATACGTACTCGAACCGGTTTGACAAAACGTACCTGGGAAGCTCCTGGCGATGCAAAAGGAGTTCAAATATTAGTCGTTGCATAATTGGATGGGCACCGGAAAAGGAAGGTTCAGGAAATGAGGTCGATGAAATAACTCGCGTTGTGAATAAACTTGAAACTATAATCTCACCAGATATTGGTAGGTGGAATTAGTAAATAGGTTGAATTTGCATGAAAAACAGTAACAATTTCACAAATATTTATTTCTATTTCGCTAAAATTTTCGAACAGAATGGGAGTCTTTCACTTCAGAAAAACGCATCGAAGACAACGTGGCACAAAGCAGTTTGAAAGATATCAAGGACAAAGGTCTCAAAGCCGGGGTTATCTTCGGCAGGGGCTTATCCTCCATTCGCAACAGAGGCGAGGGGACGTATCCCTACAAAATAAGAATGATGGCGATAAGAGGGTCCGGGTCGAAGGTTTATGAATTTCAGAAGGAAGATTTTCTCGTATTACAGCTAAGGACGGAACAAGCTCTGATAAAGAGTTTAACGGGGAAAAGCCCAACCGGAAATGTAAGTGCACTGTTAAACATTAAAAAAAAAGTGCAATATTGAGAATGTCTTGTGCAGATCCATCTTTACAACACGGATAACATGAAAAATGAAGCACAACAAAGATCAGGACCTATAAGACGTAGTTCTAAAATAACACCGTATGCATCCACATCACGCAGTCCTCCCTCTCCAATGGTCGAATTCAAGACAGTGTCCTTAGCCCAGTCGTTAATATTTGGCTTTTTGTTCATGGTTCCCTCGATTGTCGGGAGAGTCGTGGGGGAGCGAGTAACCGGGGTCAAAGTAAGATAACTAATGCATATTTAGGTACATATTTCTAGTATTAATAAATATGTATGTATGCACAAGTTTTTTCACATTTCTTTCAAACATTACCACAAAAAAAGGAACTATTTTCCGCAAAACTTTCAAGCAGAATGCTATCAATACGATAACCTATTTGTCTGTCGCCTAAATATTTTTAGGAGCTAATGAAGCTGAGCGGGGTTCCGAATTGGGAGCACTGGTTGGCCTGGATTCTGAACTCGATGGTCCCTCTGACCCTCTCCGTCGTGGGGGTCGCCATGATTGTGACATGCGTTGGTTCAAGACGCATGTTCTGGGGCTGTAACGTGGTTCTTCTTATCATTCTTCTCGAAGCTTTCGTCCTCGCCACAACGACATTCTGCTTCTTCATTTCGACATTTTTCACGAAACGTAACCTTTGCATTTGATTTGATAATAATAATGCAAAGTTCTTATTATTTGTGAAAATTTTGGTGAAAAATTATCTACCTACTAATTATCTGATATTTTGGTTAGATGTTTTTTTAAACTTCTTCAAACCTTTGTCTTTGTAGCCTCTTTGGGAACCTGTGTCGGATTACTTATTTATTTTGTGACTGATGCGGCGACTGTAGTCCTTGGGTTCGGAGCGTATGCGAAGTTAACCTTTCTGGGAAACTTCTTCGTGTGCCTGTCGCCGAATTTCGGGCTGGTAATGGGCTGCATGATGATTGGAAGATTTGAAAATGGGGAGACAGGTATGAAACGTGTATATGAAAAAAGCTATGAAGGCTGTAAGTGTAAATGTACTTATATTTAAAAAAAAAATTAAGGTATCACGTGGGGGGATCTTTTCGAGCCGGCTACACCCAAGGATACAATGACCTTGGGATATGTCATCCTAGCTTTGCTAACCGCTGCGGTTTTGTACCTCGTGTTGGCCATGTATCTGGAAAACATCATGCCAACCGAATACGGCGTGAGGAGACCGTGGCACTATCCCGTTTCCGTAATTTTCCGTAACAAATATTTCGAAAGCTAATAAATCGGCTAACTTTTTTACACAATTCTGGCAAGCTGTGTAAGACAAAACCGGGCAATTTCTGTTTCCAGGACTTGTACCAGATGTGTCAGAAAAAAAGCACTAAAGTTACTTCCGGAGTTGTGGAGTCTGACCAGGATTCTCTCGAGAAACCAGGTTTCGAAAAAGAGCCGGAAACACTTAAAGCCGGTGTCGTAATATCGAACTTGAAGAAATCCTTTGGGCGGAAGAATGCCGTTGATGGGGTGTCAATGACCATGTATGAGGGCGAAATCTTTGCACTTCTAGGTTCGTATTTTTATTATGCGAATTTTGTTGAAATTTTTTGCACGGTTTTGTATTTACTAACGAAATAGGTCACAACGGAGCTGGAAAGACGACAACGATTTCTTGCTGCACCGGTGTCATGAGTCCGACGAGTGGGAGCGTGGTCATTAACGGGGTCGATATCGTTAAAAACCCGAAAGCAATCGGGTCACAGGTTTGCCTATGCCCACAGCACAACCTCCTCTTTGACGACCTTACAGTCGATCAGCACTTAGCATTCTTCGGACGGGTGAGTCGGTCAAATATGCTATTTTTCAAAGATTTTTCTCGTTAAAACTGACATTTTTTCAGTTAAAAGGCATGAGTTCGTCGGCAGCTAAAATTGAACGGGGTCAAATGTTGAACAGACTCCGCTTGACAGACAAGGCAAATTCTTATTCAAAAAAATTATCCGGGGGACAAAAGCGAAAATTGTGTTTGGGAATTGCCTTGATAGGAGATGCGAAGGTTGTCTTTCTCGATGAGCCGACGAGGTTAGTCGTTTAGAACTTACCCATATATTTCGATTTTGTTCTCAAAATCTAAATTTTGCAGTGGATTGGATGTCGAAGCAAGACGAGCCATTTGGGACGCTTTACTGGTTTGCTGGTTTATTTTATTTCGCACATAAATTTACTGAAATTTTGGCTAAGTTTTTAATTGTAATTCAGGCTGAGCGAGGCAATCGGACGATAATTTTGACCACTCACTTTATGGAAGAGGCGGATGTTCTTGGCGACAGGATTGCCATCATGGCGCAGGGCAAAGTCCAGTGCTCCGGAAGTTCAATGTTCCTCAAGAAATACTTTGGTACGCGAAAAAGAGCTCTAACTTGTGCCTATCTTACAATTACTAATCTGAGTTTATCTTCAGGCGCCGGATACACATTCCACTTTACGATGACTGGAAATAATGGAAATAATGGAGACAGCATTTTAGCCGTCGTGCAAGGTCACGTACCTACTGCGACATTAGAAAAAGGCAAAAACGCCGGTGAATTGAGTATCACTTTGCCCACGGAGGACTGCCCGACGTCCCTCTTTCCCAAAATCTTCAAATCCCTGCAAGATAAGCAACAAAGCCTTGGAATTATATCAATGGGCATGTCGCTTACCACCATGGACGACGTTTACATCAAGTACATGCGTACAATATGGCTATTTTCTTAATGTTCTGAGCATGTCGTACAATTTTCAGAGTGGACGAGGCTTCATCCGCAGGTAACAAATCGGACCCGACACCAGCTCCATCTGTTGCCGTAACTCCGGCTCCAAGTGAGAGTCATAGCGTGGGTGTGGGTTCAACATCCCAATCGATAGCACCAGCAGGATCGGAGGACACAGTCGCCGAAGTACCGGAAGTAGACCCGGAAGGTAAATCAAATCAAGATAAGTATTTATCAATGTAAAGAAGCTACAGACCTCTTTTTACAGATCTTAACAAAGACATTGTGAAGTCCCGTAATCGTGGGGTCACATTATGGTGTCAACAGTTTGGTGCTTTCGTTTGCAAACGGTTCTCGTATATACGTCGAAAATGGAAATCGACGACGACACAGGTACACATGCAATTAAGTAGCTCTGGGATAACGTAATTACGAAAACTTTGCTTAACCTTTTAAAATTGAGTTTCCCCCCTGCACAGGTCGTGCTCCCCGTGCTTATCTTCATCTCCTGCATCCTAGGAGCAAATCGTGTAATGTACGAAACCATGAAGACGGATGCCCCAAGTGCACAAAAAATCGGATTTGAACCATACAGCGACAAAATTGTGAGTGCTCCCAATTTGAAAATTTACAAGAATACAAATTAGTTTATATGACGTGGCTTATCTTTGTCCTTGTTTCAGATAACGCTTTATAACGACATCAATGAGGTGGTACACATGTTGTTATTCTATCAAAAATCATGTTCTCATGTTCATATCTTCACAGACGCTCAATGAAGCTACGTGGTCTCATATAATCGGCCCTTCTGCCAGACAGGCAGAAGGGCCGACACTGCAGGTGGATCCTTAGCCGTTGAACTTGGACGACTGAGTACCCTCCATTTGTCCACATTTCAGACAAAGTACATCTTCGCTCTGGAGCTCAATGAGACAGAAATCACTGCCTTTTACCAGACAGGCGTTGAAACAAAATTCAATAACGAGGACGCTCTCGCGCTGAGTTTAGCATCCAACGTCCTCCTCGCAATCACGATGGATCGACGAAGCAATGTTACGCCACATCTTGAGATGACGACGCACCCCTTCTCACGCCTGCGCAATCTTGGCGAGATGGAGAAGCTGATGAAAGAGGAAAATTTCGGTTTGATTCAAGCGGCATTGTGCGGTGGCGCATTTCCCTTCGGACTGGCCATACTCGCCACAATGTTTATCATTCCGTTATTGGAAGAGAAAATCTGTAATGTGGGTTGGATTTCATTTTATATATATGAATTAATATATAATAGTAGCTTACAATGCGATGGTGTGAAGTGTGACGCTCCGATTTAGTTGAAATTTTGGAATTATATGTAGTCCAAGTCAATACAAAAAAAACGTTTTTTGCTTGAGGTAGTTTGTGCGAGGGTGGGAATGAGTCTAAATATTTGAGGTCAAAGTTGAAAAATGGAGGATTTTCCCCTCCGAGAAGAACGAAAGTGGAGTTTGCTTCCTCCGCTTGGTAAGAATCGCACCTTTTTAACCTTTGACCTTAAATATTCTGACTCATTCCAACCATCGCACAAACTGCCTCAAGAAACCTTGTTTGTATTGAATTGGACTACATAATTCCAAAATTTAAGCCAAATCGGAGTGTTACATTTCACACGATCGCATTGTTAGTTCTGAAATTTGCCCCTTATGCTTTTCTACAAATATATTTGTAGGCTAAACAACTTCAACTGATGACCGGGGCGAGTCCGTTGATCTACTGGGGCACCTGTTTTGTATGCGACTTTGCCATGGCCTTTGCAACAACTTGTGTCATATTCATTTGCATATTCTGTGTACAAGACAAGCCAATCTATACTGATAGAGGTGAAATAAGCAGTATGATTTTCAAAAATTTTGTTTCCAAATCAGCATTTTTCGAAATTTTTAGGTATCTTATTCCTCATCTTGATCGTGTCAGTTTTTGCTTCCATCTCGTTAGCACACTTGTTTAGCCTCGCTTTTAATAATGTTACGGTCGGATTCGCAGTCGTGCTGATTATCCAGTTAATGTCTGGTGAGTGGATTTGCTGTTTTTTTAAATAGGATGGGTGAAAAGCCAGTTGCGTCGGAAGTTGGGAGGGGCATATGGGGACATTAGCATTGTGGGATTGGAGGAGGAGCGACTTATTAACATGGGCAATATTATAATTTTGCTGAATTTATGGGTGGGGGCAATGTCCCCTTGCTTCCACAGCCAATGTGACGCCCGGCTTATTCCCATTCGGAACGTGGTCTGCGAGAAACATTTCGAAGCGTGGGTTCGATTTGCGTTTTTTTCGGCAATCCCGTGGGAAAAAATCCCATATAGACCTAAAAAAAGGGGGATGTGGCCCCCCGCTTTCCCGGAAAACGCGCTTTGTTTGCACCTTTGCACCACAAATCGTTTCCAAGTTTCCCCCATTTTATGCATCACTTCGTTACATTTCATAATTCAGATAAATCAAAAAAAATAAACTAATTGATCAAATTATTTCATTTTTAGGAGTGATTGGTTCTCTGGCAAGCAGCAATGAGGGTGTGGAAGGTTACACCACGATGGTCGCAGTAATGCGAGGACTGTTCATGTGGTTTCCAAGCTTTGGTACCACACTCTCCGTCATCAAGTTCCTCACCGTTGCAATGAGTGACCATCGTTGCGCCTATTTTCCCAGCGAGGGGGAAAGTCTGATCTGCGTTCCTGGCATGGGCGAAGATTGGAAGGACTATGAGAGGCTGATAGCTCACTGTTGCCGTAAGTACATTTTCAAATTGAGAATCCAAACCAGAGTTCATTTCTGGAGGATTTCTTATGTTGTTATCTGAGGTTGCCAGATAATTTCCTAGATTTACAAATGATTGGAAGTGGACACATCCATGGAATAGAATTAGGGTCACTTCATTTGCATAGATCTGCTATGCCGATTCTATGCAAATCTTAGAAGGTGTCTGGCAGCCTCAGATAACAACACAGAAATATCCGACCAAGATATCAACTCTGGTTTGGACTGCGAAAAACATTTACAAAGACCAGGTTAAATGTACATATAGCCCGATTCTGCGTTTTGTTAACGATTCATAAAGTGTTTTGAGGTCATCTCGAATTTCTAAATTAAGCTACTCGTGTCAAGTAAATAGCCTAAATCACTAGTAAATACTACATTTCCAGGCTGAACGTAGAAAATTATTATTTGAAGGGTACATTTATAACTCAGAATTTTGTCGTTTTTTTAAATTTCTACAGAAGACTGTTCCATTTTTCCTGAAGCAAAATGCCTCCATGAAGTAGAATCGTCTTACTTGGTGTGGACAATGACGAAGACGATGAAGACGACGATGATGAAGCAGGTGACCCCAAGGCCGACGCATAAGCCGTGGACTTGGCCGAAGAATAGGCCGACGACTAGGCCGAGGCCTTGGCCGAAATATTTTCCACACCCTTCCTTCGCGGAGGAAGAAGAAGTTCGCGTGGTTGAAATATTCCGGGCCGGATTGGGACAGGAGTTGTTCTACATTTTGCTTGTTGGAGTCCTCTATCAGATAATCCTCCTCCTTCTCGAAGTCGTGATATTTCCATTGTTAAAAAAACACACGGGGAAGGGAGGAGCACCTCAAGTTGATCAAGGACAAGTTGACCCTGACGTGCAAGAAGAGGCTGACAGGGTGAAAGAACTCGTTCAAACACGTAAAGTTTTATTCATTTTAAAGTCAACGTAACCGTTCAGCATTATTTTTCTGACGTAGGAGCCACTGACCAAGACGCTCTCGTGGTGGAAAACTTTGCCAAAATGTACGGACCCTTTGCTGCAGTGGCGGACGTAAGCTTTGGCGTCCATCACGGCGAATGTTTCGGTTTGCTTGGCGTGAATGGGGCTGGAGTAAGTGCAGTGCATTTTTACACAACAAATATGAAATTTTATGCAATAAAAATCGCCTAATATTTTGTAATATTCCTAGAAAACGACGACATTCCGTGAGTCATAATTTTATCAAATTGTGCAAAAATTGCACATTTCATAGTTTCGCGATAAAATTCCCCACTTAATCCAGGTATGCTCACGGGGGATGAAAGTAGGACGAGGGGTAACGCTTACATTTCAAATACCAGCTTGACCCAGTCAGGAAGTGCGTTTTACTCGCGGATTGGGTACTGTCCCCAATCTGACGGAATTATCGGCGTGCTCAGTGGACTCGAGATGGTCCTTCTTTTCGCCCGCTTGAGAGGAGTGAAACAGGTCAAAAACGACTGTGCAGAGTGGATGGAGCGAGTGGGTCGGGACAAAATCATTGATTGATTATTCACATTCATGTTTGTATGACCCTGAATTTTGGTTTAATTCATTATAAGGTCTGACTGACAGTAAGGACGTTCAGTGTCGAAACTACTCGGGAGGAATGAAGCGGCGTTTGAGTGCGGCTATGGTAAATATGAAAAGCTTCAAGATTGCGAATTACGCATACTTAATCAAGGCTAAACTAATATGAGTTTTCAGGCTTTGGTTGGAGATCCTGACATCGTTTTGCTAGACGAACCGGTAAATTATTCCTATAATTCTGCTGATATCCAGAATATTTTGGAAATTCTGATTTTGGAAATTTTTCTTCAGACAAGTGGCGTTGATCCCGTGAGTCGGAGAGAATTCTGGAAAATTATCATGTCCACGAAAGCCTCTGGCAGAGCGATCATTCTCACATCGCACAGGTAAAAGCTAAAAAAAAAAATACGGCGACTTCCGGTTTTACTCATGCCCACATTAATTCAAAATTTTTCCATCCAAGCATGGACGAAATTGAGGCGTGCTGCTCCAGGCTGGGGATCATGGTAAACGGTCGTCTTCAATGTCTCGGTGGCGTGCAGTATCTCAAATCCAAGTTCGCCCAAGGCTTCACCTTATCCGTCACCTTGACCCAAGAAGCTCTCACGCTTAACCAAGAAGTAGAGGAGCTAATTTTCGAAATTTTGCAAAAGTTTGATCCTTGCATGCTCAGAGATAGACACGCGGTAAATAAATATTCACATACAGAACTGGGAGACATAATTTTTGGAGTTTATTACTCGAGTTTGTCCTAAATGCCTCGTTTTTTTAGACGTCATTACAGTACCAAGTACTAAACCCTACGATCCCCTGGGACGTTCTGTTTGGCAAGATGGAGGAGGTCAAGGTCAAGTACGAGAAGCTTATCGCGGATTACTCAATCACGGAAACAACTCTTGAGGAGGTTTTCCTCGCTTTTGCACGAATGCAGTATCCAAGTCGATACGCGGATACTAAGTGCCCTTGCAAGTGCGGATGATACCTTAAGGGTGGGTCTGAATGAAGTGGAAATATTTCTAGCGCCATCACTGTCAAAGAAGTTAGTAGAAGAAACTTAATAAAATAACTTCGATATTAAACATTTTCATTTGGTCACTTGGTATTCAATTTCCACCTTCGTTTTACAATAATTTATCGAGAATGTAGAAGTAAATGAAAGTCAAATATTTTTAAGTACGGGTGGAATGGTCCCAACAAAATGGTTCACCGATAGTAATAATTTTTTAGCAATACAAAGTTGGTATGCAGCAATGATTTATTTTTGATTAAAATCAGTTAGAAAATGGTTATGGTACAAGAAATGTACAGCTTGAATATACACGGATGAAAAAGATATCAGTTATTTGGAGGCATCAATAAGTCGTCGAAGTGACTTGAAGGCGTTGATCCTGCCTTCGCCGTGATGATGGTTGGGAAATTGATTGTCGGGGATTCCGCTGCAGACCTTTCCCATGTCGACGAGGTCCTGGTCAACCCCACCCCGCATGTGGGCCGTCACATTTCCAAAGCTGATGCTCGGGTTGTAGGCGAGGAGGAGAGAGGTCAGTCCGGCGGCGTGGGGGCAGGCCATGCTCGTTCCGGAGAGGGCTCGATAAGCATCGTCCGCCGTGTTGTAGGCGGAAAGGACGTTGGATCCTGGTGCAGAGATGTCGGGCTTCATTCTTCCGTCGGTTGTGGGGCCAACGGAGGAGAAGGAGGACAACTCGTCGTCGACCGTGGTCGAACCCACGCCAATCACGTTTCGATCTCCGGGTGAGTTGGCCGTGTTGCAGGATGGGCCAGAATTTCCGATGGAGAAAAGTGGGATGATGTTGGCAGTGTGGAAAGCAGCAATTGCGCCATCAAACCTGAAGGATTGGAAAATTGAAAATAGTCATATAAACCTGGGCATTGTTAGAGTAAATTTAATTGAATTTAGACTGACCAAGTAGCACCGCGACCGCCTCCCCAACTATTTGAAACGAGATGTGGGGCCTTGCTGCAGTCTGGGGCACTTCCGTCGGGACGCGTTGGACACGTGATGAACTGGGCGCATGCCAAAAGAGCGTTCTGGGCACAAGATGAAGTCGCACATCCACGACAAGAAGTCCATTTAGCATCTGGGTAGACTCCAATCCCTCCAGCGCCACAGATCGTCCCAGTCGTGTGAGTACCGTGACCGTTGATGTCCATGGGAAGTGCGTTGGCATCATAGGGGTCGAACCATCCATAATCTCCGAACCAGTTGGCTCTCAAGGCTTCGTGGGTGTGTCGAGCTCCAGTGTCAATTGTTGACACCACGATTTGCGACGCTTTGGTCGAGGTCCCCAAAAGTTCACGAGCTTCGGCCGCCTGAATTTTCTTGACGCCCCATTCGCCCGATGGATCTTGTCTTCCACGCAAAATTGGCCCCTCTACGATCGTGTCCAGTTCGATGATTTCCTCCAACTCCAAACTCTTGACTTCGTTGAAGGAGGCGAGGACCATGATCAAGTCCATCGTGGCTCCCTTGACGTAAACCTGGTTCGTGATCCACAGGGATTTGAACTCGAATCGCCCCTGGAGGTAGGACAGGACGTTGGACTGGACACGGCCGGCGAGGCGGACGAGGGCAGAGTTCATGGCGTCAAGTCGGTCTTCTCGAGTGTCGAATCGGGTGTCATCAATCGCCTGCAAAGTTTCGGCCGTGCTTTCTTGAAAGGTCACGAAGATGTCGGCAGTTTCGGCTTGTTTGGCTGCTCGGAGGAGACGGTAGTCGATTTTGTCGCCATTTTCAGGTCGGCCTTGCGCCAATGCGACGAGTGCAAGTACTAGAAGTAGCTTCATTTTCAAGTGAAAATGTTTAATGGTTTTTGTTTCTGTTATTTGAAGTTGTAGTTAATAATTGTTTGAAGTGAATGATACTCTTCTCCAAAGTTTGGGTGCTTTTTATACCAAAAAGCTTCATTGTCTTGCTCTCATCACGTATCAAAGTTTATGAACTTTACATTAATTTTGGGTGGGATTTCAATTATTTTTCCCAGTGTACATATTGGTAAACTTGCAGATCAAACGATAATATGAAAGCATTGTTTCGATGCGTGACATAAGTTGAACTTGAATATTGGTGATAATAATAATACATTGTACTCCACATTATGCAAATATGTATTATTTCTTGTCCATGCACTACGTTTAATTGTGCTGCAGATGCCTGTTAGTTCACACACTGCATTTCCGACATGGGTGATTGGCCGTAAAAAGATCAATACTTTATTAATTCGCAGCAGATTTACCCAGTGTGGTTAGCAGATAAGCTGCTACTGCAAATATTCAGCCTGGCGACAATACATAAGTAGTGAGTAACGATGAGCTTAAGTTGTCAAAAATCTTTTCGGTTGATTGGCAAATATGCAGCCATGCTATGAGATCACCCAGTGGTTGACCAGTGGGGGTCACCGGAGTGGATGGGGAATTACGCACCAAAATTTCAAAATTATAGTAGAAAGCTGAAATTTGTTACAGAGGTTGCTAATGGCTCCTAATGAAAGAATATGAATTGAAATTAGAAAATTTTTCAACAGTAGGCACCCGAGGGGGTGACCAATACCGATTTTTCAAAGTCATCCAATCGAGCTAATAACTAATTTCCAATTTCACGGTTAACACATAATATGTGTTTTCTAATATTTGTTTTGTAATATGTAATTTTTTAAATTCCATGTACAAATTTTCAAGTACATAATTTCCAGACATCGGAACAAAGCGTGAATCATACATATATCCACCACTTGACAAGTCTATCAATGGGGCGAGATTTTGGATAAATTAGGCTTATCATTACTCATTCCCTATTGTCGCCAGGCTGAATATTTGCAGTAGCAGCTTATCTGCTAACCACACTGGGTAAATCTGCTGCGAATTAATAAAGTATTGATCTTTTTACGGCCAATCACCCATGTCGGAAATGCAGTGTGTGAACTAACAGGCATCTGCAGCACAATTAAACGTAGTGCATGGACAAGAAATAATACATATTTGCATAATGTGGAGTACAATGTATTATTATTATCACCAATATTCAAGTTCAACTTATGTCACGCATCGAAACAATGCTTTCATATTATCGTTTGATCTGCAAGTTTACCAATATGTACACTGGGAAAAATAATTGAAATCCCACCCAAAATTAATGTAAAGTTCATAAACTTTGATACGTGATGAGAGCAAGACAATGAAGCTTTTTGGTATAAAAAGCACCCAAACTTTGGAGAAGAGTATCATTCACTTCAAACAATTATTAACTACAACTTCAAATAACAGAAACAAAAACCATTAAACATTTTCACTTGAAAATGAAGCTACTTCTAGTACTTGCACTCGTCGCATTGGCGCAAGGCCGACCTGAAAATGGCGACAAAATCGACTACCGTCTCCTCCGAGCAGCCAAACAAGCCGAAACTGCCGACATCTTCGTGACCTTTCAAGAAAGCACGGCCGAAACTTTGCAGGCGATTGATGACACCCGATTCGACACTCGAGAAGACCGACTTGACGCCATGAACTCTGCCCTCGTCCGCCTCGCCGGCCGTGTCCAGTCCAACGTCCTGTCCTACCTCCAGGGGCGATTCGAGTTCAAATCCCTGTGGATCACGAACCAGGTTTACGTCAAGGGAGCCACGATGGACTTGATCATGGTCCTCGCCTCCTTCAACGAAGTCAAGAGTTTGGAGTTGGAGGAAATCATCGAACTGGACACGATCGTAGAGGGGCCAATTTTGCGTGGAAGACAAGATCCATCGGGCGAATGGGGCGTCAAGAAAATTCAGGCGGCCGAAGCTCGTGAACTTTTGGGGACCTCGACCAAAGCGTCGCAAATCGTGGTGTCAACAATTGACACTGGAGCTCGACACACCCACGAAGCCTTGAGAGCCAACTGGTTCGGAGATTATGGATGGTTCGACCCCTATGATGCCAACGCACTTCCCATGGACATCAACGGTCACGGTACTCACACGACTGGGACGATCTGTGGCGCTGGAGGGATTGGAGTCTACCCAGATGCTAAATGGACTTCTTGTCGTGGATGTGCGACTTCATCTTGTGCCCAGAACGCTCTTTTGGCATGCGCCCAGTTCATCACGTGTCCAACGCGTCCCGACGGAAGTGCCCCAGACTGCAGCAAGGCCCCACATCTCGTTTCAAATAGTTGGGGAGGCGGTCGCGGTGCTACTTGGTCAGTCTAAATTCAATTAAATTTACTCTAACAATGCCCAGGTTTATATGACTATTTTCAATTTTCCAATCCTTCAGGTTTGATGGCGCAATTGCTGCTTTCCACACTGCCAACATCATCCCACTTTTCTCCATCGGAAATTCTGGCCCATCCTGCAACACGGCCAACTCACCCGGAGATCGAAACGTGATTGGCGTGGGTTCGACCACGGTCGACGACGAGTTGTCCTCCTTCTCCTCCGTTGGCCCCACAACCGACGGAAGAATGAAGCCCGACATCTCTGCACCAGGATCCAACGTCCTTTCCGCCTACAACACGGCGGACGATGCTTATCGAGCCCTCTCCGGAACGAGCATGGCCTGCCCCCACGCCGCCGGACTGACCTCTCTCCTCCTCGCCTACAACCCGAGCATCAGCTTTGGAAATGTGACGGCCCACATGCGGGGTGGGGTTGACCAGGACCTCGTCGACATGGGAAAGGTCTGCAGCGGAATCCCCGACAATCAATTTCCCAACCATCATCACGGCGAAGGCAGGATCAACGCCTTCAAGTCACTTCGACGACTTATTGATGCCTCCAAATAACTGATATCTTTTTCATCCGTGTATATTCAAGCTGTACATTTCTTGTACCATAACCATTTTCTAACTGATTTTAATCAAAAATAAATCATTTCTGCAAACTAACTTTATGTTCATAATTCTATTAACTTATAACCTTTTAAGCATTTACATTTTATAGTCGAAAATGGGGAATGAACTTTGACCATGAATGTCATGGAGAAAAATTTTACACCAAGTTTCCTAAACCATGGTGTTCATGTCATATTTTTTACACATCGAAAGACCAAAACCATGTTAGTCATGGTCGCAAAAATTTGCATTGCAGGACCAATACCATCAAAGTCATGGCGATTGTTTTTGCAAGAAAATACTTTGACCATGACATACAAGGAAGTCGAAAATAATAATTTCCACAGCTTTTTAGCCCGAGTCAGGGCTTATGGAACCGTCATGTCCGTCCGTCCGTCCGTCCGTAAACAGGATAACTCTCTTTAAACACAAGCTACCGACTTGAAATTTTTACCATGTGCATATTGGACAAAGTTAGGAATCGAGTTCGAAGATGGGCGAAATCGGTTAACTGGTTACCCGGTGGGGGTCATCTGAGTGGGTGGGGTCTTATGCACCAAAATTTCAAAATTGTCGTAGAAAGCTGAAATTTGGCACAGAGGTTGCTAATGGCTCCTAATAGATAAAACCTACAGTGAAGACTCCATATAGCCCGAGTCAGGGACATAGTCCCTGACTCAATAAGTCAGAGCCCGCTTCTAAATTTTTTTCCGAATTGACCAACATAATATCACCAACTTCCGTGTTGTGGATGGTTAAAAGTTTGTTAGATAGTTTCTATTATTTGGTCCCAAATTTTTGAGCAAGTTACAGATCATGTGTCTTGACCACCATGACCAGTGGGCTTCTTTAACATCCTGAAGCTCTAAGCTGTATGTATGTGCTATCCAGCAGTGGTTTTCAGCCTCCATATCAAATTTCAGCTCGATATAATGATTTTGAAAAATCAGTATGGGTCACCCCATAGGGTCACTCTGGTTGCACTTTACTCACTTTTAACTTCATATTCTTTAATTAGAAGCCATTAAGTACCATCGTGCCGGATTTCATTTTTTTAAAGTAATTTCTAAAAATCAGTATGGGTCACCCCACAGGGTCCCTCAAGATTAAAATTTTTCCAACCTGAAGTTATTTTTTTCTATTAGGAGCCATTAGCAACCTCTGTATCAAATTTCAGCTCTCTACAACAATTTTGAAATTTTGGTGCAAAATACCCTACCCACTTATATGACCCCCACCGGTTCAAAACTTTTCTGATCGAACCCATCTTCTAACTCGGTCGTTGCATTGCCCAGATACATGTCTGCACCAAATTTGGTCAAAATTGGTTAACTCGTTCGACAGTTCGACTGACATGACAATTACATAAGCCCTGGTTCGGGCTAAAAATCACGACTCGAGAAAAAGTCAGTCTTTGGATGTAATCCGAATATTTTAACGTTGCAATGTGATTAAAAGTCAACAATAATTACTTAATAAATTTCGTAAAAAATTGATATATGTAACTAAGGACGGATCTTTTTAATTGTTGTGTTTTCGTCCGGCACTTCGTGTAAAATTGTTCGCCATGACATACATGGTCAAAATGCTTAAAAGGTTAACAATTGACAATTTATAGTCAGAGCGAATTTCTTAATTAATTCGTGATCTGATTAAAAGAATTACCGAATTTTTCAGTGTGTTGCCTAAAATCGTTTAATTATGCTGTTCAAAGGTGTATTAACGACGTATTTTCTTGTTGTTCTGGTCCTTCAAGAATTTTGCTCTGGACATCCAACCTTACCAGATCAAGTGACATCAAAATTAAACGGTATTTCTGACGGCTTTCGAAATTACGAATGACTACCAAATTATTACAAGATGCACTAAAATTTTACGAAATCATAAATTATGCCCTTAAAAACTATTTAATTTTTAAATTTTCTTGAAACTTTAGACACTTCTACAAGTCTCAAACAAAACAAATTCGGCTTGGACAGTGCAGATTTACGGACTAAATTATCCAAATCGTTGTCTCAATCTCCTCCCGTTTCCGACCCTCTTGACGAAGGGAACTCAACTAATTTGAATAATTTGGTAATATATTTGCTTTGATAACAGTTATACAAGTTATGCATTGTATTGCGGTGGATCGAAGTCAACCGGACAGAATTTCTACGCGCCAAAATCATACTATCACTATAGTATACTATCACTTATTGCACTTGGGTGATTCACGGTAAAGACATCAATGCTTCATTTCGCAGCAGATTTACCCAAAGTGTTTGGCAGATAATAAGTAGTCTGGGGACGAAATAGATAAGCGAGGATAAGCTCCAAAATCCACGTGATGAAAGTAGAGTCAAGTCCATCAGTGTCCCTTCTCTGTCAGTCCCTTCTCAGCATAATGTGTCGAAAACTTATGAACCTGGCAGCTTTGAAATTTTATCCTGAAAATTAGTCAAAATAGGTTAAATAGTTGGCACTATCTGAATCACATAAGTACGCATTTTTACTAATTATCTAAATGCTTTAATATGAGGGTATTAATTTTTGTACTATCTATGTATACAAAAATATTAAACCCAAATGCACAATACCAATTATTGTTGATTTTGGACGATTAAGACTCGGATCAAAGCTTGGAACTACAACTTTTTGCTAATTTAACAATTTGTGTGACATGCAATTTTTGTGTATGTATGTATGCAATACTATATTAAGTATTTAACCCATTATATCATGCGAACTGATTACACTCGTCCATGATAAATATTTAGAAACCATTTTGATCTAAATTAAGCCAAATTAATTGTCTTGTCATTCTCGCTTTATTTACTTTAATAATTACAAGATAGCTTGCTTAAATAGTAGGTAGTAATTAATGTAAGTTAAGCCTTTTATTAACTTGTACGTGCATAAATGTAGGAGTTCTGCAAAAAGGACGTTCATACAACAACATTTCAAGAAAAATTGCGAGTTTACACATTTACTGAAAGCCCCAATTACCAGAGTTGCGTTCATAAAACCTTAATAACTTAAATTTCGAAAAGTTACAAAATTTACAAAATTCTACTAAAATTACGAAAACAATTTCAAATCTACTTTTTGCATCCAAGTAATTTTACAAGATTTACAACCTTTATAAATTTATTTCGAATAGTTTCATACACAAAATCGTATTTTCATCAAAACCACAAAAATTTCCACGTACAATATGCACACCACACGGTCGAAAAATGAAACTAGTTTTACAAATCAAAAAACATTCAAGTCTCCACAAGTATACTTACTTATTACATATTTATTCATATATATCCCTACGTACACACGCTTAAATACGTCGATACTTAACACCGTCACGGTAACGCAGAATTACATACGTGTCTACCTACGGTTAAAAGTGCAAATTTAGCCTAAGCACATAACTCACGCGGATCCTTATGCATGTAACAATGCGGCTTTTCGTGTTAAAATGCACTGCATTTTTTATCACGGCTTCAATCAAATAACGGTTTCGGATGGATGCGTCCCCTCTTTGAGGAAAATATTTAATGTTTTATTTATTTCGTGCACCAATTTTATGCTTTATCGCCAATTTCAGGAAGTAATTTGCCCCCCAATTTGTACTCGTTTTTTAATTGAGAATCATTAAATGTATGTCTGGCTGAGGTACCTCTGAGGTATTTTTTCAGAAAACGGAAGGAAGGAAGAAATGACTCCAAAAAAGTGGCAGTCTCATCGACGCGAAGTCATCAATGTAGTCTAAATCTAAATCTGGTGGGGATTATTCTAGTCAAAAAATGTCTTGTGGGTGAGATTTATAAAATTATGATAATTTCACAAGATTAGAAAAAGTGAGATGTTTTTGCCAGATATTTGATAGATTTTATCAAAAAGTTTGTGTGACAAAGTTTGTGTGACAGTTGTTTCTTGTGATGGTGGGGACATTGATAGTTTGTGCAATTTTGGCGAGGGAGAAATTGTTGGAAAAGTGAGAAATATTTTGGAAATTGGTTAAAATTTTGGGAAGTCAAAGTGGGTTTGTTTAATTAAATAAGTGAGAAAATGATGTGACCAGTATAAATTTGTGTTTGCTAAAAATTGGAAAAATTATGGAAGCCAAACAAGTCCGGGAACATTAAGAAAGCTGGAAAAATAAGAAAATTTCAAGAAATTTGTAAAGCATGGAGACACAAGAAACCTGGAAAATCTGAAAATTTCAGAGTTCTGGAAAGTGTAGAAATTTAAAAACTGTGGTAAATCTGGAAAATATGGAAATCCAGTAACTTAAAAATTATGGGGACGCAAATAATTTTGAAATCCAAATCACCACCGATAAGATTTCCTCCGCTAAATAATTCCACTGCGAAATTTTAAATTCTAAAATCATGGTATTTGCAAGCGGAATAATTCGTTCCGTGACGCAGTTACGGACAGTTTTGCAATCCGTGCTCTTTGTCCCGTTCGCGTACATTTTCTTCTTTAATATGATCCCCAGTTTTTTGGTCGCATGGGACAGTGCGACCAGACTTCAAGACAGATTCAATGATAACTTCAGGGGGCGAGCGAACACGTACGACTTTATCGTGGGTAAGGTTTTATCAAAACGGTAGAGAACCAACTTTTAGGATAATTCTATCTTTAGAAAGACACCATTTTTTAAATAGATATTGGCAAAATTCACGAGTGTAATCCGGCAAAATCGTCACCCTTACAAATCGTGCTACAAATTACTTATCTTATTTTTTACCAGCAAGATTACGCGTATCTACAATTGGCCGACTATGAAACTTGTACAATGTGAATTTCAGATTTAACTTTAGATTTATATATGTAAATTAACTTGGTTTAAGGTTAATAATTAAATGCAGAAAAGTTTTTCGTATGAAGTATGCATTAATAATTAACAGTTACTTCCGGCATTAACTTTATTTATAATAGGCAAATTGAGTCCCATGAGTTGCATATTGATGAATTTATTTCCAGCAAGCAGGGCTCGTATGTAGGTATTACCCATCGTTACCTTACTAAATTTCCAGTGATGACATAAATTTGAATTATTTTTGCAGTCGGAGGAGGCACGGCCGGATCGGTGGTGGCGAACAGATTATCAGAGCTTTATTCCGTCCTTCTTATCGAGTCTGGTGAGTTGATATTTGGCCTTGTAAGATATTACAATGTCAAAATTTTATACAATATGCAATTTAGTTTTGTATAAACCATGTGTTAAATCATTGTGCCAAGATCATAAGAATTTGCAATAAGAATTTTTTACAAGTCCATAGCGAGTGTGCACTGTGCACTACTTACATATGTATAATTATGCACTTATGCATGCATTATCTGTAAGGCTGGCTTTGTTTTGTTGTGTTTCAAATTTTTGATTTTACAAAAGAAATAAACTATAAAAGAAAAATTTTGCCAATTTTGTGTGTGTAAAATGATAATTTTTACATTTGAAACATTGTTATTTCGTTTATTCGTAAAATTCCAGTGGCCAATGCCCTTTAATTAATTTAGTTTAATTTTTGAAGGGCACACTTGAGAAAGAAAGATTTTGATTTTTACCCAAGTTTTAATTCATAACCTATAAACATCCTTTTAATAACTTGGCAAACCGACGAAAATATTTCTGTCGTTAACATCAAACTGAAAATTTGCAACAAAAATTCATAACCTATAAACATAAACATTTTTACCCAAGTTTTAATTCATAACCTATAAACATCCTTTTAATTACTTGGCAAACCGACGAAAATATTTCTGTCGTCAACATCAAACTGAAAATTTGCAACTAAAACTAAATTTTTGCGATCTTACTCCAGAATTTTGGAAATTATGTTGCTTGCTACGTAATACTTATCTAATATCTTTAATTTTTTAAATTAGGCGGTCCAGCCAACCCTTTAACTCTGATTCCGGCGCTCACTTTGAATTTGATGAACCGTCCCCAATCCGACTGGAGGTACAAGACTGTCCCGCAATCTCGAGCTTGTCTAAATTCAATCAATCAGGTTAGGAAGGAATTGAATTTGTGCAAAATATGTATTGGCAAAAATTTGCATAATTTAATACTTGTTAATGAATTTACACACTTGGCATGCATAGCAAAAATAAAGTGTAATTTAAATTTTGGTCATTTAAGGAATGCCTGATATCTGCCGGAATGGCGATGGGTGGATCCAGTACGTTGAACCACTTGGCCTTCCTCCGCGGTCATCCCTCTGATTTTGACGCTTGGGCGAGAATCACTGGAGACCGAAGTTGGAGCTATGACCAAGTTTTGCCATTTTTTCGAAGGAGTGAAGAATTCATTGGAACTTCGACCGATGGTAATTATGAGTAATTTTGTTTTGTTTTTTTGCAAATCATTTAAAAAATACGAAAGGTTGTGAAAATGAGCATTAACCAGTTTTTGAAATTCTGAAAAATTAAGAAATAACTTTGTGCATCATCTTATCTCTAATGTAAATTAAACTAAATATTTTAAAACTTGGCACATTTGTATGTTTTTGAAAATAAGGTATGAAATCATTGCATACTTTATTTTTGCATACCTTATATTTAAAAATTACATAAAATCCTTTAAAAAATAATTTTCTTATTCCGAATGCGAACAAAATGTAATTTTCGCATCGCTATTTGTGTTGTGTACATTAGCTTGTCCGGTTTTATGTGTACATACATTTCGGCTTTCAATTTACTGTTATGTTCCTTTATAAATATGACTTCCGAATTATGTGAAAACCAAATTTTCAACGTTTACACGTAGAAGTACTTACTTATTATTCGGTTTCCCAGTTTTTCCGAGATGCAAATTTAATTACAAATTCTTACCCTGACTAACCAAATTATTTGCATATAATATTTCAGCATCTGCTCGAGGTCGAGATGGTGAATTGCGCATCCGGGAGCCAGATTATCTGGGTCTTGGATTAGAATGGCTTCGCGCCGGGGTCGAAATGGGATATCCTAGCGTTGACCTTAACGGCCAACATGGACAAGGTATCGGCAGTAGAAATTTTTCAAATGCAAAAATTGGTACAACATGATAGAATTTTTCCAGGATTCAGCATCCTGCAATATCCACTTCGTCGTGGGATGCGCCAAACAACTGACGCGTAAAAAATTAAATATTTTTTTTTTAATTGAAACTATTTTTGAAAATATTTTGTTTTGTTTTAAACTAAAATAGAGCCTTCATCCTGCCAATTCGGTTAAGTCCCAGGTTACGTGTACTGAGCCACACCCTTGCTACCCGGGTAAATTAAAAATAACCGAGTTTGCCAAAATAATCTCAATCGCAAATCCTATGCAAAGTCAGAACTATTTCAAAATTCTTCTTATTTGGGGAAACAATTTTCATAAATTTTTATTAGAGTTAGAATTTGTTACATATTTAATATTTGCAAAGCTCAATATTCATTTCCAAAATTTAACAGATTCTTTTCCGGGACATGACCAATATGGCGTATGGCGTGGAATACGAACGTTTCGGACGAACTGAGCTAGCAATCGCGCGAAGGGAGGTGATCATTTCGGCGGGAGGGGTAGGATCCCCGAAGCTCTTAATGTTATCTGGTGTCGGGCCAAGGACGCATTTAGAGCAGATGGGGGTAAGTAAATAAATAGCATGCAAAATTTTTATTACACGATTTTTACGAAATCGATAGAACTGGGATTTTCACAGATGGTAAAAATCGTGAACTTAAAGGTGGCAATATTTTTATGTAGGTCGATAATTTGAATTTGGTCAGAAATTGATTTATAATACAAGAAAATGGTTGGTGGCAAAAATGTATTTGATATTCACGCTACTGATGCCACACCTATGATATACTTACTAATAATTATGCATATTTATGTAAATATAATTAAGTATACTCAACTCTTACAATACAAATTTGACTTTCAGTTCATTACATATTTTGCTGATTCCGTGTTTGGGGCGACAAAATAAAAAATAATTGTACAATTAAAAAGTAATTTGACTAGATATTTGTGTACGTCCATTACAAAAGTTTGTGTAATGATTATACAAAACGTTATCAGCTTTGCGTGTTACAAATACCCGAATAAATTATGGATAAATTCGAATTATCAAATAAATTATCGGGGCTGTCCAAACCACATTTATGCCAAAATTTTCTTTTCAAAATTATCAATTTTTTGTCAAAAATGATATATAACTTTTCTAAATTTATAGATCCCACTCCGCTCTGACGTTCCCGTCGGTCGAAACCTACAAGATCACTTGGGCGTCCCGTTAGGCCCATTTTTCTTCACGCCATTAACCTCACCCGCATCTGCGCGCTCGTTTCTACTCGATCGTGACTTCACACCGACAAACATCGTGTCCTGGATCGTATCGGGTCGTGGACCGCTATCAACGAGCGGTCTGCAAGGCGCGGGCGCTATTTCGTCCATGCCAGCGCGTGCGCGGGGAGAGGCAAATTGGCCCGACGTCCTACTTCTGTTACACGGCCAAGGGATCCACTCCACGTATGCAAACACGTTTGCGACTGCGCACTCGCTTCAGGTTTGGTTTGATTTCTTTAAAATTTTGAATCGGGTTTTATCGATGGAGATTTGGTTAAAAATTTAATGTTATAAAGTTTACGCATTTACAAAACTTGACATGATTTGCCTTTACAAAATTCATGAAAGAAGTTAGGTAATTAAAAACACTGACATTACTAACAATGGAACCTCTTTTCAAGCTACACGAGATAAGCTTAGTGACTTATGCTAAAAAATCATGGTAAAAATTAGAATTGACGTGGCACTTATCTTTCCGTTGAATGGGCACTTGGAGGTCAAATATTTGAGGGCAAAGTTCACAGTAGCGGCCTGTTTTTTCTCTCAAGCGGGCGAGGGGATGAGTGAAAATTTTCTCCTTCGAGGTCACTCCGCTCCGTTCTCGTACGCTCGCACATCATTCAATGCATATTATTTTTGACAAAATTTGACAATCTCGTAAATTGGTGCATACATTCATTTAATTTTATATTTGCTTTTAAAATCCTACTATCCACCGATCCGTAATAAAAAAAAGTGACGATGGGTTCAATAAATTATAAGTGCATATCGATTAATGAATATGCATTCCAAAAATATACAACGAAATGTGGCAATAAAAATAAGTCAACTTTAAGGATTGTGATTTCTAATTAATTAATACATTCATTAATTATACGAACTTATAATTTATTGAACCCATCGTGACTTTTTTTATTACGGATCGGTGAATAGTAGGATTTTAAAAACCAAATATAAAATTATACGAATGTATACACCAATTTACGAGATTATGAAATTTTGTCAAAAATAATATGCATTGAATGATGTGCGAGCGTACGAGAACGGAGCGGAGTGACCTCGAAGGAGAAAATTTTCACTCTTCCGCTCGCCCGCTTTAGAAAAAAACAGGCCGCTACTGTGAACTTTGCCCTCAAATATTTGACCTCCAAGTGCCCATTCAACGGAATGATAAGTACCACGTCATTTCTAATTTTTAGCTTGATTTTTTAGCATAAGTCACTAAGCTTATCTCGTGTAGCTTGAAAAAAGGTTCCATTGTAAGTGCAAACATAAATGTTGATAACATTTTTTTAAGAACTAACAATTAAGTAAATTTGATATTTAGATATGGGCTCCTTTTTTGTAAAGCGTCAACCGTGTAAACTTTATAGAATTAGGAGGATGTCATTGCCTTTGGTAAAATAAGTGTATATGCGGCATTTGCAAAGTGAGAATTTACTGATATAGGATTCGAAAATTCACTCGATTGATTGTACCCCAAAGTGGTGTAAAAATCATTTTATGCACAATTAGCTGGGTCACAAATTAGGCCGAATTTTAGAAAATTGATTAACTAGAATGCCAAAAATAGCATTTGAAAAATTGTCAAATTATTATGTACTTCGCAGGTACATCAGCTATGGTAGTTGGGCAAGATTTTTTTTAAAGTTTTCAAACTTCCAATTTATGCTTTTTTCTGTTTTCTGACCTGTTCAGGTACTATGCTTGATAACTTTCCTACTGACAAATCCTCCATAAACTTGATCTTTTAACATAAATACTAAAATATTTTAAGATTCGATTCTTGAACTTGAAATTACTCATTACTCTTACATTTTAGTTTCATTTAATCTTGCACACAATAAGGAAACGCAATTAATTAATCTATGTAATTTACATGAGAGTTGAACATTTCCTTTGTAACCTTTGTAACCTTGTTTTCACTTTATATTTTTCCTACTTACTTCTTGAAAATAAATTAATTGTAGGTATAGTTAATTAAGGACAATTTTAAAATGTGCCATGTTACGGTGCCAATTTTGAAATTTGATCATATTTAGTGCTGTCTTGAGCATGAGAGATTCTTTGAAATCTATCATTCTTGTTGGAATTGCATAATTGTGTGATATATTATAGTTTAATGATAATTAATTTTACACAGTTTACAACGTTCACGTCAATTCAGTCAGTAGAATAATCATACCTGTTCAAAAATTCAGATTTCATTCAAAAGTCAGTCATCCCGATTTCTGACTGAAGATTTTCATTCACATCAGTTTCTTTCAAATTCATTTCATTTCACTTCATCAGACTTCATCTCTTGCATGTATTAAGCATAGGATGAAAAATGAAATGAGTGAGAAATCCTTTCATTCACACTCATTCATCTGAAATGACGGAATCTTTCAATCATTTTCATTCAAATCACAGGAAATCCATTTTCATTCGTTATCACTCACCATCATAATCACTCAAATGAATGAATTTGAACAGGTATGAGAGTAATAACTTGAAAACTACTACTGATTACTTCCAGGAAGACGAGATCACGACGTATTACGACCCCACCTCCAACGCAGGCCGCGATTCGTTTCATATTCGGATCGTGGGTGCGCGTCCCACGTCGACGGGTTCGGTTCTTTTGGCGTCGACTAATCCGCGCGACCCGCCAATTATAAATCCTCGCTATTTGGATGACGCTGGTTCAGCGGATATTCGAATTTTAACGGAAGGAATCACCGCAGCATTGAATCTTGTCGAAAATTCGACAACGTTCCGCACCCTGGGCGCAACTCTGGGTGGAACTTTGTTACCCGGGTGTGAAACTCAGACCCCGCGAAGTATGGCGTACTGGACATGTTACATCCAACGCTTCTCGATGAGCCAGCACGACCCTGTGGGGACTGCAGCGATGGGTGCCGTGGTGGATAGCGATTTGAAAGGTGGGTAGATGGTAAACTGCAAAAATGTTGGGAATTTTTTGCATAATTTTTTTAGCACAAATTATTAATTGGCATGTGCAATGATTTGTCTTAAATACTTTCCGAAGTAAAAACTTCTCATATCTTCTGGTTAGATATTAAATTTTGTTAGTATAATCAAATAGTGTTGTTCTTGCCATATATTTTTTTAGAAATTCGGCTTATTTCTTATTTCAATTTTAGCTTCTGAAGATCAGAATTTGCAAACTCTATCATTTTTTGTGTTGTCATTTTTTATATGGCAATTTGAGATTTACTGAAGAGATGAGACCAAATTCGTAGCTTCCTTCCATGAAGCGTCCTTTAATCCTAGCTTTATTAGTTGAAAAATGCAATATTTAAATTGCTGAACATCTTTTTTCTCAATTCCAAGCCCTTGAATTACTTATTTAATTTACCGTAAATTTAGTATCATCTTGATTCCATATATAATATTTTAGTGACAATTGATAGATTTTCACTTCATTTAGATTAGTTGGAACGAATGAAATTTTGTTAACTAATCCCAAATCTTGTGAAGCAACTTGGTTGTCAGAATACCGACCCTGATCCCTAATTGATTTTTTTAATTTTATTTTTTTCAAAGTTCGCGGCACCCGCGGTCTCCGCGTTATTGATGCGTCCATCATGCCCACCATCGTTTCCGTTCCGACACTCGCGACGACAATTATGATCGCGGAAAAAGGAGCCGACTTCATTTTACGGGAGCATGGCGCAAATTCAACCCAACTTCCATCCATTGGTGGCATTGTGACATCAGCCGTTTTTGGACGGAACGGCCTCCTTGTCCGGAACCCTATCCAGCGCTTCCTCGCATCCGAATTCGACCGGATGAACCCACTTCCTTCCTTATTTCGAATGCCGTTCAATCGCACCGATTTCAACCCGTTTTCCCGTTTTCTGGGTTTCTTTTTACCGGCCGGACAACAACAACCGGGCACTAACCCGGGACTATTTTCCTCCATTTTCGCCATTTTAAATCCATCCACACTGTTGGCAAATTTGCTAACCCCGCCGACCCCACCTCCACCAAGGGTCAGGCCACGACCTTTGCTAAATATTTTGCAACAGTTGGGAGGAAACGTGGGTGGCGCTGGTGGCGGGAATCGCCCTTTCGCCACGAATTCGACGACAAACAATAATTTATTCGATATCATCTTCCCTGTGAGAAATAACACCATCACGTTGCCCAATCCCTTCCAAGACATTTATCGAAATCAACAATTAAACAGTAGAGATAACAATTTTAACATTTTCGGGTCTCTATTCGCCCCAAGAGCGACGACCCCCCGGCCACCCGTAGTGAATAACGCGTCGCCTAATCCCCTCTCATTTTTACTCGGAGTGGGCCAGAACTTTCAAAGAAATCCGGGTTTAGTGCAATCAATTTTAAACTCGGCGGGTCCTAGGGGACAAGTCACGCCATCTCCGGGACGAGTAGTGACATCCTTCATACCGCAATTAGCTTCAGGTTCGTCCCCACTTCCGGTCACGGCGGTTGGACCAAGTCCGATTTTATCAACGCCACCGACACGATTCTGGATAACCTTGCCGAGAACGTCGACCACGACGACACAAATTCCTGTGACGACAACATTGGCGCCTGCAACAACTCCTGGATTGGTCGAAATTCCACTTTTGTCCGGAGTAAATGAGTCCATCCCGTCCTTCACGGTGCCAATTTTTCGTGTAAATGTCGACACGACGGTGACGCCTGTTATACCAGTCGCCACACCCACAACTGCGCCTGCGCCTTCCACATCGACCACTCCACTGGCCCCAACTTCTGAAGAAGTGGGAACAATACCCACAGAAAGTAGTGCTGCTATCGAGGATACCGAAGTAGTCACCAGCATCCCGCCCATCACGGTTGACATCGTCGACCCCCCAGAAAACGTCAACGTAACGTCAGACGCCAACCCTTCTCCCGTCGTCGGCGAAACTGGGTCGGACAACGATATCGATAATCTCCGCACAATTCGATTCATAAGTCACGAAGCGGACAAAATTCGCCAAATGAACCAAAATTTCCACCACGGGAACGAGGTTCATTACAACGACAACGACTTCGCCCCTGCCGCAGAAGACCCCACGCCGCACGACTTGCACCATGAACCAGTCCCCTTGGATTATGATTATGATGAAATTGTGAAAGATGCAAATTATAAGGTGGGAGGGAGGAATATAAATAATAATAATTTTGAAAATTCTGGGAATCCTTATGAAAGTGTGGATGTCGATTATGGGGATGATTTTAGCTCAAATTTGTATAAATAATATGATAATGTATAAAATTGTGTATTTCTCTTTAGATAAAATTGACTATTTAATTTTTGTTAAAATTGTGTATATATTTTGTTGGGAAAATATTTTAAAAATAAAATGAGACATGAAATTTATTGAGCGCATTAATTTCAACCATGCAGAATTTACCTATCATATGTAGATTCTAAATAAATTCGAAGTATACTTATTAAAATATCTAGTTTTGTGTCTGCTGAAGCAGATTTTCTAAAGAAAATCCTATATTTTAAGTCAAAATTTTTGACGATACTTGATGAAAATCCAGTTTAGAAAATCTGGTATTCACGTTCATAGTTGAAAATTTTACAAAACTGTGTCCTTGTTGTGACGTTTAAACGCCGCATAACAAATTTTATAAAAATTTTAATGCCTTTTGACATTAAATGTAGATTCTACGTTCGTGTCGTTTGGATAATATTTCTAACCTGGAGCTGGAATGTCACATTTAAGACTCTTTTCTATTTTTTTTGCCTATGTCTCTTAATTTTGCAAACGTTTGTAGATTTACATATATAGCATACAAGTTTGTGAAAAATGTATAGTTGGCAAGGTTGGCGTGAATTTCGTCATGACTTGCAAAATTAGCTAAAATTGCCAGTTGACCTTCCCCAGTTCACGTTGGATAACAGCGTCATGTGATTTTAATGATGTAATTCGTGACTATGTAATACTTCTGTATATTCCCCACAGAGAAGTATCGGGTGACATATGTATTGAATCAGTGACGTCCCACTAAATTGAAATGGCATGTTTTAAATTACAGATAAAAAATGATGACACTCATTGAAATGCATGCTTATCTTTAGTAGCCGTGCATAAAGGGTGTAATTAATTTTCTGAAATATTTTGATCGTAGCCTGTATTTTTTGTCTATTTTTTCAAATTTGTTAGCAATAGCTGACAAATTATTACAAAGTTTATGAGAAACTAAATATTTCTAAAGTTGGCAGTCAGGTTTATTGGCGAATTGCATATTTGCAGCTTCATCATGCCAAGTTTGATATTGAACTTTGCTCTGATGCCTCCTTAAAAATCATCCATTCTGCACGGTCACTGTCCAATGTCCGAGATTGAGCAGTGGGTTGGCCACATCTAAATATTTGACAACAGGTTACATAACTTATGTAGCATAAGTGTACTTGAGATTAAATAAAAATAGGTTGGACAGGCTCGTTGGCAGTCAGTTTGTTCAATTAATTCTGGAGATATTGTTCTAAATAAGGTAGTAAAAATGAGGAATTCAAATTTGATTAGTTGCATGGTAGTAGTGCTCGTGGCTTATTTTGGCCGAGCAGACGCCGCCGTGTGGAATGACTTTCGAGGTAATTTTTGCATTTTTACTGTTGTAGTTTTTCGGAAACTTTGTTCTGATTCATTAATTTTTAGAAATCACCAAATAGAAATAAAGTTCATAAATTTTTAATTATTATGAAATTAAAGTTTGGATTGCGTATATAATTGTCGTACAAAATTATGATCCATCCCAAAATTTAATGTTTTTTAATCTTTTTAATACCAAAATTTGCAGTGAAATACGACATCAATCCAATCGGAAACTTTAACCGTCAACCACAACTCGAAAGTGGTGCCATTACTCTCGGCTGGGCCCCCGTTACTACTGGCAATGATTGCCAAAATGGGGGCGAATATCTTGGATTTCGTTACATCATGCCGGGTGATAATTCCCTCGGCCTAATTTACGATGTCAACGGAGTCATAGCTGGTCTTCAGATGATGGTATTATTTCTATTTTTTAATTTTTAAAAAGTGTGCAAACTTTATTGCAAACTTTTTCCCCTTTCAAATATCTAACAGATTAAATGTGTATCATTTTTTAAACTGAGCAAATGAAATTTTCATTTTATACAGTTTGCAAAGTTCGATCCAGGATCTGTATAAATTTGCAATAATTTTGCGAGATTATTTTTCTTATCTTGTTAGTTACCTAGTCTTGACCAAATCAAGGATTTTAACTTGTTAATTGTTCGTATTTTGTGTAACCTCAATGCCAAATCAAAATTATTTTAGATAGTTTAAAATATGGTTACAAAATAGGTTTCCGGTATTCCACGGTGTGAGTAAAAAAAATGAAGCTAAAGTCGATACCTTTTTTGATTTAGCTACCCCACGACCTTATCCTGCCAAATAACACGTTCAATTTTGGGGCAAACACCTTCTTCAAGAACGTTACTTATGATAAGGAGTACTTCGTATTAACGGCGTACATCGTCGAGCCAGGTGAGTTTTAGCATTTTAATTACATATGTATGTATGCCAAAAAGTATGAAATTTTGCTCATATAAATTCGCAGTAAGGAAGTATGTATTTTGAATAAATAAATAGCCTCCACATCAGCCAGCCACAAAATCTCATAGTTTCTGATATTTTGTAATGTCAATAAATTCTAGTAATAAACATTTTCAGGGTATTTTACAACGTTTCAAAATTTGTGAATTATAACTTTTTGACCAATCCCTTTATTTACAATATTTTGAAATCGGTGTAATCATCAACCAGTATTAATTTTTACCAAACTATGATTTTGCTTTGTATAAGTTCATGTTTACTAAAAATCTAAACTTAATTTCCCATTTTTTTATTTCTTAGAAATCATCTGCACCACTGGACGCAACGAGTCGGACCTGATTGACGTTGGAATTGGGACAGGCGTTTGGGTTCAGGATGGAGCCAGCCCTGGAACGTATCTCCAAATCCCTGATTTGAGAGAAGAAGCTTTAAACTCGGGATGGTCGAATAACAACTGTTTTGGAGGAATGGGTACGAAAATCAATGAATTTCGTAATTGTTGGGTTAAAACGCCGGAAAATATTTTGTTACAAAACCCCAATGTGTATGGCCAAAGCAGATAGATAATGCATTATCTATCTGCATTATAATGTAGGAAATATGTCCAAAATGACATAAATTTATGTCGATTCCATTGGCATGTGGTACATACAACTCTGCATGCGAAATGTCATTTCATCTGGTGATTCAATTTATTAGCAAAAGTTGTGTCACTTAAAAACAAGAAATGTTGTTTTGACCAGTTAAATCGGCGTGGGGATTTATTTTTGCAACCTATTTGTGCAAGAATTAATTTGAATAAGTAGAAGTTAACTACTGTAGTTAACAACTTCTAAATAAGTTAATTAGTAAGCTTGAGAGGTTTGTGAAATTTGACGTGAATATACAAATAATAAACTGTCGTAAAATGGAGAATTTGTTATTAATTGATGATTCGTATTTCAGGAACGCACAGCTGGTATCGGATGGAGGATTACGAGGCGACCAACTGTACCGAACAAGTGCCCGTTTTCGGCCTTTGGAGCAGAACCATGGAACTCCAAGGCTTCGGTTTTAGCGTGCCGGGTACCACGGTCAATAAGAATTTCGAAAATCCACCCACTGTGGCCATGCAGGTGAGTCATGAAAATAGGCATGCTTTCTACCAAGCTTTGTTACCGACATGAGGTGCAGGTGTACGGAAATTTGGGTACGGAAATTTGGGTCTCGGAAATTTGGGTATAAGGAAATATGGGTATCGGAAGTTTCTGTCTGCAGAAATTTTGGTCTCGGAAATATGGGTAGGGATATATTTGGGTATGCAGAATTTTAGATATGGGAAATTTGGGTATGACAAAAAATACTTTTCAACAATTGCTCTTCGGAAAATGTGGCGCCCTTAAAAGGGCCATTGGTTGTGCGGTATCTAATACATATACCAAGTCAAAACCATATTGGCATTGAATACATGCCTTTGTATATTTCAATTGTTTGAATTCCGCCACGGTTTTAGACCTCGAAACTGGCCTGGGCGAAAAATTCCTGTGGGCGTCAAAAAAAATCGTAAACGGTCGTACGATAACTCATTTTTTTCGTGAGGCCTTGCTGCATCCAATAAAAAATATTGGAAAGTCGAAAAAAAATTATCTATAGAGTTTTATTTTTGGCCTCTTATTTTGAATCTTTAAAAAAATTCTGACCTTTGACCTGTCTGTGACGCTAAAAATCGACGACGCGGAAATTGCCCGTAGATACTTTTGACATTTGTTCCCGAAGTTCGGAATTTTAGAAATTGTGGGATCATATCGAAATAAAAAATATGTCGTTGCATCTACAATTTTGTTATATACTGTAGCTCATGTAATTACTTTGTAAATAATCGGCCCTTTTAAGGGCGCCACATTTTCCGAAGAGCAATTGTTGAAAAGTATTTTTTGTCATACCCAAATTTCCCATACCTAAAATTCTGCATACCCAAATATACCGCTACCCATATTTCCGAGACCAAAATTTCTGCAGACCGAAACTTCCGATACCCATATTTTTACCCATACTTATACCCAAATTTCCATACCCAAATTTCCGAGACCCAAATTTCCATACCCAAATTTCCGGGAATCGAGGTGCATAGATGATAACCTGTAACGTTTTTTTTTTGCGCTAACTACTGCTGAAAATTGTAGATTTTTTTAAATCTTGAAATTATTGATTATACAAACTTCATGTCTTTTACATAATATCAATTTTGACAAAATTGTAAATTTTAACCCAAAATTGACATTTTATCAGATCAATAATTTAAATTGCGAACAGTCAATTTCCTGGTCACATTTTATGGTTGGCTTTAATTATACCAATAAACTAATAAATTATTGCAGCTGAGCATATCTACTTTTGGAAATATTATAAACTACTCTGTTCTGTATTTCAAAAATTTTAAATTGAAATGAAATGCAGATATTTACTAATTTGATATGCATATTTTCAATAAAATACGTTAGAATTTAAAAACTCGAACGCACATTGAACAATGTTTGTTATCAATGTGTAAAGTAAATACAAGCCTTTGACGTGCATGACTCCAATTTTTACGGGATAAAGTATATATTTATTGTAAATTGTATCGTATTTTCGAAACAAAAAATCAATATTCCTGTAATTTTTCTAATTTTTCGAAATGTGTATTCAGCTTATAGCCGGAGCTCCAGCACCACAATGTCTCTTCGATTCCAACAACTTGAGTAAGATTAATGTTGATTAAAGGAAAACATTTAAATTTAATTTATTCCATAATTATATGAACATTGTAATGTTTTATAGTCGGAAGCACAACGATGCACGTCTACTTCATCAACAACCCTTGGCTGATTGCTTGTTGAGGCTAAAGTATTACAAAAATTCAAGAAAAATTAGCAATTTATTTATTTATTTAGATTGACTAATTGTCCGTGAAAAGAATTAATAAAATCACTGATTATAACATAAGAACCGTGTTACATATGCACATAAGTTTTCACAATGTGTAATATACAGTGAAATTATTTGTGCGTCAAACTAGTAGATAACAAGGAACTGCAAAAATTTTGCATCATTTTGCATCATCATCACCATTTGCATAAATCCATAGGGTTAAATATATAAATTAAATAATAATATGCATACATAAATCTCACTATGCACATTTTCTGCAATATGGGCTTTCCGTGCGGAATAAATTCTGTCTCTCGTGAATGCGTCAAAATATGTAAATGAGGTGACAAACACAAATAATTCCACTGTATATTTTACATCTACATTTTAAAGTTAATAAGTATTTGGAGGGAATTCAGTGCACGTTTGTATACTCAAAGTTCTTTTTACCAAATTTTCTAAAATTAAAAGAAGCCTTTTTTGGAGTGCATAGTTGCATTTTTCTTTGTATTCTTCATAAACTTGTGTAGACAGATATTAAAAACTTCCTACGGAATGATTCCTTTCAGAACTGTTATTGGTATATAACTATTCACGTTTCTCCAAAAATGTACCGGGCTGACGTCAAAAATAACTAATTGTAAGTATTATGATATTAAATATCAAGTATTTTAGATAAGAGCCTGGTTGAATAGCGACGGCGCAGCAAGTTCGGCAGGTTTATGATCAAATTTTTAATTCGAAAAGCCGTCATTACCATTTTTTATTTCATAATTTGGAAAAAAAGATAAATTAAAATTGAAAAAGGAAATCTAAATTGTACGAATTTGTATACATATATTTGGATTTGCAAAATTATAATTATTAAAATAATTAAATCAAATAATCACTAATCAAATTTAATTACTCCTGTCAAGTAGGTGTAGTTGAAAAATCTCGAGTTTTTCACACACTCACAACCATATTCCCCAGGGTGGTTCTCAAGGATTTTGACCTAGGTCCCTTGAGTGACCTTCCAGAAATGACCAAACTTTTTGCACAATATTTAGTTTTTACACTCTACTTTTTGACCTCTTGAGGTCCTATTTGGCACACGGACTCGCAACCATATTCCTAGAAATGGTCAAAAGTACATGTATTTTTAATATAATTGTATTTTGAAAATACAAAATACGTATTTTGTATTTTGTATTTAAATACAAAATAATCGAAGTATTTTGAAAATACAAATGTATTTTGAGCCAGCATTGGGAATTGTATTTTGTATTTTGTATTTTACAATTGGAAAAATGTATTTTCACTTCAAAATACAAAATGCTTTTCGAAAATACAATTATGTTAATCGCGCTACCTTGCCACCAAGTAAATGCGGAGCGAGCACACGCGAGAAAACAAGAGAACTTTTATAGAAGGTTTAAACGGTAACTGACAACTGAAGTAATTTCGTCAAGGCCTTTAGAGTATTTTTTGGATTCGAAAATTCTGATAACGAGGAAGATGAGGTGGACATTGAAGGGCTTGATTTTCTTGACACACATCTGATATGATCTGCGAGATTCTAATTTAGACATTTCACTGTCATCCACCTTTGTTCTCAAGTCGCACAAACAGTGTAATGAGCACTTCGAAAATAAGCAAGCAATTATGTAATTTTCGGTTAACTTGTTTTTTTAAATTACTAAATCAGGTTTACTAGTGTAAAGAAATATGTTAAATTTTTTGGATCTACTAAATCCATAAAGCGTGGAGTATTTTGTATTTCAAAAAGTATTTGGATACTAATTATTGTATTTTGTATTTCAAAAAGTATTTAAATACTGTATTTTGTATTTTGGCAAAAAATAATCAAAGTATTTTGAAAATACAAATGTATTTTGGGCTCTGAGGTGTATTTGTATTTTGTAGTTTGAAAAAATGTAAACCAAATATTACACAAAAAGTTTGGTAATTTCTGGAAGGTCACTCAAGGGACCTAGGTCAAAATCCTTGAGAACCACCCTGGGGAATATGGTTGTGAGTGTATGTGCCAAGTTTGACCTGAAAAGGTCAAGTATTACGGTCACTAGAGTGTAAAAACCAAATATTATGCAAAAAGTTTGGTAATTTCTGGAAGGTCACTCAAGGGACCTAGGTCAAAATCCTTGAAAACCACCCTGGGGAATATGATTAGCAATGTGTGTGCCAAGTTTGACCGCAAAAGGTCAAATATTAAGGTAACTAAAAACGAGACCCTGTTTTTTAGGCGATTTGTGCGGGATCGAGCCTATCGTTGTGCGCGCATAGCCTTGAGATTCGGCGGGGTAAGGTTATCTTGATGCCACTGTACATAAGAAGATTGATTGATTCCCTCCTGTAATCTTGTCACATATTATTTAGTAAGAGTCACATGTAACAAATAATCACCGATTTTTACTCATTTCCACATATGCATATTAAATAAGTAACACATTTCCTCATCGACGACCACTCATCTAGAGTAATTAGTCCAATTAAATAATTTGTGATTAAGATTATATTATTGCCCTTGTTCTACATTCAATACACTCATTTCAATCGGTATCTTAATAATCTACTTAAAACTAAGCAAATGGGGACATGCGGGAAGGATGTCATCAAGTTATTGCCAAATCATTGACACAAAATACTTGGTAACAACTTGCTACCGAATCGTAACAATAATTTCTTAAAAATTCTCGGTCATAGCAATTTTAATTTCGTGTAAATTTTTGTTACATTTTTGTTACAAATCGTTACCAACCCGGTAAAGCTTAATGTAAACAATTTTATTAACTTATTTTGAGCGTAATGAAATCCTCCTGAAAAAGCAACTTACTTACTGCACCGTCCCTCGTAATAGTAAATCCAGCGGAAGTATGTTACATTTATCTGTTTCGGGATCTCCTCAGCGGATGCCTTATAATAGCAAAAACTAAAAGTAGCCTAGAAATCCATCCACCTCCACTTGAAGAACGCATTACGGTGAGAAATCCACCAGGTAAGTTGGACCGTGGGAAGCGATAAAGTCGTTTCCGTATCAGCACAATTTGCCATTACGTACTTACCTACAACGCTTCCATTAATTAACTAACCAACGTTTCCATTGAGGAGCTACATAATCCAACCTCGAGGGTTAATAATGCTGCGACAACAATAACAAATTTATCAGGGACAAAAATCAGGTAAAAATAAGTAAAGTAGATCATCCCTGCATTTACTTGTGTATGTACCTCTGAATTTCGTATGTGATACCATAAATCGGATCCTTTGTTTAATTAGGTTATCTTAAAAATGGCACACAATTATTACGAATCCGTCAATTATTCAGTCTTCTTGATGTCTGTCGTATGTACGCAATCAGTTCTTCTAGTCTCTTCTCACGTTTGCAAAAATCATTGCAAAAAATTTTATTATTCATAAAAAATGAATTTTCAAAATTTTAAAAACTGTTGGAAACTTTCACTCTTAATTTTTTTACTGTACTTTCTCCCCCGTCAATTGGTGACTTGTGTGAAGATAAAGTCTGGAAAAGTGACGACAACCACGCCGTCCAGTGATCAACAGTTTTTTAACCCTAAATTTAATCCGTCCCAACAAATAGTGACGGACGTTTTGACCCCGACACGTGACCAAGTTGGGGGGAGGAGGAAGGGGAGCGGGAAGGGGAAAAAGGGTAAAAATAGTGGGGGTGCGTGGACCCTGGAATATCCACGAGTTCCGGGTGAAAATTTGAGTTTAAATGCAAATTTTAGTAAAAATCAGGACACATTTTCGACACAGAATTCACTCAGGAATTCGTTTACTTTCTCACCCACGGGATTAGAGGAGGCGAGTTGGGTAGGAATTGGGGAAAATGGGTGAGTGTAAAAAAATAAATTGGAATTTTTAATACGAAATATAATTTACCTCACCTCCGGTGACATTTGACTCTTTCAAAATCTGAATACATCGTCATCTTCATAAATTTATTTTGGGTTTCTGAATTTCAAAAATTTTCCACCATTATAATAACGCTATAATGGTAGATTGTAGCATGTTTTTTCTTGATGAATGAAATAATACCAAGTTCTTAACCCCGTACCTTGAATCCATCTACATAATTAGTTACTTACATATTTCAAATACTGCTCGTATTTTGTATTTGGAATGGAGATGACACAATTTTTTTAATCCGAATTTATTATTGTTAATTACATTACGAAAATTAGTTTAAGTAACATGTGGGGCAAATTTTGTTGTGTTACTTATTCAACATAAAGACTGCCATGAACTACTCAGAAGAGATTTAGTCAATGCGATTTTCCTAATTTTTAAAAATAAATCACCTCATATTTAGAAGTACTTATTTAATAGTCGCAGAAACGTGATTTCCACAAAACAGTAAATTGTGCAAATTTTTAAAGATTTTTGCTACAAACTTTTAAATTCAAATGATGTGCGCAAGTTCACAAAAGAGTTAATTTTTTTAGAAATTACGGCACTTAATTTTGACAAAGTCTTAGGATTAAGTATGGGAGATTGGGTATTTGTAAATTTTCAGATTTTATCAAGTTTCTCAATTATACAAACATAGCGCAAAAATTTACAAAATTTCGGAATTTTTGAATTTCTATAATTCTTCATTGTTCAAAATTTATTATAGCGTGACCCACAAATCTCAAGCCGTGTCGTCAACGCCCACACCCTCGCAAAATTATGCCGTTCTCAACAGACAACCAATATTGCCACCGGTACCGCTCCCAACGCCAGAACCACGTCTGCCCGCAGATCACTACACTACGCCTACTTCAGTTTCCGTAAGTTTTCGATAAATTGTGGAAATTTTGCTGTAAATTTCTCGAATTTTCTAATTTTGCTGCAAATAACTCACCAACAAATGTTGCTAGCATAACCTGACGCTACCAAGTTTGGTAATAGTTTGTTTCTGACTTGGTTTTAAGGTGCCATAAATTGATGACAAATTTTTAATTTCGCAATTTTACCCCACTATTATCAGTAGTAAGTAAATGGGATAAGACGCGATAGAGTAGTTAACTATCCTAAAGTTGAAAGAAACGCTTCACATTTTCTTAATCTTAATTTTTTTTAGTTGAAAAAAAGTAAATTTGGAAAATGTTTCGTTAAGAAAATACAATTTTTACATGATTTGTGCCCATTGGCAAATAATTACGTTGTAAACCACAACTAACCGTGAGTTGACATAATTCAATGGAAAATGTGTAGCTGAAGACTTTGGATTTAAATTTCGATTAAAATAAAATTTCGTAATTCTTATTTTTCTTCAAAGGGACCATACAACGGAAATATGAGTGTCATGTGATTCCTAATTTTTGGCTTAATTTTTTGACATAACTCGCCAGAAAATCCCGGTATAGCTTGAAAAAAGGTTTCATTGTATGTCGCTTTGGAAATGTGTCAGTTCGACGTCAAAAAATTGTAGCGCATGTAAAAAATGATAGCATAGATGATTGAAAGATTACTAGATAAGACCCTAGGTTAGTACAAATTGCAATTGAGTGTCATTTAGAACTTCTAAATTAAAAGTTCAGCCCTATTTTTATGCAATTTTCATTTTCTACACAACTTAAGACGCGATTTTGATTCTGAGCAGGACACCGCATTCGAACCGAATCAGGTCCAATTTTACGAACCATTTTCTTAACTTTTACGTACAACTGATCAATTTGATCCACACATTTCTGACGTCGACTGGAACATTTCCAATCGAGAAATATTAGCGGTTTGCATCAAATGTTACGTTAAAATGTGTAGAAAATATATCGTACAATTGCACCAGATCCTGTGTCCTCCTAATAAGCAAAATCCTATTCTATTTTATCCCGTGGAAATTCAAAATTGCATATAAATTGCAGAAACATTGCAATAAACTTGCAAATCAAGATTAAATTTGACATTCAAGACATCTTTTAGTCAACTTTGCAACCTTTTTTTACAAACACACATTTCTGACGTCGAACCGATGCATTTCCAAATTTGGAAAAAAGTAATCACTAATTTTAATCAGTTTGATTTTTTAGTTATGAATTAAATGACAATTGTGGAGCTCTATATATATTTATGCATCCATGTGCGTTCGGATTTAAATTTTCAGTGCAAACTAAGGGATGCATGCACAAATTGTAGTGCGTTATTTTGCCCACGGCAAGACCTAAATAATTCGGGAGGTCCTTTCAATTTTGCAAATTATCACAAGCTTTTATTCAAATTTTAATGAATTAGTAATTTTGAATAAAATATATCCCAGAGGTGACTAGCGTAACCTTAATTCCAATTTTAATTAATTGATAGAAATTTGTGCATAAAATTTAATTTAGGTAACAATGTTTGGCTTGTGAATACATAACACAACGAATTTATAAATGGTTATACATTCATGTTTGTCCTATATATTTTTAGTTGAAATGAAATTTGTGTAAAAAATGCATACATATTTAAATTACCAAAGTATACGTTTATATAAAATTTGGTGAAATATTTTTTTTATTAAATATTTATTTGGTATCCACAAATTTCTGAAATTCTAGCAATCTTACAGGTAAATCGAATCGGGCTATATGTGCCTGACACAGACGGCGAAAATGATGACGATCGAGAAGATGAGGATTCACATTCGGAAGAAAAATCAAAGGAACATTCAAAACGGAAAACTAAAAAGAAGAAAAAGTCCAAAGAACGTAGGCATTCTCAAAAAAATCGTAGCGATTTGTCCTCCAGCAATGATGATGGCGATGGACCACCAGGCACGATGGATGTCAAGGTAAAGATTTTATACAAATTGAACAATTTACTCGAATATTGTTGACCTATTAAATTCTTGAACATTAAGAAACTTTGGACAGAGGTTGGGATTCAAATATGTTTTACCGAAATAACAATTTTATGTTATTCTATAAAAAAAAGGCCAACAATTAGTCATCTATTTCTGCACATATCGTTCAAGAACATTACAAATACTTTTGATTGGAATTGAGATTGCACAAAATAGATTTTTGATCAATCTTAAATTCTACAGAATTTGTTCTAATAAATGGTACTTTCATAAAATCCGTATCTATACCAAATAGTAAATGTGTCTGTGAATCTTATAAATTAAAAAAGAAAATCTCGCGAACTTTATTTAAATATTTAAAAAATTACTAATTTAATTTATGTAACACGATTTACAGTCTACTGACAATGAGTAAAAAATCAGAGTGAATTGCTAACCTCAGTAAACTGAAAACACAAAAAGAAATTGCTGTAATTCGAGTATCTAATTATCAGAATACAAAAGTCTTAAAATTTTCCAGCTTTTTCAAATTTTACAATTTTTGAAACAAATTGCAAAAATAACTTTTTCAAATTCAAATGTTTGTATATAACTATTAATACCACCTTGCAATTTTCCCTAGATCCAGCAACTAGAACAGCTCGTTACCTCTCTTTCTAAAAATGTGGACGTGATGCGCCAAAATACGCAAGTGATCTCGAAGGGTTTCAACATCTTGTCGACACGCTTTAATAAATTGTCCTCTGATCAAGACGAGCTGAGTTTGAAGCTGGACAAAAAATTTGTCCTTGTCGAAGAGGGTATCATCCGCATGCAAAAGGTAATTATTTCTAGTTTGCATGTTTCTTTCTTTGATAATTTAGTGGGGAATTGTGCAATTTTTTTACTGCGTAAACCTTGCAACATACTTTTACATTGCTAATTATACGACGATTTCGAGATGATGATTCTAGTTTTTATGTATGTATGTAAATTATTTAGATACGGACTAATCTGACAATGAGTTTGTTAAATTCGTTTAAGATTACACAGTTACCAAGGTTAGCCTGAAGTTTTTAACACATTTTATCAGGTTAAAAATGAAATAAGCAATGCATGGGTTTACAAAGTTGTTTTGTAATTGTGTGCATATGAATCTCTTTGTCCAATCTTACTTAAAAGCAAATTGTGCTTTTATGGTCAATGTGCAATAAAAAAAGCGTAATGGGTGAAAACCAAATTTTGTCATAATCATTGCTAATTTTGAGTAAAGTTTTACTAAATGACAGATTTTAAGATCCGAGTGAATTTCATGATTTTAATTTCAGAATTTTACTTTGTTAAAATTCTTTCAGTGTCATCTTGATTCTATGTAAATTCAAATTTTATATTTGTTGGTAACATCTATAAGATTTTGTAGAACTTGTTGGGATGAGATGAATTTTCTTTTTCCGCTATAATTCCGGTGTATTTAATGTGAATGAATTTTTACACATTTTGGCAAATTTGATATCAATTCCTCACCTTTGTGTTTCTTAATGCTTTGCAGGAAGTTGGAAAAAAACTTAAAGACATTGAAGCCAAGGGGGAAGCTGGAATCAAAAGTTTGAAAAAAACTGATCAGGAATTACTACAGGTTAGTTCGGAACATTAATGAGATTGTGGAAGGATTTTCAATTAAAGAAAAGTTTTAAGCAGACTACTTAAATTATGAATATTTGAAATATTGATAACGTTTGTAGTTTGTGTAGTTTTCACAAATTAGTAAAATTTCAGATAATGCAAATCCTATTAATTTTTTGCAACGAATCGGAAATTTTTTTAATTCGTTGAGCTCAAATTGACACAAAATTGAAAATCACTGTTTTTAAATGAAGACAAAAAGTCGAAAATTAGGGAATTGTAGGAAAATTTAGACAATTTAACATAAGTTATCATGTTAAATTACAAAATTATTAACGATAAGTATTTGTATCCGCCTTATGCATTTTTGGTCATGTTGTTATGTCATATGTGTCAAAGATTCATAAAAAGTTCATACTCTTCATATTTTTTCTGCTCAATGTTCCCCAAATTAATAATTTTTTAAATTATAAATTTATTTTTCAAATTATAAATTTTTTTCGACAGTCCCAAATCAACACGAGCCAGGAACACAAGCGTTGGATGGAAACCCTGTCAGGCAAAATTGTCGGTTTCAAGACGGATTTCGACAACGAGTCGAAAGTCTTGGCGGAAATGGTGAAGGCGTTGGCGGAAATTCAAAAGAAGGAGAAAGGCAAGTTGGACCAATTGGGGAAAAATTTGGACGCCGAGATGGACAAATTACGGGACACGTTGGAAGAACAAAACAAAGAACAGCAAGACAAGGGGAATGAAGAAGAGGCTGAAAAAGATGCCAATTTCCAGGAGAGGGTCGGACAAGATAATTTGCTTCTGGCGAAAAGGGTGGAAAAATTAGAAATGGTAATGAAATTTTTAATTCCGACGAATTGTTAGAAAGTTTCCGAAAATTATGATTTCACCTCGTCCAGATTTAATCATGACAAACAGATTTAGAAACACGTTGTTTTTATTTGCGAATGTTTGTTATGACTTTTGGTATTTTATTATTTTTATTCAATTTTGAAATTTTATTTCTCAAAATTTCAAAATTGATAAATTATTGAAGCATGATTTAAAAATTTGACTTAACAACTTCATTTATTAAACCATGTCTCGAAATTCTGAGCTTACATATGCTTGAGTTTTTTTTGCTGGAAATTTCCTATTTCTTCGCAGAAAAATGGAATTTTGTGAAAATTTTCGTTACACACATGCAAAATTATGAGTCGTACCACAATTATTCGTATCGTGGTAATATTATCCAATATTTTATTTGTAGTACATGTTATGAATCCCAACATCATCCCCTTCAAATTTACATATGCATTTCCAACTTCATAACTTTTAGTAAAAATAAAATAGCAGATTAACAGCTTACTAACAATCTTTCACGATATGAGAGTAAGGTAAAAATTTTGGAAATGAATTTTTGGCGTCTTGGTAGACACAAAAATGTCTTAAAAGAAACGCAAAAGTTTGGCTACCAATTAAATAATTTTGAAGCCACATATGTGCAAAATATGGACTTTAGTTGCGAAACGGTCCCGTAAATTCCAAATTTTCTATATATTCTTGATTTTTTTTGGCAGAGCTTAAAATCCACTCAAACTTCGATGCGAAATGAGTCCGACATTTTCCAACGCGAACTCGGCGACCTTTCGAAGTACGTTGAAGACAAGTTGAAACGATTCGACGAGTCATTGCAGGACCAAAACATGGCGCACAATATGGCTCATGAGCACATTTCAGAAAAAATGGATTCCTGGTCGTCCACGTCGCCAACGATGCAGTCCCACTTGGCTCGTGGAGATGATATCGAGATGATTGAAACCAATCCGATTTACCCCCTCGTTTTGGACAGGTTGTCGAAATTGGAGAAAAATGTATCCGTCTTAGAAGAAAATTATGGAAAAACTAATGAAAAAGTGGAATCCATGGAGGACACGGACTTGTCGATTTTGAGTAGAATTGCGGATTTGCGAAATGTATGAGCAATGCGAATTTTTAAATGGGCTTTGTTACAAATATGAACATACTAATTTTTCAGAGCCATGCGGCGGAACTGAACGGTACGAAAATCGAGGTGGCGCATTTATTTGAAAAATTGTCGAATGCAGAAACAAAATTTCGGGAAGTTTTAGAAATTAGGGAAGGAAAATCGAAATCGAGAAACAATCCAGAACTGCAATTCACACATGATGGTGACAACATGCTGATGGAAATTGGTGGTTTGGTGAGATCATAATTAGCCTGATACGTACAGTATGCTTTAATAATTTTAATAATGATCACCAAACTATAATGCAAATTTTCCGCGAAATGGAAATTTGTTACTATTAACGGAACGTTTGGTAGCAAATTTCAATTTTGTTCAAAACTATCGATGCTTGGCAAATTGTTGCAATTGGGAAAATTGTATCTTGTTTAATTTGATACAATGCACTCGAATTTTGTAACGAAGTAATAATTCCATAAAATTATTTTACAAACTATTTCGTATTTTTTGTAAACTTTTTAAAAAATATTTTCAAATTTCCGGAGTTTACTCAATTGCAAATATTAGAGCGAATTTTATCAACATCAAAATCCGTTGAGGTGGTTTTTTCTAACTGAATTTTAACAATAGAGTATGGCCGACCCTACTTTCGAACCACCACGAACCGAGGCGGCCCCACCGCAATCGCTCCATCGCACGACGACAGATTTCTACACGACGGTAGGACTTGGAGCTGACGGGGGCCGAGATGCGGAGGGCGTTGTTGTGCTGAAAGAGAGGATGGACTCGGTTGAAGAAAACGTAGCAGAATTGTGGCGCAGTCAGAAGGAGATAAAATCAGAGGGGATCGAATTGATCAGAGATTTGCAAGAGGTTCGAAAAACTAGGAAATTTTATTTTGCGTTTCACTGCGCTAGTTTATAAATTTTCATAATTAAAATTAATTGGCATTATTTTGGAAAATGCAAAGAAAATTCTAGGTTTGAATTTTATTTCAATGTTTTTTTTTAATCTTTGCAACATTTCACATTTGCAAAGATTATTTGCGAAATTTTATTTTTATTGAATCCATGAAGAATTTTGATGTGCTAAAGCAATTACAAATTTCCAGACTTGTGACATCTATGTATGAATTTAATAATTTACTGTATGCAAATTTCATGCATATTATAAACAATATAATTATGAACATATTTGCTAAAAATTAATTTGCCAATTGTTTAAATCAGACCCAAGCCAGATCACAGAATGATGCCGAACTCAACCAGAAACGGATTGACGCCACCACAAAAGCGTTATCCGATCTCGTCAGAAACACGACTTATCGAATAATCGCCGTCAAAAGGCAGATTGACGACTTGGAAGAACTTTTGAAATCCGATCGCCGTGGCGAAAGTCAAAACGATGAAGAACCTCAAAATGAAGAGGTCTTTACAAAATTTTGAAAAATTTTAGAATTTCAATTTGGCACATTTTTTAAAATTATTTTGGATTTGCAGGTTTCCGGCCGGGTTAAAACGTCGTCTCTTATTCCGGAAGACGTTAACCTACTGAGGGAAGAGATTCAAAGTGTGCGAAATATTGTGGACGATTTGTTATCATCGAATAAAAATGTGACCAAGGCGCAGGAATTTTTTCTGCTAAAGTTGCTCGAAATGGATCAGGTTTGTGTGAATATTAATTGAATTCTTAATTAATTTGCATTCAAATGAAATGAAAATCTCGAAACTAAATACGACTAGATTTATTATTTTCCATAATGCCTCGAAATCCATCAAAACTTTGATCGAGTTTCAAACATTTTCATTGAACCAGTTATCAGCTCACATATTTACTTGTTGATTGGTTTATTGGCTGATTGATTGGTTAGCTTGAGAAATCAACGCTCTAGAAGTAATCTATTACACAACCCTTAATATATGTGTTGTCAAAATTAAATTTAAACGACGTGGATCTTTGAAAATTTGTAGCAAATGCAAATTTGTAGCAAATGTTTGAAACATCTAGATACAAAAATTAAAATAATAACGTAGAACAAATATTGGTAGGAAAAGTACATTTATCTAAAGGTCAATTATACATGTACACTTGAAAATTATAGATTTTTTTCATAATTTTTGCCAACAATTTTCCGTATTTTTTTTTACAAATTTCTATCAGGAGCATAAAAAAGACAACGAAACTCTGGCCGAAGGACTCTTTTCGTTAAGGAACGAGACGGAGGACACCTTTTTAGAAGTGGCGAGATCCGAAGAACGCCTCAACAAAGTCGTTCAGCAGTTTGAAATCACAGACGTAAATGAAATATTTATAACGTTACAAATTTCTGGTTTAGCCTTTCAGTACGTCAATTTTTATTTTGCAGGCTGAACAAGTCAAAATTCGTGAAGAGTTGTGGAACATAAAGGATCGTTTAAACGGCTTGGAGGAAAATTATGTTAATTTGTGGAAAACAAATAAGAAATTCATCGCCGAATTGGAACAAGTTGTTAACAGCGTGGATAATATTAATTTGGTAAGTGAATTTTGCAGATAAAGAGTTCTGTTCAAGGGTTTTGGTGTGATTCAGAAGTGCTTGCCATAAAAAAACACCTGGAACAAATTACTGCAAGAAATTGTTTTTTGCAGGCATAATTTCTTGCAGTAGTGCAAGAAACGCCGAAATATGAGCACGCCCTGTTAACTAAATATTGTTGAAAGTGGCTCAAGTATTTATTTGTAATCGAGTAAATTTTGTAAAAATATTACACAAATTTTTACAAAAAATCAAGGAATTCTAAAATCTAGTATTTGTAAAGTCGTCTCTTAATTTTCATAAACTTCTATAAAACTGAGTTTACTACCCGCATGAATTGACAAACATCGAGCTTAATAAATTACACTAGAATTGATTTTCCTTATTTTGTCACAGGTGCACGGGAATGAATTGCAAACCCTGTCCACCGATTTCTCTTTGAGTAAAGACAAACTCGAAAATGTGACAAAAACTTGGCGAAATTTGGACAATCGGTTATCAAACGTGGAACTTTTAATGGACATGGACGTCGCTGTGAGTAAAGATGAAAAGTGAAAAATTCGTGTACAAAAAAATACATAATTTCCATTTTTATCCTGCAGCAAGGTCATGAACCTAACACGAGTGAACTTTCAAAATTAAAAGGCCGTCTCGCAAACACGGAAAAGGATGTTTCCGAACTATGGAAAAGTTCAGAAATCTTGTCCTTCCAACAGCAAGTGATGGCGGAAAATTTCAAGTTTTTGGAAGCTGTAAATTATTAAAAGCAATGAAATTACTAATTTACATAAATTAAAAAATGACGCTATTTACAGACACATGAAAACGATACGAATGTTGCATCAGGAGAAAGAAATCGTAATCGACATGACGCCCAGGATTTGAAATCACTTTATGCAAATGTGACAAAGCGATTGGCATCGGTAGAAAAGGTACGAAACAATGTTTTTTTTAAATTTTAAAAATTTATGCGTCAGAATTTTAGCTCTTTCAATTATGAATGATTTTCATGAATAACAAAAAATTAATTGGAACGCTGTGTGAAAATTCCCACTTCAACATTTTAACATTTCCGAATGTTCCCTAAAATATGACCACTTTTTAAATCATCCCCAGTGCACGAATCCACCGTACGAAACGAAAACTATCAATTTCCTCATTCCTGACTGGGCAGCAACTTCGAGTTCCGACGGCGGGCTGGAAGATGCCTATTTGGAGTACGAAGTTGGCGGTCTGGTTGGTGAAGAGTCTAGGTGGAAGGCTTGGTTGGGGCTAAATGGAACTCATCTCACCCTATTTAACATGTTAGTCAGGGCCGAAAATGGGATGTGGAACGAGTTCGAGGTCCAACTAATTGACGGAGATGGTCGAATTTTCACAACTTGTGAGTAAAGAATTACGACAAAGTTGTTTCAATAAGTAGATGTAAAACCAGATCATTGAATAAAATCGGGTTTAATTACAGTTGGGCCAGAGCAACATCTCTATGCTCGAAAAGGCGACAGCATTTCGGTGTCAAACGTTGTATCCCGTCAGACATTAGAAAACCCCAAATTTGGTCTGCTATCCAGAAATACGCTTCGATTGAAGGTCAAGGTTCGTGTCTACCCGAAGGTGGACAAGGTCCAGTCTGAAGTGGTAAATTAATTAATTTGACGGTTAATTGCCCCCAAAAATTGAAAAAACTCGTATTTAAGCAAAATTACAATTTACCTCCTTGCGCAATTTAGAACACCCAGAAACAAAACCCATCCGAAAAACAGCTCGTTTTATGGGAGGTGAAAAACTTGGCGAATAAGTTGTCGTACATTGCAAAAAATCAGGACGAGTTATTCCGCGAGTTAAATGTGACAAAGGAGTTCGTCGCAGGTCACTCATGGAACGGATTCAGTTTATGGCGTGCGGGTCTTTTAGCGAAAACGATAAGTCGCCAAGTTTATCTCGGGCTGAGCGTGGATTTAGTGCAGGCTGACGCTGACTGGAAGGCGTTGGAGGCAGAATACAATGTCACGATGCTCGACGCACATGGCAGGATTGCCAAAGAGTTTGGTGAGTGAGTTAAAGTGCATTCTAAACAATTTGGTAACAGTTTGTCACTGAAATTCTGCATGATTTTTTCCCAGTTTACAAAAATTTTGATTCAATTCCACCGAAATATTTAGCAATTTTCGGATTTCTGATGTTTACACGAATATCTAAATGCATAAGATTGCGGAAGTTAAGCCTAAAAATTTATAAAATTACTCAGAATTTTATATTAACTTAAAAACATAACTGTAATTGTGACCCGAAACCGAAATTTTTACACTTTTGACTTTCTTACCCCCGAGGTTACCCCTTACCGAAAATAATTTTTCTTAATAATATTCTTCTAATTTTTTGATAGCCATTTCGCCGAATGACTTCATCTCTGTGTCTGCCCGTCACTCGTACTTCATGCTGTTGGACGATGTGGCGGAGATTTTGACCCGTGGCGACGCCCTCGCCTTCCGCATCAACTTTGACCTAAGGGCAAAACGGAAGGCCTATGACGTCGAAGTTATCCGATAATTGAGAATTATGCAAATTAGAGTATTTATTATGGTGTCGGTACAAAGTAGTTATTTATTGAGTTGTTTTGTATTTAAATGATAAGATTTACGTGGGTATTTTTGTATGTAAATAAATAATTAAAGATTTTATTACCGTTGAAAAAATTAATTAGTCGGGTTTAGAAAGATTTTTATCCATTTTTTGTTACCCACTTGTAAAAAATGCATTTTATCCTGTTGTGACGAACTATCTTATTTAGCTTGTTATTTGTTACCCTTTTACGATTTGTTTATCCGACATGAAAATCATCCAAATTGGAAATATTTAACTTTCTGGATTAATTGCAAATGTGAAGTAAAATTATCATTCACTTACTCAAAATCAAGTACGGACACTTTTTTTATTAACAGTTTTCGTCATTAAAATTCATTAAAATTTTTATTCTAAACTTGCTAATTCGAAATTTTCATTATATATAAATCAGGACGATTTTAGCTTAGATTTCTTCTTATCCTTTCCACTACTGGATCCACAAAAAAGTTTAAAAATTGCTTTAAGTAGGAAGCAGATTAACTTGTACGTAAAAAGAATAGCGAGAAAGATGCTGCCCCAAATGTCGAGTTGGCGTTTCTTCCACCACGGAAGGTGGACTGACTGGGGGCGCAGGTGCGTGGCGTTGTCGTGACGTAAAGCGTATTCTGTCCACCAAACTGCTGTGTCCACGGGACGGGCAGGTCGGTCGCGAAAAATTGTCGATAGTCGTTTCATATTGGTGGAAAATCTGGAAAAAATTACAAATGGAAGTTTATTATGAGGCAATGCACACTGTTTTTGGTAACTTTGTAAAATCCGCAAAATCCGTAAACTTCAAAACTGTTGTAAATATTTCTGAGAAAAATTAGCCTACTAATTTTAGTAAGTTTGCTCAAATCAAGGGCGTCTTTTTATTTTGTCATTTGTAGAAGTTTGTAAAATTATTTTACAAAATTACGGACTTTACAAAATTGGACTCTTTGAATTTCCTCGAAAATTTGGAGTCACACTGACAATGCGATTTAGTGTGAACTGTAACTCCCCGATTTGGTTGAAATTGTAAAATTATGTGGTCCATGTCAATATAACCAACGTTTCTTCCGGCAGTTTCCAGTAGTTTGTGCGATGGTCAGAATTTTGAAAAATATGCGATTTTTAGCACGGGTAGAGAATGGAAGTTGAATTTGCTTCCTTCGCTTGGTAAAAATTTTCAGGTTTGTCCTAAAATATTTTCCCAAATTTTGATCATCGCACAAACTGCCTGAAGAAACTTTGGTTTTATTGATATGGACCACATAATTTCATAGTTTCAACCAATTCGGAGGGTTACACTTCACACCATCGCATTCTTAGACTATCAATTTGTAACTCTTTTACTGCATTAAGTATAAAGTATAAAGCTTGAAGCTTTGAAACTTTCACTTTCAAGCAAAAACCCGAATTCTCACTCTTTGTCGTCTAAAACGCGTCGAATTGCGGTTGTGAATTTGTCCTCCGTGATGGTGGTAATTTCCAATTGGACGCCGACTTTACGCCATTCCAATTTGTTGGCGTTGTAGTCTTGCTCGGCAAACACGGGGAACCTGTGTATTTATAAAAATATAAACAAAAAAATAATTGTAAAAACTTTGAAATTTTCTTTGAGAATAAATAATAAAAAAAGCAAAATAAAATAAAAAATACGAACGCAATGAGTGGCACGCCGTTGCAGATTGCTTCCTGAATTCCGAGCAAACCACCGTGTGTGATAAATGCTCTGATTTTAGGGTGGGCTAAATATGCGCAAATGTCAAATAAAAAATTAACCAATTACACATAATTTATCAAAATTACCTAAAATGTCCTGTTGGGGCATCCACTTTGCGGTGTAGATGTGGGCAGGGAGGTCCTTGAGGGGTTCGGCGATATCAATTTTCCATAGAATTTTAATATTCCTCAATTTTCTTAAAGTATTAACGATCTCGTTTTGAATGTGAGGAGGAAAATTTGCAATCTCTACACATGATCCAAAACTCATATAGATGAAGCCTTCATCCTTCTCGCCGGAAGGGGTGGAGAGAAAATCAGAAATTTCCTTGAGAATAGGTAAACCAATTTTTTTTTAGAAATTAAGGTCCCACAAGTTGTGAAAATTTATTTGCAGAAAAATCACATCATAAGCCTGCTTAAAAATCAAGTATTAGCAAAATATTTACGAAGCTTTCACCAACTCAAATGATTAGGTTTCTTGTTTCGAAAAAATAGTTTTCCAAAATTTTGTTTAGTAATTTACTCCGTTCGGTTTTCGTGAAAGTCGATTGCCAATAATTTGATTTTTAAGGTTTTTTGATTTCCTCAAGCTTTGAAGATTTTATTTGACTTTTAATTTTTTATTTATTTGGTTTTTGATTTATTTTTTTCATTTTTTTATTGTTGCAATTTTAAAATTTAAAATTTTTAAAAATTTGTGTATTTTTTCAATTTTTTAAGTCTATTTTAACAAATTTCAACCTGCCGATGAATACATACAGATTGAAATTTTGTGCCAAGATTCGACCACAAAAATGTTATCAAACTTCGTCATTTTCCTTTTTTCCATTTCGTCATTTTCCCATTTTCGTCATTGAGAGAAAGTCGGAAATTTCCTTAAATAAGAAGTAGAAAAATCGATAATTTTTGAGAAACATTTCCAAAACCATTTCGAAAATCTCATTGATGGTAAGTGTAAAAAAACAAGTAATGAAGTTTGACAAAATAAGTACGAAGCTTTCATCAAATTAAATCATTACGCGTTGGGTTTAATATATAAGTTTTGGAAGAATAAAGTCGTTTTCTAGTAATATGATTTTTTTTAAGAGTAGGTAATGTCTTTAATTTCATGGATAAAAAATGTGAACTTCGCGATAAATAAGTGCAGAATAAATAATTGTGTGCCAAGTTGCAGATGTTATCAAACTGACAGCGTCATTTTTCGGCACTTTTCATACAATTGTTGTTTGCTTATCAAAGACCAGACAAAAGATGTCGAATGAAGATGTGTGTATAAAAAATGTGACTCGCACATTTACTCAAAAACCAGTTGAAAATCGTTTTTGATCCGACAACTAATTCCGTCACCACCACCAAATTATTTATAGTGTACGGGATATGGCGCAAATGCAAACGAAATGAAGCAAAAGGGTGAAGCGACACGGTCACGCGGTCATTGAACGTCAAAACCATCTCGATTTTTGAAATCTTATAATGCGATGGTGTGAAGTGTAACCCTACGATTTGGTTGAAATTTTGAAATTACGTGGTCCATGTCAATACAACCAACGTTTCTTCAGGCAGTTTGTGCGATGGTCAGAATTTGCCAAAATATTTGAGGACGAAGTTGAAAAATGTGCAATTTTTGCACGGGAAAAGAACGCAAGTTGAGTTTGCTTCCTCCGGCAGGTTAAAATCGTCCATTTTCAAAACTTTGACCTCAAATATTTTGCCAAATTCTGACCATCGCACAAATTGCGTAAAGAAACGTTGGTTGTATTGACATATGGACCACATACTTTCAAAATTTTAACCAAATCGGAGAGTTACACTTCACACCATCGCATTGTTAGCTCTAAACTATGATCAATAAAAAAATACGACACTTTTGACCGTTGGTCTCATCACTGTAGCGCCATGACCTTATGACTTACAATGCCCATCTTCAAACTCATCCGTACTTCAAAAATTAGAAACACTTTAGCAAAAACTACATGTCAAAATTCAAATCCGTTCTAAAGTTATCGTAGATGGACGGACGGACGGAGGGATAGGGCATTTCCATTAAGGGATTTCGCTTCGCTTCACCCATTATTATATGAATTAAGTTAACTAAAAACTGACCAACCTTGGGGAGCGGTTTCGTCTTCTCGGCGCAGTGCATGCCCCCAACTGAGACCACGTTGGGTGGGAGTGGTCTCGCAAAGTCTTCGCCGTAATGAGTATTGGCTAAAACGAGGCTGGTGGATTTTTCAAAATCTGACGCGGATGGAAAATCAGGGGCGAGTTTTTCCCGAAAGATTTTCTCCAGGGCAGGAAAATAGAAGTTTTCACGGAGAAAGGTATAGTACATAGGAGTGAAGACCCCCTGAATACGACCCAAGAAAGATAGCGATGCTGGTGGAGATGGGTGAAAAGTCTGGTCAGGAATCCAGGAGGCTTCGTCGGGAAAGCCGATCGTGTCTACATACCTGAAAGGGAGATGTTCGCATATGTTACCAATAATTGGATAAAAATTTTGCAAAAAATTTTGGATTTTATGAATATTTGTACTATATACTTTTATGAATATATATAGCATTGTACAAATGGGGCACAAATATTGTTCGAAATATGAAAATTGTCACAAAATCTACTGATATTACATGATTTTGCCAATCACATATGGATCTTTCTCACCATCTATAATATTTTACGACGCTTACAAATTGCAAAATTCTGTAAACGTCGTAAGAGTAGGCAAAAATTTCCGTCTTTACACTTAAATATCTATCCAAATTTCTCTAAATTTCTCAAGTAAGCAAAAACCTGGCCAATGCATAGGACTATTATACGCAAATATAAAAATTTTGCATTTTACCCACCAAGGGAACGGATTTGCCGTGTTGAACAACACGAGTTTCGAACCGTGAAGATACGTCCAACCATACGCGCATTCGTTCGCTAATGCGTCAACGACAACCATGTCGAATTTAGTATTTTTGACAAAGTCGACAAAATTTGTGTCGTTGAAAATCGTGGTGCAAAGATTTATGCCATGATCCAAGAGCGTAAACCAGTTCCACTCAATTCTTCCTGCCACACGGTCTTTGAAAAATGGTGCCTTTTCGTCGAAAACCAGCCAGGGGACCATCGATTTAGGGACGTAGTCCGTCACCCCTGCGGGATTGGGCGATTTGGAGGGAAATGGCGACACAAAGGTCACGTTGTGACCTCGTGCCGCAAGACTTTCGACGAGAGGCCAGGCAATGATTCGGTGCGAATATGAGGATAATCTGTAAATTAAGGGAAATGATTTTAAGCCACAATTTGAGAAACAACTTGCATTCGTAATATTGTTCAACAATTCTGATGCTTTAATTTTGTGTAAAACCGAAGCAATTTACACTGTCTTGGGTAGCATTATAAAATCCGTAAGTTTTGTAAACTGGCAATTATTAAGTTTACAAACTTTCACATATAAAAAGACGATGTTGATATGCATTAACTTTTCCTGCATATTTTCCCTGCATATTTATGTAAAATAAAATATGTGAACATTTGCCAGCTTATATAGGATTTTATTGTTTACGATATTCCCAAGACTCTTAACTGTGTGAATTGCATCACCGCTGCATTAAATAAATTGCTTTATTAAATTTTACTTACCCGAAAAAAAACATGATATTTACTCCATGGCTAACGTTCAGAGTTGTTCCGATCAAGATGATGAGTACCAGTGGCAATTTAAAGTGCATGTTTTTTTTGCAGGAAATTAATTCTTAAGCTATTTTAAACTTCTTTTTTTAAAACTTCAACGTATTTTCCACACAGGTGAGAGCACCACAACGTCCAGACGAAATATGAGTGAATATTCATTAACTTCATGCGTGGACGATGGCGACTAATAAAAACCGGTGAGAATATTACGTAAGGGGCTGTGCATAAAGCATTTCATTAGTTCGAAGGAGACCAAAAGTCAAGACATCCTACACATAACTCCATGTTAATTACAGCATGGGTCACGTAACTCTCAAGGGTCAAATTCCAGACAAATGGATACCATTCTTTATGCACAGCGCCGAATTATAGCCAGTAGACCTTCAACCTTGAGTTGATTGCAGAGGAACATGTGACATGACATGCAAAGTCACATAGGATAATGAGAAAAAAGTGTTTTGTTAAAAACCAGATCGTATAAATGAGTCTGTATGCATGTATAAATGCATACATCCAATTTAATAATATTTGGATTTGATTGAACGTAGACAACCTGTCTCGACTTTACGGATAAGATAACGAAACAAAATAGCACGTAGAATCTCAATTAAATTTATAGGTATCAACTCAACGAACCCAATGAATAGCTTTTGTCGTCGTTTACTGATCAATCATTACTGCAATTCAGACGAATATTAGCCCAGAAAACTTCGAAAGGCACATGAGTATTTTGCACATTTGCAAATATCAAGTGCTCAATTAATCTTTGTTGTAGGCTCTGTGCAGCTTGATATTATTTAGTCGCACACAAGTAAAACACACACTTCAATAACTTCCATCCCAAATTTCAGGACCCTCTTTAATGACTGATCCGATTTTTTTTGCGGTTCTGTATCTTAAGATACAGAATAGAATTCTATTTTGTCAAATTTTGGACATAACTCAATTTGAGATTAATCAATGCAAAGGGTGTGACGACGAAATTCTTTACGCTGCAAAATTCTCACTTTTCAAAGCATTTCCGTAAGTGCAACACGATCATGAATATTTTGGTGGATACATGATTTTTTTTGTTAGTCTGTAAGTTCTGACCGTGACCACATTATGTAGATTCAACGATGACGTTTTCTTTACGATGGACTATTCATATTTGATTTTCGTTTAATCGGTTTTACATACGTTGTTCCAATCCCTGGCACCATTTGGGCAAGAACTATTCGCATGAAATTTGTGCATAGCCTTTGTTTTCCTGGCAAGTGGATTGTTGAGGTCGTTTTTCATCCTTGAAAAAAATTTGTGTTCATACCATGACGTTTTTCAGGCCGATCCGAATTTTGGTGAAATTTTTTTCACCTACGATTTTCCCCGTTTCTAAGACCTATATCTTCATGTTATGATGCTTATGCTTATGCATGATTAACACTTATCTTGGTTCCACTTATGATAAAAAATTCCACTTAAAAATGTTGACGGGATCATTAATAACATTTGGTTTTGTCTCAAGGGTGGGCCAAAAAATGAATATTGTCGAATGAAATCAACACCCTCTAGATATGCAATACAAAAATTCAAGTCGTCGATTTCGTCTATTTTTTTGGTAGCCATTTCGCCGAATGACTTCATCTCTGTGTCCGCGCGTCTGTCTTACTTCCCGTAGTGGCCAAAATTTTGGCCCGTGGCGACACCCTCACCTTCCGCATCAACTTTCGCCTGAGGGCAAAACGAAAAGCCTATGATGTCGAAGTTATCTGACAATTTAGTAATATGCAAATTAGATAATTATGTATGTACGTATGTAAATGGTAAGTAGTTATATATAGAGTTGTACCGTATTTAAATGATAAGATTATCATGGGCATTTTTTGTATGTAAATAAATACATAACAATAAAGATATTATTATCGTTGCAAATTAAATTGTTCAGGTTTCGAGAAGTTGTTTTTTCCTATTTTTTACTTATTTAAGAAAATATGTAACTTACACCGTTGACGGTCACAGTGGTGGATCTTAATTACTGTTTAGACTGTCAATTGTTAACGATCTGTTGAAACGACGTGAAAATCATTCAAATGGGAAAAATTTAACCTTTTAGGTTAATCGCAAATGTTAACTCGTACATTTTTTATTATTAATCCTTTAAATTAATGGCTTTAATTGGTTCGTGACTGGTAGAAAAGTATGAAACAATAATTTCTCATGCGAAAAATAAATTCACTTGCACATTTGCAAGTGAATTAATTTTGTCACGTGAAATTTGAAGTAAATTATTTTGCATTTACTCAAAATCATATACGGACCCTTTTCTTATTAATAATTTTTAAACATCATCGTCATCCAAAATTCAATAAAATTTGATAATTTATAACTTCCATTGCATATAAATCAGGATGATTTTAGCTTGGATTTCTTCTTATCCTTTCCACTACTGAATTTGGAAAAAAGTTTAAAAATTGCTTTAAGTAGGAGGCAGATTAATTTGTACATTAAAAGAATAGCTAGAAAGATGGTGCCCCAAACGTCGAGCTGGCGTTTTTTCCACCATGGAAGGTGGACCGATTGGGGGCGCAGGTGCATGGCATCATCGTGGCGTAAAGCGTACTCTGTCCACCAAACCGCAGTGTCGACTGGACGGGCTGGACGGTCGCGAAAAATTGTCGATAGTCGTTTCATATTGGTGGAAAATCTGCAAGACAATTTTAAAATGGAAATTTATTTAGAGGCAATTGAAGTCTTTGGTAACTTTGTAAAATCCGTAAACTTACAAACTTTTACAAATATTTCTGAGGAAAATTAGTTTATGAATTAAACAAAAAATTAACCCATATCAAAGTTTCATTTTGTACATGTTTGAAAAATTCTTTATAAAATTATGGATTTTTTAAAGTTACCAAGGACTGCGTGAATTGCCTCGGAAATTTGAGGTCGCACTTTGACCGTCAAAGTTTGACGATTAATTTGTAATGATTTTAGTCCATTATTCAGAGTGTGGTTTAGTCGGAAAATGATTATTTCTTAATCCATGCCAGTCGTCAGACTTTGGAACTTTCACGTTAAAGTAAAACCCGAATTCTTACTCTTTGTCGTCTAAAACGCGTCTAATTGCCGTTGTAAATTTGTCCTCCGTGATTGTGGTGATTTCTAATTTCACGCCGACCTTGCGCCATTCTAATTTGTTGGCGTTGTAGTCCTGCTCGGCGAATATGGGGAACGAGATGAGTGGTACGCCGTTGCAGATTGCTTCCTGAATTCCGAGCAGACCAGCGTGTGTGATAAATGCTCTGATTTTAGGGTGGGCTAAATGCATATATATGTGCAGAAATCAAATTAAAAATTCACGATTTAAACACATAATTTATTAAAATTACCTAAAATGTCCTGTTGGGGCATCCACTTTGCGGTGTAGATGTGGGCAGGGAGGCCCTTGAGGGGTTCGGCGATATCCATTTTCCACAGAATTTTAATATTCTTCAATTTTCTGAAAGTATTGACAATCTCGTTTTGAATGTAGGGAGGAAAGTTTGCAATCTCTACACATGATCCAAAACTCATGTAGATGAAACCCTCGTCCTTCTCGCCGGAAGGGGTGGAGAGAAAGTCAGAAATTTCCTTAAATAAGAAATAGAAAATCGATAATTTTTCAGAAACATTTCCAAAACGTCCTAAAAATTTATTTGTTAAGAAAATTTCAGCGATGGTAAGTATTCCCCTTTTGTAAAAAAAGCAAGTAATTAAGTTTAACAAAATAAGTACGAAGCTTTTACCGAATTAAATCATTACGCATTGGGTTAAATAATTAAGTTTTGGAAAAACTTAAAGTCGTTTTCTAGTAATAAGGATTTTTTAAGGAAATGTCTTTAATTTCAGGTATAAAAAATGTGAACCTCGCAATAAATAAGTGGAGATTAAATTTTTATGCTGATCCTAAGAACTTAGGAAGCAACTTTGCAATCGTAAATATGTTATCAAACTGACAGCGTCATTTTTTTCGGCACTTTTCGTAAAATTGTTGTTTGCTTATTAAAAACCAGACCAAAAATGTCGAATGAACATGTAAGAAAAATGCCACTCCCACATTTACTCAAAAACCACTTGAAAGCCGTTTTTATCCGACAACTTTTAATAATTCCGTCACCACCACCAAATTATTTATAGTGTACGGGATATGGCGTAAAGTAAACCGTTGCAAACGAAATGTAGCAAAGGGGCGAAGCGACACGGTCAAACGGTCATCATACTTCAAAACCATCTTGATTTTTGAAATCCTCGCTGTAAACTACGTTTAACACGATCAATACAAAAAATTCGACACGTTTAACCATTGGTCTCATCACCGTGACGCAGTGCCCTTATGACTTACAATACCCATCTTCGAACTCATCCATACTTCAAAAATTAGAAACACTTTGGCGAAAACTGTATGTCGAAATTCGAATTCGTTCTAAAGTTTTCGTGGATTGACGTGGATACAGACAGACGGACGGACAAGACATTTCCATAAAGGGATTTCGCTTCGCTTCATCCCTTAATAAATGAGTGAAATTAGGTAAAACCTGACCCACCTTGGGGAGCGGTTTCGTCTTCTCGGCGCAGTGCATGCCCCCCACTGAGACCACGTTGGGTGGGAGTGGTCTCGCAAAGTCTTCTCCGTAATGAGTATTGGCCAAAACGAGGCTGGTGGATTTTTCAAAATCTGACGCGGATGGGAAATCAGGGGCGAGTTTTTCCCGAAAGATTTTCTCCAAGGCAGGAAAGTAGTAATTTTCACGGAGAAAGGTGAAGTAAAGAGGAGTGAAGACACTCTGGAAGCGTCCCCAAAAAGATAGTGATCCTGGCGGAGATGGGTGGAAAATCTGGTCAGGAATCCAGGAGGCCTCGTCGGGAAAGCCGATCGTGTCTATATACCTGAAAGGGAGATGTTCGCATATTTTAGCAATATTGCAAAAATTGGGTAAGGATTTTACGAATAATTTTTGTATTTTGTGAATATTTGTACTATCTACAAATTTTATGAATATATACAGAATTGTACACATGAGTCATAAATATTTTTCGAAATATGAAAATTGTCAAAAAAATGTACTTAAAAAAACATTGCATGATTATGCCAATCATAACATGTGGAACCTCTTCACCCATCTAAAATATTTTACAACACTTACAAATTGCAAAATTCTATAAACGTCGTAAGAGTAGGCAAAAATTCCGGTCTTTATTAATGCATTTATCTTTCCACATTTCTCTAAATTTCTCAAATCAGGAAAATCTGTCAAATGCATGGTACTATTACATGCTACGCAAAACTACAAATTTTGCATTTCACCCACCAAGGGAACGGATTTGCCGTGTTAAACCACACGAGTTTCGAACCGTGAAGAAACGTCCAACCGTACGCGCATTCGTTCGCTGACCCGTCAACGACAACCATGTCGAATTTAGTATTTTTCACAAAGTCGACAAAATCTGTGTCGTTGAAAATCGTGGTGCAAAGATTTATGCCATGATCCAAGAGCGTAAACCAGTTCCACTCAATCCTTCCTGCCACACGGTCTTTGAAAAATGGTGCCTTTTCGTCGAAAACCAGCCAGGGGACCATCGATTTAGGGACGTAGTCCGTCACTCCGGTGGGATTTGGCGTCTTGGAGGGAAAGGGCGACACAAAGGTCACGTTGTGACCTCGTGCCGCAAGACTTTCGACGAGAGGCCAGGCAATGATTCGGTGCGAGTATGAAGACAATCTGTAAATTAAGGGGAAATGATTAATGCGTGCATATTAAGCAGCAATTTGCGAAACAACTTGCATCGTGGCGCCAGGCATTCGTAATATCGTTCAACGTTTATATTTGTAATGCTTTAATTTTCTGTAAAACTGAAAAAATTTACAATGTTCTGCGTAAGTTTTGTAAATTTAAAATTGTTTAGTTTACAAACATTTACACATAAAAAAACGAAGTTGATATGCATTAACTTACGGCGATTCTAAGCTGATTTTTCCTGCATATTTATGTAAAATGTGTGAACATTTGCCAGCTTAGGATTTTAGTCCTTACAATATTCCCAAGACTCTTAACTGTGTTAATTGCATCACTGCTGAATTAAATAAATTGTTTTGTTAAATTTTACTTACCCGAAATAAAACATGATATTTGCTCCATGGCTAAGGTTTAGACTTGTTCCGATCAAGATTATGAGTACCAGTGACAATTTAAAGTGCATGTTTTTTTTGCAGAAAATTAAATCGTATTTAGGTATTTTGATTTGAAACTTCTTTTTTAAAACTTCAACCTATTTTCCACACAGGTGAGAGCACCACAACGTCCAGAGAATATAGATGAGTGAATATCTATTAACTAACTTCATGCGTGGACGATGGCGACTAATAAAAACCGGTGAGATATTAGGTAAGGGGCCGTGCATGAAGGATTCCATTAATTTGAAGGGGACCATATAGGTCACGACATCCTACTCCATGTTAATTACATCATGGGTCACAAACTCTCACAGGTCAAAATTCTAGACAAATGGATACCATTCTTTATGCACAGGGCCAAATTATAGCCAGCCACTTGACCTTCAACCTTGAGTTGATTAGCAGAGGAACAGGTGACATGACATGCAAAGTCAGAGGATAATTAGAAAAAAGTGTTCTGTTAAAAACTAGATCGTATAAATGAGTCTGTATGCATGTATAAATGCATAAATCCAATTTAATAATATTTGGATTTGATTGAAAGTAGACAATCGGTCTCAACTTTACGGATAAGATAACGAAACAAAATAGCACGTAGAATCTCAATCAAATTCATAGGTATCAACTCAACGAACACAATGAATAGCTTTGGTATGTCGTTTACTGATCATTCATTACGGTAATTCAGACGAATATTAGCCCAGAAAACTTCGAAAGGCACATGAGTATTTTGAAAATTTGCAAATATCAAGTGCTCAATTAATCTTTGTTGTAGGCTCTGTGCAGCTTGATATTATTTAGTCGCACACAAGTAAAACACACACTTCAATAACTTCCATCCCAAATTTCAGGACCCTCTTTAATGACTGATCCGATTTTTTTTTGCGGTTCTGTATCTTAAGATACAGAATAGAATTCTATTTTGTCAAGTTTTGGACATAACTCAATTTGAGATTAATCAATGCAAAGGGTGTGACGAAATTCTTTACGCTGCAAAATACTCACTTTTTCAAAGCATTTCCGTAAGTGCAACACGATCATGAATATTTTGGTGGACACATGATTTTTTTGTTAGAATGTAAGTTAACGATGACGTTTTCTTTACGATGGACTATTCATATTTGATTTTCGTTTAATCGGTTTTACATACGTTGTCCCAATCCCTGGCACCATTTGGGCAAGAACTTTTCGCATGAAATTTCTGCATAGTCTTTTTTCCTGGTAAGTGAGACTTTTTTTTATTGTTGAGGTCGTTTTTCATCCTTGAAAAAATTTGTGTTCATACCATGACGTTTTACAGGCAGATTAGAATTTTTGTTAAATTTTTTTCACCTAGGAATTTCACCGTTTCTAAGATCTATATCTTCATGTTATGATGCTCATGCATGATTAACACTTATCTTGGTTCCACTTATGATAAAAATTCCATACTTAAAAATGTTGACGGGATCATTAATAACATTTGGTTTTGTCTCAAGGGTGGGCCAAAAAATGAATATTGTCGAATGAAATCAACACCCTCTACATATGCAATACAAAAATTCAAGTCGTTGATTTCGTCAAATTTTTTGGTAGCCATTTCGCCGAATGACTTCATCTCTGTGTCCGCGCGTCTGTCTTACTTCCCGTAGTGGCCAAAATTTTGGCCCGTGGCGACACCCTCACCTTCCGCATCAACTTTCGCCTGAGGGCAAAACGAAAAGCCTATGATGTCGAAGTTATCCGATAATTGAACATTATACAAATTGGATTTTATGTATTCATGTAAATTGTGTTGGTACAAAGTAGTAATCGTTATGTCGTATTTTTTAAATGATAAGATTAACATGTGCATTTTTTGTATGTAAATGAATAAATGAATAAATAATTAAATATTTTATTACCGTTGAAAATTAAATTGTTCAGATTTGGAAAAGTTTTATTCTCTTTTTTCTGTTGCCCACTTCAGAAAATATGCAATTTAGGCAATCTCAACTAATGAATCTTAATAAAACTGAAGATTGTCCATTATTAATTATCTGTTGCAACGACGTGAAAATCCTTCAAATTGAAAAAATTTGAATGACTTTTTTTATTAATGATTTTTAAACATCATCGTCATCAAAAATTAAATAAAATTTTATTTGAAACTTCTTACTATATATAAATCAGGACGATTTTAGCTTAGATTTCTTCTTATCCTTGTTGGATCCGGAAAAAAGTTTTAAAATTGCTTTAAGCAGAAGGCAGATTAATTTGTACATTAAAAGAATAGCGAGAAAGATGCTGCCCCAAATGTCGAGCTGGCGTTTTTTCCACCACGGAAGGTGAACCGATTGGGGGCGCAGGTGCGTGGCGTTGTCGTGGCGTAAAGCGTACTCTGTCCACCAAACCGCAGTGTCGACGGGACGGGCAGGTCGGTCGCGAAAAATTGTGGATAGTCGTTTCATATTAGTGGAAAATCTGGAAGAAAATTTTAAAATGAAAATTTTATGAGGCAATTCACACCGTTTTTGGTAACTTTGTAAAATCCATAAGCTGACAAACTTTTGCAAATATTTCTGAGCAAAATTAGCCTATAAATTTTTGCAAGTTTACTCAAATCAACGGCGCCTTTTTATTTGTACAAGTTTGTAAAATTATTAAGGGGTGAAGGGGAGCGCCTTTTTGGAAATGTCTTGTCTGCTACCACATTTTGACATGCAGTTTTCGCCAACGTGTTTCTAATTTTTGAAGTGTTCGAAGATTGACGTTATGGGTCTTAAGGTAACGGCGCCACGGGGATGAGACCAACTGTCAAACGTGTCAAATTTTTGGTTTCTACCGTTTTAGACGTAGTTTTGGGAGAGGATTTAAAAAATCTACATTTTAACGTGCCATGACCGCGTGACTGCGTCGCTTCACCCCTTAGCTACGTTTCGTTTGCAACGGTTTATTAAGTAGCGTCAGCTACTTATTGTGATTGTTTTGTCCGTCCGTCTGTCCGTAAGCAGGATATCTCCAGAACGAGTCAACATAATCAAACCCCGTTTTCGCCATTGTGCTTCTAATTTTTAGTTCTCGGTCGAGTTCGAAAATGGGGTCAATCGGACCACCCCCCACCGCGCCAGGGGGTGTGGTCCAAACTTTAATTTTCATGTGGGGTGTCATTTTAAAGGAAATTTCACCACGAATTCAAAGATGTTAATATTTTTGACCTTATGACCTTGAGGACGAGGTCAAAGGTCACAAGATTCATAATTGTCATATGGGGTATCATTTTAAAGGAAATTAGACTGCGATTTCAAAGACATTAATATCTTTGACCTTATGACCGTTGGGACCAGGTCATATACGGAAACTTTAAAGGAAACTTGAATCGGTCTGACGCTACTTATTTACATTCGTTTGGAGGGTTTATTTTACAAAATTACGGACTTTGCACAGTTTCCAAGTAATGTATGAATTTCCTCGGAAGTTTGGAGTCACACTTTGAGACTATTAATTTGTAAGGTTTTTGGTGCATTATTCAGGTGACGATTAGTAGGCAAATGAATATTTCTTAATCCATACTAAATGCCAAACTTTGGAACTTTCAGGGTAAAGCAAACCTTAAATTCTTACTCTTTGTCGTCTAAAACGCGTCGAATTGCAGTTGTGAATTTGTCCTCCGTGATGGTGGTGATTTCCAACTGGACGCCGACCTTGCGCCATTCCAATTTGTTGGCGTTGTAGTCCTGCTCGGCGAATATGGGGAATCTATGTATTTATAAAAATATAAATAAAAAAATTATTATAAAAACTTTGAAATTTTCTTTGAGAATAAATAATAAAAAAAGAAAAAAAAAGAAAAAATACGAACGCGATGAGTGGGACACCGTTGCAGATTGCTTCCTGAATTCCGAGCAGACCAGCGTGTGTTATAAATGCTCGGATTTTAGGGTGGGCTAAATGTGTACAAAAAATAAAAAAAGTCACAAATTACACTCATAGTTTATTAAAATTACCTAAAATGTCCTGTTGTGGCATCCATTTTGCAGTGTAGATGTGGGCAGGGAGGTTCTTGAGGGGTTCGGCGATATCCATTTTCCATAGAATTTTTGTATTTTTCAATTTCCTTAAAGTATTGACGATTTCGTTTTGAATGTGAAGAGGAAAGTTAGTAATTTCTGCAAATGATCCAAAACTCATGTAGATGAAACCCTCGTCCTTCTCACCGGTAGGGGTGGAGAGAAAGTCGGATATTTCCTAAAGCATTGTCAAACCCATAATTTTGCAGATCACACGTTGTAAAAATTTATTTGCAAAAAAATCACGGTGTAAGCCTTCTTAAAAATCAAGTATTTAAATTTAGCAAAATATTTACGAAGCCTTCACCAACTCAAATCGAGGCTCTAATTATACGAAACTATACGAAATTATACGAAACTGAATAAATTGAACGCCAAAATAAAAATAAATCGTATTAATAATAAAACAAGGTCGGATTCGGTTGATTCGGCTAATGTAATCCGAAACAGCAGCGGCCGTTAAGTGGCGACTCAGAGGTCATAGGACGATAAAAAAAAATTTCCTTACCAATATTCATATTAGGCTTCAACTTTGCAAGATTTTTGGAAAAGAAAATTTTGGGCCGGTGACGTCGCAAAATTAATACTACCATGTGGTCTCCAAACTTTTCACTCTAAGAGCCTCATTGGCAGTAAACTTTGGTTCACAAAACTTGTTTTCCAAAGGAAAACAATTTGTTCCTCCGTCTGGTTTCCGGTTTTCAATAATTTGATTTTTTAAGAAAAAGTCTTTCATTTCAAAAAATTTGCTCCTCGCGACGAATAAATGCTGATTTCGTGCCAAGTTGCGCCCACAAAAATGCTATCAAACTTCATTTTCGACACCTTTCATAAAATTATCGTTTCCTAAAAAACCATACCAAACTTGTCGACTTAAGATGCAGATCAAATGTGACTCCCGCATTTACTGAAAAACCAGTTGGAAACCGATTTTGATCCGTCAACTTATTCAGCCACAATAATTACGTCTCGTATTTCACGTATTTTAAATACGTGACATATGTAAGTGACAGAAGTAATTAATTAAAAAGAAAACTCAATTAAAAACCTTGGGGAGCGGTTTCGTCTTCTCGGCGCAGTGCATGCCCCCCACTGAGACCACGTTGGGTGGGAGTGGTCTCGCAAAGTCCTCTCCGTAATGCGTATTGGCTAAAACGAGGCTGGTGGACTTTTCAAAATCTGACGCGGATGGGAAATCAGGGGCGAGTTTTTCCCGAAAGATTTTCTCCAGGGCAGGAAAGTAGAAGTTTTCACGGAGAAAGGTGTAGTAAAGAGGAGTGAAGACACCCTGAATGCGTCCCCAAAAAGATAGCGATGCTGGTGGAGATGGGTGAAAAATCTGGTCAGGAATCCAGGAGGCTTCGTCAGGAAAGCCGATCGTATCTACATACCTGGAAGGAAATATGTGCATATTTTAGCCATAATTACAAAAATGAGATGATATATTTGCACAAAGTTCTATTTTGTTGAGTGTAATCTTCAAATTTTGCGAGCATTTTACAAATGTGACACAAATATTTTTCGAAATATGAAAGTTACTTAAAAAGTATAGCATGAATTTGCCAATCGCAACAGAACTTCGCCCATCTAAAATATTAAAAATATATCTAATTCATATATAAATGAGCGACGCTTACAAATTGCAAAATTCTCTAAACGTCGTAAGAGTAGGTAAAAATTCATAAAAAATCCTCGCTTTACATTTATCGTTCCAAATTTCTCTCTCAAACCAGAAAAATATTCCAAATGCATTGGACTAAATGTTAAGTAATAATACAAATTAAGTATTTTTCACCCACCAAGGGAACGGATTTGCCGTGTTGAACAACACGAGTTTCGAACCGTGAAGAAACGTCCAACCGTACGCACATTCGTTCGCTAACGAGTCAACGACGACCATGTCGAATTTAGTATTTTTCACAAAGTCCACAAACTTTGGGTCGCTTAAAATCGTAGTGCACAGATTTACGCCATACTCCGTGAGCTTAAACCAGTTCCACTCAATCGTTCCTGCCACACGGTCTTTGTAAAAGGTCGCCGTCTCGTCGAAAGACGTGAGCCAGTCGACCATCGATTTAGGGACGTAGTCCGTCACTCCAGTGGGATTTGACATCTTGGAGGGAAATGGCGACACAAAGGTCACGTTGTGACCTCGTGCCGCGAGACTTTCGATAAGAGGCCAGGCACTGATTCGGTGCGAATATGAGGATAATCTGTAAATTAAGGGAAATGATTTTAACCCACAATTTGCGAAATAGCTTGCATCGTGCCGCCGAGAATTCGCAATTATAAAACCCATAAGTTTTGCAAAATTACAATTATTTAGATTACAAAACTTTATGAATAAAAAAGACGGCCTTGATCTGCATTGACTTAAAAAATTGCATATAACCAGATTTTTCCTGCATATTTATTATTAATGTAAACGATGTAAACATTTGCCAGCTTACGGATTTTTCAGTGTTTACGATATTCCCAAGGATTGCATTGCATGAACTGCATCACTACTGCATTAAATAAATTGCTTTATTAACTTTTACTTACCCGAAATAAAACATGATATTTGCTCCATGGCTAACGTTAAAAGTTGTTCCGATCAAGATTATGAGTACCAGTGACAATTTAAAATGCATTTTTTGCAGGAAATTAATTCTTATACTATTTTAAACTTCTTTTTTTAAAAACTTCAACGTATTTTCCACACAGATGAGACCACAACAACGTCCAGACGAAATATGAATTAATATTAACTTTAACTCATGCATTTATGATGGTGATTAATAAAAACCGGTGAGAATATTAGTATTATTACGTAAGGGGCCGTGCATGAAGTATTTCATTCAGTTGAAGGGGACCATATATGTCAAGACATCAAACATATAACTCCATGGTAGCTATAATAACATGGGACACATAAACGTGTTCTCTCAAAGGTCAAATGGTAGAAAAATGTATGCCATTCTATATGCACAGTTCTAAATTATAACCACTAGACCTTGAGTTGATTGAAGAGGAACATGGCAAACACGCTGGAGAGTAAGAAAAAATAGTGCTCTGTTAAAGCTTATATACATTGTGTATCAGTATATGAATCTGTATTTCTGTATGCACGTACAAATACATACATCCAATTCAATATTCACGTGGATTTGACTGGACGTAGCAAAACTGTGTCAATTCTGCGGATAAGATAACAAAGCAAAATATTACAAAATATTAAAATCTCAATTAAATTTACAGGAGTGTCAAATCAACGAACCCAATGAAACTTGTATAAATTTTGCATGTAATAGTCACTCACAGCAATGTCCAATATGTTGTCACATGAACATTACTCAAAAACTCATGAAAATCACATACCGATTACACATGTACACATTATACAAATTTTCAATGATTAATCATCCCTTGTTTGACCAAATAAAAAATAATAATTACACAATAACACCCATCCATACAGACGAAGAGGAAAATTCATGGTTTCTAATCTGTTTCTGCTCCCACAATTAATTTTTTTCTCGATCTTTACGAGATATGCACCCTTTAAATAATTTTGTACACACACACGACCAACGAAATTTGACGAGGAAATATTGAAGCAACAGGATTTATTTATTTTAGATAATTTGGCAGTAAATCGCAAGAACACAGCTTGGCAAAATTTTAATTTGCATATTTCTTCTTCAATATAGAAGTCTCGAATAGTAATAGCTGTTGTCGTAAATTGGCGTATAATTGTATGTGGGCAGTGTTCGGTAATATCTCGTCGTGGTGACAGTTCTCGTTCGTGGGGGTTCAATGTGGTAGTGATAGACGGGCGAGTACGTCTCATTCCTCACCACCGGGGGCGATGGGGGCGCGTAGTAGTGATATTGCGGTCGCGAAATGTGGCGGTAGGTTTTATAAATTGGCTGCAAGTAGTTCGTAACGGGCGGTGGGGTTCGAACGGTGAGCGACATGCCAAAGTCCGATCGATACCGGGAGTAGGGCAAGATGTCGTCGTAATAGTAGCTGGATCGATACCGCGGATAGTCGTAGTAAGTGGATGGCATTGTTGACCAATCTGTAAAATTGGGAAGGCGATGTTAGTAAAATAGTAGAAGTTAAAAATCTGAATGATTTATTAATTTCAAAGTCGCTTTCTTAATAAGATATTGCCAAAATGTGTCATTTTGCCCCCAAAAATGCTCTAGCTTTAACTTCAGCGTGTCTAGACATGCAAAAATTTAAGGCCAAGCAAGTCGATTTTTTCGGGGTAAAACAAAGTGGCAAAATCCATTTAGGCAAATAAATCCTGGTGGCCTAAAAGTTTGACCTTGATATAAAGACTTTTGATATTAAGACGAATACTATCTGCTGCGACAAATTAGCAAATTGCCAATTAAACCTAATGCGATTATTGGTAATTTAAATTTTACCGCCATAATATCTTCTGGGGACGGTGATAAGTGGATCGTAGAGAGAAAGGGAAGAACTCGGAGGTGCGGTTGATGACCGGTACGAATAGTGTTTCCGGGACACGACCTGATTGGCGTCGTCCAGCTCAGAAATGGCGACGTAAGGGCTCAGAGCGCGTGAAACTGGGGGAAAGTAAAGTATTTTTTAATTAAGGAAAATCCTGCTAATTGATTACTTAATTGGTCTATGTATGAACCTGATCTGGCCCGCAAATTGTCGCCCAAAAGATACCCAAGTGTAGACATATTTCTCCTGAAATTCCTAAAATTCAGAAAATTAGATTACTTCAAGAATGTGGAAGGCATAGGAAAAAAGACGCCAACCTTTGAATGCGGAATGGAGTCGTGCTTCCTATCTCTTCTGGATTCTCGGTTGAACTAAATATCTCTGTGGGATTTTTACTAGCTTATTTCAAAAGTGGGTAAAGTGTGGATAAGTGTGAGAAGGTGGGTACACGCTTAATAAATTGGTAAACAAACTAATTGTTCTTGTTATGAGGCTATAAGCTTGGGGACGATTTGTCAATGAACGGTAGATGCATGAAAATCGACTTGTGGAAAATTGGACCGTTTTATTTTATGAAACAGACTCGCAATCTGCCAAAGGTTTCTGCAAGTAATATTCTGCGGAAAATTGTCTACTCAAATTTTCTAATTAAATTTTTTCAAAATAAATTTTCCCATTAATTTGACACATTCTAGTAGTTTTTTGGAAAGTGACGTCCGAAAATAAAGGCATATGCACCGAAATATTCGATGTAAGAAATTTTCGTATAAAAAACACTCTAGCATCAATGCATACTAGGAGAAAGTTTCCAAAACGTTATTTTCTTAGAGTATTTAATAATAATATAATAATAATAATTAGAGTATTTAATAATAAGTTATTATTACTAGATACTCTAAGGTTATTTTCCTTTAGTTCATTTACATCTGTCCTCAATAAAAAAAATGCTTAAATTATAATTTTTAAAAATTGTGTAGTGAAGTCAAGCAAAATTTTTGCAAACATGTTAAATCTTAATTGTACCCCATATAAATATTGTCGGTTGAATATAACACATTAATATTCCATTGTTCCAGTTGGTAAATTATGTTTAATTATAATTACTACTCATAATATATTTAATTTTTTTACGTTTTTAACGCTGCTTTTTAGTTTCACGACAAATTTAAAGTTTGAAGTAAATATTTAAGTGTTGCGATTTCCTACCAAATTATGACCACACACGGGTTGTAACAATTTATCAAATCAGTTTGCGTAGCCACCTCCCGATTTCTTGCAAATTAATTATTTAGTGTGCAAGGGAGCCGGAAAGCATAGAATTTTTTAACCGTGACTCACACTTTATGTGTAGGCAGAGGAGTAGGAGTGGGTGAAGGTTGGATGGATAAAACGAGAGTAGGTGGTTGCTTATCATGACTAAATTTAGCAGATTGGTTCTACGTGGAGTTGGAAACATGCCCGAAAAAGAATGTCCACACATCAATTTATATTTAGTATTCATAGACATCAAATCCATAAGCCATAACCTTTTACAGTTTTAGAGGGGAGGAGAGAGAGTGCAAAAAAGTTACAAATTTCCCATCATGAACGACCCAGAAAGTGGAGTAACAGATTTTGAGATGATATTGCTGTGAGCAGGATTTAATAAGATAAGAATATTTAGCACATTTTTTGTATACAAACTGGAAATTCGTGAGGTTTCTACAGAGTAAAATCTGTAAACTTGCACAGATTATGAGGAAAATCAGCGTGTGTGGTAAGTAATCTATCGCACGTAAACTTGCCAAGATCAAGGACGTCTCTTTATTTTGGAACGGTTCAAATATTTGCATAATTTTCAGTTTACTGGATTACAAATTTAACATTCGAGCGTTTGTTAATAACTTATATACATAGTTAATGAATGAAAGTTGGTAACAGATTTATTACCGAAAATGGACACCGTTACGTTGATAATGATTTGACATTGGTTGTATTATAATCTATGTAAGTTATCCAAATTCAGAGAAAGTATTGTTGCCTTTCGATGGGAAATTGTAGCAAATTCAGAGAAGCTTTGCGTACTCTTTGCACTCGGTAACAATTAACAATTTTGTTACCAACGTATTTTTAGTATGCTAATGTATAAACCTTAATTACATGATTTATTAAATTTGAGAGATTTATAAATATCAGTGAAATCTTCGGAAATTAAATAGTAATAAAATCAGCCCACAGTCGCCGTGGTTGAATTAGTTGACGATTTGCACGTGCATTTTCCAGCCTTGCATTGGACAACGGTCAAATTTGGATGATAGCTTCGGCAGGCGTTCCGACACGACAACGGCCATCCGTACAAACCTGGACACAAAATTATGTAATTATTTTTTGTGCTCAATTCTAGGTAGCTTTGTAACCTTGTAAATTTGTAAAATGAAAAAGAAAACAGTTCATAAAGGCATTGAAAAATTTGGGAAGAATTGTAGCCTTTTATTAACTAAATATCTTTGCGTCAAAAATTTGGCAATTTGACAAGGTTTAAACAGTGGCAAACATTTTTATGTTAAATGGTTGAAAATTTTTATAATTATGTGACTTACTTGAACATCCTGCTGGGCAGGAGGTACACCGAAGACTCGGTTCCGTCATTTGACCGTCAGTGGCTGTGGAGGTGTTAAAAAGCATAAGTTGTTTATTTATTTTTTATTCTTTAATTCGGATTACATTTGTAAGCGAAAAATTTGAATTAAAGGTTGAATTATATTGAATTATATATTAAATTTACTAAACGCTAGAATTTTTTTTGATAATTAATTATGAAATTTTATTTGGTCTTATAAAGGCATATTTTCTAAGGGAAAATTAAAAATAGATTAAAATATTTGCAAAAAAATGTCAGGGCTCTTGAAAATTTATCGTTATATTTGCATAAATACATAATTCTTAGAATAAATTGCGAAAACTATTTACTCAAATATTTGTTTGTCGCTACACTGAACTACCTTTTTATTATGTAACTTTATTAATATAAATTTTAGAAAAATCGTATTACGACGCCTAAATCTCTCCAAATTAATTAATTCAATATGCAATTATGAATTAATCTCTGGGCACATTACATAATTTGTAAATCATCAATGATTTTAAATGATTATTAGAAACAAGTGCTTTTTTACTCACCTTCTTGATGCATGATTAAGCACACTGAGAACAACAGTGTGCATGTCGTGGTTACAATAAATTTTGTAAACATTTTTGCAAACTTTACCCGATAACTCAATTTGGAAGGTTACTTTCAACTTTAAATATTGTTAATGTAAATCTGCCACAGAATTAGCTTGACGACAGAGATTAGACAAAATAAGAAATCACATGTGATGCGATCCAGCAAGAACAGAATTGCAATCTGCAACGCAAGTTAATACGTAATGTAAACTGCTACCTCATCATTTTCGTCCAGAGAGATAAATATGGTGCTAAATATGCATATTACATACATGGAGCAAGTAATCACCCCCGAAAATATATACGTAGGTATTTAAAAATAGGTATGCATAGCAAGGTTGGGTAGGAATAATACTTTACCATGCATACATATTTATCTTGGGACTGTGTACAAAGGATGTGTTCAAAAAATTTGACCCAAATTTGACACAACTTACCCAAAAATGTGATAAATTTAACAATATAGGAAAGCTAGGATGTCTAGGATGGAAAGCTAGGAACTGGAAACCAGCTTGTATTAAGCAATATTTGTTAACAGCTGAATAAAGAATTATTTATCTACTTACATCTTTACATATTTACCCCCACCCCCAAATATGAGTCATATGCTGTATGCAAGGTCCCTTAGAAAATTTATTTAATAGTGTTGGCTGGAGACCATTTATGCGTTTGTGCATTAATTCTTATGAGATTAATGATACGATGACGCATTTTGAGGGGAAGTTATGTACATAATATTTACACAGATCTGAATGCATATATGTTTAACCTTAGAAATTAATGTGGTTTCAGTGTGCTACGTACGAATGCAGCATTTTTGTTTGTTATGTAGATCTTTACTTTTATTAAATACAGGAAAAATAGAACACATGTGCACGAGAGTGATGTGATATGTATGTACAATCCACTTCACATAAAGTTTTGTAACTTTTGTAACTTATACTGTCAACTGCATGCTTACTCTGTAATTTTTGCAAAGGTTGTAAATTTTTTTTAATGCAAGAGCAATTTGACATACGTAAAAGTACATTCACATTCAAAAGAGCTTCTTTCTTTCAGCCTTATATGTAAAACAAGTTCAGAAATTTTTATCGTTCACAATGTTGAATGCTGCGTGGCGTGAATGATTAATTTAAGTTACTGAACAACCATGTTATCATCACAAAATAGAACATTTGACAGTGTAATCACGATATTATTATCTGCCATCGAGTTTGAGGTTTTCAAAAGATTGCAAATTTCGGTCACCGATTTGAGGTCTTCAAACGTGTCCATAAAAAATTTTGTCGTCGGTATGAGTATTTTTAACGGTGTATGATCTTTCATCTTTAAGAACCTCAACAATTGTACTGTTTTTATTGCAAATTGCTCTCATTATGTATGCATAACATTGCTGAGTTCGGCTAAATGGCCAAGCACTGCAAAAATGGTTATCCCTGCTAAAATCGAAGTCAACGTGTCTGTCACGCTAAGAATTAGGACATCACTGAAGAAAAAAATCAAAATCAAATTTTGTGCTTTACTTTGCAAATAATTTTTGCATACCGATAAATATTGTGTCTGAATGGATTAAATGACGCGAACATAGCTATCGTTCCAAATCCTGTTCCTGAACTAAATTTATGGAGGTAATTTAATGTCTCTCCAAAAATAATATGAATTACCCTTTAAATATTTAGGAAGCTACCTACGTGGAAAACAACCTCTTAATATTTTGAAATCTTTTCTCCTATTAAATAGAAGGAGCCCCTCATTTTGCATATCATAATTCTTGGTCTGGCAAGTTAAGGGCCCGGGGGAAGATTTACTTGATTTTATGTTAGCAACAATAATTGCCAGGGCCCCAAGATTATTATCGCTCTGTTAGGTTACGACCACAATTAATTGACACCGTTTCTATGGGACACTCACGTTCAAAAGCTTTGGTTTTGTCACTGCTTTTGAAAAAGTTTCCCTCAAGTCCCTCAAGTTTTTGAAAAAAGTTGTTTCTTTTGTTCCATGGATACTCAAAATGCAATTCCTGCCATTAATTTGGCAATTCTAAGCCAATTTGTCCTCACTTTACGACCAAATATCTCCACTGCACAAGAGGGCAGATCGTCAAAAAAAACTCAAGTAAAATCTAAAGATATGATTAACGCATTAAACATAATTTAAAAAATCTGCCCTCTTGTGCATTGCTGAATTTTATCGTCAAAGTTGACGTGATTTCTAAGCAACTTCCCCCAGGCCCTTAACGTAAATCGTTAACTTTGATCTTAAAAACATGATATGCGTTTTGTCTAAAATTTCTAAATTATCACTTGTACACAATTTTAAGAGGTAAGAGGCAGGTTTCCACGCATGGTATTTCCCATTTAATTCAAAAACCACCTAAAGAAGCATTGCTGCACGGCTGCATACCAAACCTATAAGAAGTTATCAACATGTTTATAAATTATTTAAACAAACAGTATGCACGCCAAAATTGGCAGCTTTGTTTGGGTTGGCAAAATTTTCAGGGTTGTGCATACCTTAGCCTCCAGCATTTTATCCCATTGGGGTTCAAGGAAGTATTTAATTCCTTGCCAGGCTCCGCTCAACGTCACGCCTCTGATTAATAAGATAAGCAAAACCACGTATGGGAACAAAGCGGTGAAGTATGCTGAAAAAACGTTATATAAATTTTATACGAATTAAAATATGTAAACTAATTTAACTTGTGGACATGCAAACATAAAGCATGTGATCGATTTGAGGGGGTTATAGAGTCCAATCTTTCTGTATTTAGCAAAATAAATAGGTAACAAACAGTTACCAAGACGGTAAAAAGTGTGTCAAGTCTCATGTAATCTATGACCATATAGAGCTGTATATAACAATTACTCACTTATGTTATGTCAGGCATTGTGCACAGGCATCCTATTATTACCACCAAATAGCAAGTTGTGACTAATTTATTTAGAGTGCATATACATGTAATTGAATTTGAACTGGTTGAACTCATTGAATTGAACTTATTTATGATACCTTAGTAATGACTTAAACACTTGATACACCTGATTCCATATTGTGTAATATGTATGTGTTGCAGATATTATCTCAAATTTAGCTCACATGAGACAGAAACATGACTTACTGACGCAAAAAAACGAAAATTTCGTTGAGATTAATTCACTTACCTATAATATGTCCACCTGGTTAACAATTCTCTAAAATTCAAGTAATCAAGAAATCCTGGAATTTTTAGCCACGTAAAGTTCCATGAAATTTTTCATTCTTGTCATTGTCACACTTGAAACTTGACATTTTCGTAGAAAATTCAGACTATTGATTTTTGAGCCATTGTATTTTTTACTGTTTTAATGTACATACATTCAACATGATATCAAAAAGAGGAGTTTTTAGGATGAGTCATAATTTTCCTCGATCGGAGAAAAATTTTTGTATATAAATGCAGATTTGCAATGAGAGAAATTTAGTGTAAAAGATTGCAGAATATTTACATATTTGACAAAATTAATTTTTAAGTTGAAAATCTGAAAATATGGAAATTACCATTAGTCATGCGATCGCAGTCATAATGTCCATTTTTATATTGGTCATAGAACCCACTGTGTGCACCCCATTGGCAAATCAACACATACATATTAGCGACAGGGATGGGTAAAAAGACTACATAAATTATGTAACATAATTTGCAAACAATAATTAAAAAAGAGATTCACGGGAATGTTTATACCTTCGTAAAATCCAAAAACTTTGTGCAAATTTTTCGAAAAAAATATAGCTACAAATCTATTCAAAACTTGGACATATCCAGGGCGTAAAATTTTGTTTAGTAATTTTTGAAAATTTAAAATTAAAGATTTTCGTAGATTGTCTCATACGATCATATCTAGATCTGAACTCCAGTATGCCCAGATTGTTGGAGAGTATAACTATTTCTTGTTATTGTTTTCAAGTCACAACGATTTCCCATGGACCCTTAAACGCCTCGTTTTTGATGACTTGCGACGATTGAACTTTAGCCAGGATTTGACACAAGTGGAGCCCTGGGCAAGTGATGTCATGTCTCACACGGATATTCCCAGAATTAAGAGGGGACGATTGGGTGGACAGGTATTTTATTACTCATTTTATCTATATTATAAGCTGGCAATGTTTGTTGGCAACGGAAGTGAAAGTAATTTTCCGAAACGGAAGTGAAAGTGGAGAAAGTTAAGTTTCGAATGGCCCGAGACAGACATTTCCAGCTAATTACATATGTATGTAAATAACAATAAAACATTAATTATGTGGAATTATGAACAATCCCACTCAATTTTTCCTAAATAAGCTCTCGCCCAGAGGGAGACGGATTTAGACGCTAGTTAATTTATAATACTAAATACGTACATATTTTATTTTAAAATTCACAAACTTACAAACATAAAGAATCGGCTATGTACATTTAAATAGTAATATCATTTTACAACATTACATAGTTTACAGGATAAAAAATACATGAATTAATCAAATATGTATCCTTTTGTAGTTTTGGGTAGCTTACACAGATTGCACGAGCAATTACAAGGATTCCGTAGCCATCACTCTGGAACAAGTGGACGTTATTAAACGACTGGTGCAAGAATATCCGGATGATTAGCATTTTGCAACATCTTCCGCAGGTAAGAATTTATTCAAAAAATATTGCTAATGCACGAAGGTTTAGCAAACAAACGTGGCTAAAAAAAAGTCATTGGGCCTCCTCAGACACACGAAAAAATCGTCGTTTCTAATTTAGCTAAGTTTTTCGCTTGCTTCCTGATAAGCGAGCTCTGGGATAAGCGAACAGAAACTCAACTCAGAAGTGGGGTTAAGGTCGGTTAGCTGAAGTCGAAACAAAATTTTACAATTTTCATAATTCTTGCCATGTTATCGATAAGCGAAAAACAAAGCAAACTTCGAAGCGACGATTTTTTCGTGTGTCTGAGGAGGCCCATTGTTTCCCCTAAATCTTCCGAATTTGCCTAATTATGTATGCAGATTGAAGATTAGTAATTTTTCAACGTTTACACCTGTAAATATTGCTTCAGGTTTGAAATTACATGAATTTGGAACTTTGTTACCTTTTTGATCAGATAGCTTTAGTATTTTTCTAAATTTATCCAATTTACAGTCTTTGCATTAATTGCCTCGCTAATAACAATTTTCATTCTTAAAGCGAAATCAAACTTTCACTTATTCTCCACAGATATCGAATATGCGATTGCTAACAATAAAACGGCCAGTTTAATCGCGATCGAGGGAGGTCACTCAATCCAGTCTAGTTTCGCAATTTTGCGACAACTGTACCAAATGGGGGCGAGATATATGACACTAACCCATTCCTGTAATTTACCATGGGCCGACTCATCGCCCGTCGATGCGGGTTTATTACCCCCGGCAAATGGAGGCTTGTCCACCTTTGGTTTGGTGAGAAATCGAATCAACTTCGACGTTTGTAACCGAGATAAACCATAAAACTGACTATTTATATAAGTTTCCGCAAGTTTGCAAAAAAATCATGTAGTAAAATTTCTACGGTTCTGTGGGTTACAAAAATCGGCGTGAATTGCTGTTAAAAAAAGATTTCATGAAAGTTATATTGTGAAAAATTGGCAGGAAGTTGTAGATGAAATGAATCGCCTCGGAATGATGATTGACTTATCGCACGTTTCGTCAGATACTATGAAGGCTGCCATTATCAGGTCGAAGGCACCCGTAATATTCTCACATTCTTCTGCCAGGGTAAGTTGCATGCAAGTATAAATGTTAATATTTGGTAACATTATGTTACCGCTATGTTACCATTATGGTGATATTCTACAAATAAATTCCGGTCAATGGTAACAAATCACAATTCCCGGTCACCATAATTCTAATATTGCGGTACGAATTTATGATTATAATTTTAACCGATTTGGCATAAAATTGGAATTTCTTTGGTAAAACTATGACCTCTGGCATATTGTGAAACTATTCTATTCATAAACCGCTAATATAACTCGTAGATTTTGGTATCATATTTTACAAGATTGAACTAATCTGTGTAAATACTTTTATAATCTCAGACAATATGTAATCATCATCGCAATGTACCTGATGACGTGTTGCAAATGGTGGTATGTTAAATAAAATTGTCGATATTTTAGCACATGGAGCACATGAAAATTGGCAATTTCTTACGTTCATAGAGAAGCAACAGGGGAATTGTGATGGTGAACTTTTACTCTGTATTTATTCAATGCGACCCGACAAAAAATGCAACAATGGAGGACGTTATCGGTATGAAATTAAGAAAAGTAAACTATGCTTGCGTAAAAGATGTTCATTCATTAATCACAAAGATCTCGACGACCAAATTTTTTTCCAAAACTCTCAAAGAAACACACAACCAATTTTTTTAATGGCTGAATAGTAACTCAAATTGATTGATATTGCAAATTTTTAGAAATATTTGTGATGACAAATAAACCGTCGCAAACGCGCATACGGAAGTAGCTTCAGATTCACTCCACCCCTACGACAGCGGGGGAACACTTAATTTCAGTGTATTTCATCCATGTTTTTTAATTTCACTGAAAATCTCATTTTGCCCCAACAACACCCCCTGGCGCACAGGGGGTGTGGTACAACTCGGGAACACTTAATTTCACTCTATTTCAGCTATAGATTCAATTTTTGTAAAAATCTCATTTAGCCCCGACCACACCCCCTGACGCCCAGGGGGTGTGGCACATCAGGGATACACAAAATTTCACTCCAGTTCATCCATAGAATCAATTGCACTAAAAATCTCATTTTGCCCCGACCACACCCCCTGGCGCCCGGGGGGTGTGGCACAACGGGGGAACTCAAAATTTCACTCCATTTCATCCATAGATTCAATTGCACTAGAAATCTCATTTTGCCCCGACCACACCCCCTGGCGACTGTGGGTGTGGTCCGGTTGCACCCAAAAGTTGATAGGATCCTCCCCCTGGGGTATTATGTATGATGGCGAAAACCGATTTCGATTATCTTTATCCGTTCTCCCGTCATCCTGCTGACAGACAGACAGACAGACAGACAGACAGACAGACAGACAAAGTCTTCACATAAAGTAGCTGAAGCTACTTAATAATCATGCCCGACCATAAACATGTATTGATTCATATATTTCATACCTTTTAATTGTTTTACAGCTCACATTGAACATATTCGAACAATCGCCGGAGTTGACGCAGTTGGCATTGGGGCCGACTATGATGGAGTGGACTCGGTGAGTACACACTGTTTTTTGCCAAAAATAGGCATTTATTTATGTGTTATGCAATTGTTTTAAAGAATTGAGATAATTAAAGAACCATGTAAATTAATTTTGTTAAAAATTGCAGTATTTTTTGTAATACTGCCTTGGTCGAAATACATAGATAATCCAATCAGAGCACCCAGATTGCTTTATCAAATTTAATATAAAAGTGTAATAAAAATTCAACAAATTATCTGTGATATGACGTTATCCAGGTTCCAATCGACCTAGCCGACGTGTCTTACTACCCCGTCCTTTTCGAAGCCTTAGCCCAGCGTGGATGGACGGATGAAGATCTGGAGAAGTTGGCTGGACGAAATCTTTTGCGCGTTTTTCTTGGCGTAGAACAAGTAAATACATACGTACCAATTCGAAAATTTGAAAAAAATTACTCTGAAATTTGAAATCTTAACTATTTATTTGTTTTCAGGTTCGAGATTTGCTAGCAAATCTTCCCGTTCAGCAAGACTCGATTAGAAGGGAGGACGTTGAGAATGCAAACATAAGCGTGGATTGTGTTTCATGGCCGTTCATTGATGACAGTCGCGTTGCCGAAAATGCAAACGTTTTGGCTTGAAAATGACCCAAATTTGTGTTCCATATTGAATTTAGCATATATAATTGATTGATATATAATAAATGATGATCTAAATTAATAACACACCAACTTAAGTTCTTAATAAAGAACATTTGTCATCAATTTGCATATTATTTATTGTCACATTTAAATATTGAAGTATTCGGATCTTTGTACATTTCATTCTTTACTACTCTTAATTTACTTCCACAAAAGAAATCACTGATAAAACAATGACATTTTTTGTAGATTTCCTATGTACATATTTCATATTTGCAATGCAAATCAGTCATATGCTTTTGCATATGACTGATTTAACACAAATACATACATGCAGATTTAACTACATTTTCTTAATCTATTGTTGCATTTTAAAGATCCGGCTCTATTGTCGTAAATCCAATTGTATTTGGTCAACACTAATCACTAAATAAAATGAAACCATAACTTATACACAAATCGAATATATGCAAAAGTTTAGCCCGCATTAATTAAATAAATATCTTACAAGTTGAACTGGTTTCGCTTATATCCAAGAGCCACCAAAATTTTATCGTCCTCCCCTAAAATAATATTTTAAAAGTAATAATTTGTTAAATTTGAACTACTGATGATGAGCAAATCTGTGTCCAGCAAAAGCAGTAAAAGGGTCTGTGGGATACCACTAAAAAATTGAAACTTTCCCATAATTTAGAAAACATTAATAGAAAATTTTTCGAAGTCTCCCTTGTGACCTGTTACTTTTTCGTGTGTGTAGGACAGGACACGGTCAGATCGAAAAAGCTCGTCGGGATGAAAGCCCTTAACAGGGACCAAAGGAGATATCCAAAAATTTTATAAGAAACAAAATTCTGTTAGTGTTTTCTAAATAATTACAAGGTTTCCAATTTTTTTAGTGGTATCCCACAGACCCTTTTTTGCTTTGCTCCCTCTCTGTTTCTGGGCTTGCTCAGCATCAGTACCAATGCAAAACAAAAAATGACCGTTAATTGACCTAGTTGGTCTTGTCCAATGGGAAAGGCTTCTTCAACTCGTATGTCTGGATACAGGATCCTTAACTGTGGACATGTACGAATTATGTATCCCAATGAAGAGTTATGGCTTCGTAGCATGGCTTCCGTGAAAGGACCAAACTTCGCCAAGCCCACGCTATTATCTTGTCCTGCATATTTAAATAATACTAAATTACTTCAATTTTTCAAATAAAATCAAGTATCAATCCCAAATACCGCATAAGTGTCTGGTTATAAAATTATGTATTTATGGCATAAAATACAATTTAAACTTCTTAAACGTTTAAAACTTCGAGCAAATATTTGCCAACAATAACTATACAGATAACTAAGAAAACTCTAAAACTAATTGACAATTAGAAGCAAAGTACATAAAAATCGGTGTGAAATAGCATTGCTTGGCAAAATTCGAGTAAAATATTGACTCGAATATTTCAACTTGCCATTAATTTTAACAATTTTTGAATGTCCAACTTACTTTGAACTTTAAACTGCATGGTGACCGCGCCCTTAACGTTTTCCGAGAAGCGAATCATAAATGTACCCACGGCACTGGCAGTAAGGGCAGCCTCGAGTTCGGAAGTGCTGATAAATCCGGTAACCTTATTTTCTATCCATTCCCTTAGAATGACGGGTGGTGGATTCATCAGCAACTTTAAAATATTAAACAGCCAATTTGCCAAAGTGACATCCTTCCTTTCCCCAGAAATTACGAATTTTAGAGGAGTTTCATTGCAAAATCGGTCTCGAGTGACAACATCCTGTCCATCCGTGCTACATAGTTGCAGTAATTAAATGTTTAATTTAATTCAAAATGAATTCGGAAAAATAAGTCGGGATCAATTTTTTTAAGGGACCCTAAGTTTAAATTCGCAGGAATATATTTTTTATTGCTTGCTGATTGATACCAACTCGGTTGCGCTTAAGAAATGCAAATTTCGTCATAGAATGCACTTACCTCCTAGTTGCCAATTTGGTCTTCAAATACTCCTTATTTTGATCACTTAACCTTCTCCCTGCGTTGCTAAAGTCGTTATCTATCGCTTCAATAAAGTGTAGCCAAGATACTTCGGCGGGAACGGCGAACGGTGTTCGGTGTAACGGGGCAAAGTTGACGTCCCAAAGCAGGGTGGACCACGCGTCGTGATATAGTGAGACATTCGTCGTTAGGATGAATGGATTTGAGAGTCGATGAAACTGGAAATGTAATTAAAAACATGCATCGATGACCCAACGTGCCATAATTATTTTTGTCACGAGGAAAATCACGGTATGTATTTGTAACCCGGCAAAATCAGTGAAAATTAATAACCAAATGGGTGTGCAAGTTTACTACAGGAAAATACATAAATTGCTAATTCCCACAGATTAATGCCGTCTTAAAGAGTTTCAAATTGATGAAGAAATGCGAGAAAATTTGGAGAAGATACGAGAAAATTTTATAATTTGATCAAGCATTCGTAGATTCTGAAGAATGATATGTACAAAATGTGGCTAATTTGTGTACTGTGGCATTATTGTTACGGGTCACCTCATTTGCATAAGTCTTATTTTCCCCATTTTCGGCGATACGGGCCGATGAATAAACTGCCTCTCGCTAATGTGTCAAAAACATGCAAATGAGGCGACTACCTGGAAGGGTTCGCAGTATTTAAGACTTAAATTTTAAGTACTTACCTGGATCCATTCCTCGAGTCCTTCATCAAACAAGAAACCACTGATATATACGCACGACTTGATTTGTCCCCTTCTAACTCCAGCCGCGTGGAATCTTGTCATTTCAGCAAATTCCCGAAACACAATTTCATACTGGTTATTATTAAAATCCTGAGTTTCCGACACGACATTATTGAATTTGAAGGCAACTTGTTCTTCAGTAATGTCACCGGTGGATGAAGTTGCCACCATTTCGGCGATCGGTTCGTCTATGATGCAACACCGCACCACCTGAGTTCCGCTTCCGTTGGGAGAAACGGAACCAAATCGGTAGTGAAATAAGAGCGATTTGATACGAATTGTCTTTTCTGCGGTGCCAGCCGAACTTAGATATTTGTTGGGTTGATTGGTAAATATGAGAGAAGTATGGATCAATTTTTGCGTTGCGTGAATTGCCTAAAAAAGTAAGCGAATAAATATTCAGAATACTTCGTAGCCAACTAGGACTAGGAAATTACTGGAAATTTCACCCCTTTGCTACATTTCGTTTGGGACGGATTATTTTTGGTCAATTTTTAAATACTAACTGTAGTGGACACCGATTTTTTTTACTAATTCCCATTTCGCAAGACCGAAAATACGTATTTCACACTATGGGAAATACCAGTTCGGAACTTGCAAAATTGTGGTGACGGTTTTGATAAGCAGTTATTTACATGACATACCCTTTGAAATGGCGTAATTCCTTCTTCATCTTGCGTGTGTAACTGCATCATGTTCTTCAAAATTTGCACTGTGTGTCGTAATCTGGTCTCGATATTTCGCGCGACAACCGCAAAGGCCTCAAAACCCGTTAAATCGTTGGCATCAGTAATTCGTCCCGTCCAATTAAGCCTTCGCTGATTTGTATTCCAATTTTTCATTTGGAAGTCCAAGCCGTCAATTTCATGCTCTAATTGGTTAAATTCGTGTCGAAAATCCCCGTTGTCCATGTCGAAGTTTCACTTTCAACCCCGTTAAGAATTTAAGGATTTTGTAGGAAGTTTTCACAAAACTCTTAATAAAATAATTGGAAAAGAGCAAGGAAATCTTTTCTCAAGTCTTGATTTGCTTGAAGGTATAATTTTAAATGGATGTGTTTTTCGTAATAAATATGTACACATGGCACTGGTCGTTTAGCTTTTTAGAAATTAATGCATGTAAAACGATAATAATATTCGATGTATTACATAATATCTGTACTTTCAATTTTCTGCGAATATATACTTCAATATATATATATACTTGTAGGTATACTTCAACGTATACATGTAAATGTATGGATACACATATATACAATGTGTGTCATAATTACATATCTATGTATGTGTAAGTATGCAATTATGAATATGGAGCATTTTGGGTGACGGTTCATCAAGATCAGAAGAACTTATATCTTGCTGTTTGGACTTATCCTTAGATGAAACTACCAAGTAATTCCTTATCTAATTCTTTATCTTCGGCGTACTCACTAAATAAATGCAGCTACTAAATATACGTGTAAAACTCGGATTATACATGAAGCAGCGAACTTTATGTTGCCTTTACATCGATTCTTAAATTTACATAGAAGAGAAAGTGGTAAATCTCGTTTTTCATTGTTGTACCCAAAGTTTGCAAATTTGAACGGGAATAAAAAAAATATGTAGTTCTAATCGTCATAACTTTTATAATTTAAATGTCCTGCTCCTGCACATGTATGTACATATCTTCGTAAAGTCTGAATTTAGCTATAACTTTACAATTTATATTGACAGTGGAATAATTGGATTGCTTTGCCAATTTACAAAATTCCGAAACCTGACACAAAAGTATATGGAAATTAATTGTAATTAAATCCATTTAATGCTTTCCAATTGTTTTATGGTGCTAAAAATTGGAAAAGTTATTTTAAGTGCTTCGAAAATTAGTTTTTTTTGTTAAAAACGATTTAAAATTCGACTAAATAACAAACGATTTAAAAAACGAAAGCATAGCATCTGTCCATTTATCGGTGTTATAAAAATAAAATGGAACCCATCCAAATCTAGATTTTACAAGTGAGAGACTTATGTTTTTAAATTTCAAGATTGAACTTTGCATACTTCTCGACCTGATTTACACATCTTCGATGGCTCTTACAAATAAGTAAATAGCGTCGTCGAGCGGTAACTATACATATAAATATTACTCTGCATCCGGTAATATTTTGCTACCGCGCGGTAGCAAAATGATCGTGACCACCACCCCTTCATTAAGTCACGTCTTATCGCTCGATTTCTTAGAGTGTGCTGGCAAAATTGTTGCGCAAAATTCCAAGTAAATATGCACGTCGGAGTTAACGTAGTAATCAACTCGTTATGATATTTACTATATGTACGTAGAAAATCTGTGGTCTATCCGTGACACGAAAATAACTGTATAAGGTACTAGCGTATAAGCCCGTCTCCCGCCGGGCGAGAGCTTATTTAATTTTCGTGAAAATTAAGTCGGATTGTTCATAATTCCAGCGAATCATTTTTACTATATAATTAGCTAGAAATGCCTGTTGGCGAGGGAAGTGAAACTTTCTCTGTTATTACTTCCGTCACGGAAAATTACTTTCACTTCCGTTGCAGACAAACATTTCCAGCTTATAATATAGATATGCATGCATACATATCTACACGATATTGAATTGCAGTAGGGTTCGCGATCGATGAATACATTTATGTATATGCAAACTTACTTATGACTTATGCATAATTTGAATTCTTAATTTGTGACATTTTTTATTAGATCTTTCACAAGTATATAATTGTACACAAATGTTTACACAATGCTGCAGGAATTATTCCTTGTTTGATTGATAACATAATTGAAATTCAGACGCCATGCGAAACTAATAAATATGAGATTACCATATTTTAAATTTTTTTAAATATTGTTGAAAGTTGCTTCGTTGGTGTCTGCATTATTCGATTTTTCAATTCTTCCATGGGAATTATGAGACTTTTCAGCTAGAGAAATCAAGTACGTACTTGCATACTCTCCATACCAATATCCATCCACGTACAGGTAGAAGGTAGGGAACATCTTGATACGATGTTTTCCAAGGCTGCGGCACACCTTTGTTAAAAAATTATTTCAACGGTTAATAAATTTGTGTGCATTTTATCTCATTCAGGGAAGCAAATGCATAAGCGTGTAGATAACATTTAAGAATAATTAGTTAATCTTGCAGACATACAAAGCTTACAAAACTTGATCGAATATTATGAGTTTACAATACTTTTCAGATCAAAATGTACATAAAATGCAAAAAATGACAAAGCAACCAAAAATCCACACCTTTTCAGTCTCGCGGTTATATTTACAATCAACGGCGCCAAATTTAACCTCATGTCTGGAAAGGATGGCAGCCTTAGTAAACGCGCGTCTTGCTTTTAAACTGTGCCAACACCCTATATAAAAATTTGATTAGTGTACAGGATAAATTTTCGCCTAAACTAATATCCAAATATTTCTAAAGAATTGTCAAATAAAAATAAGAATTTCTCACCATCAGCGTAGTACATTATGAAAACATTGTCATATTTTTTCACAAATTCGCCATGGACCGTTGTATTAGTCAGCATTGTGATATATTCGAAGCCTGGAATCCCATTCCAAAATGTTTGATTATACCCGATTTCGGGAGGTGCGTCGTTTGCCTGGATTTTCAAAGAGAGTAATTGTGTTTGTCATAACAAATTTGCATAATCCTAAGGATCGTATTGCGGTGCATCAAAGTCAACCGGATGGATTTGATTTGAATTTTGGCCCGCCTCCAATGTTAATAAAATGGGCACGTGATTTTGGCGCGTAGAAATTCTGTCCGGTTGACTTCGATCCACCGCAATACAATGCATAACTTGTATAACTGTTATCAAAGCAAATATATTACCAAATTATTCAAATTAGTTGAGTTCCCTTCGTCAAGAGGGTCGGAAACGGGAGGAGATTGAGACAACGATTTGGATAATTTAGTCCGTAAATCTGCACTGTCCAAGCCGAATTTGTTTTGTTTGAGACTTGTAGAAGTGTCTAAAGTTTCAAGAAAATTTAAAAATTAAATAGTTTTTAAGGGCATAATTTATGATTTCGTAAAATTTTAGTGCATCTTGTAATAATTTGGTAGTCATTCGTAATTTCGAAAGCCGTCAGCAATACCGTTTAATTTTGATGTCACTTGATCTGGTAAGGTTGGATGTCCAGAGCAAAATTCTTGAAGGACCAGAACAACAAGAAAATACGTCGTTAATACACCTTTGAACAGCATAATTAAACGATTTTAGGCAACACACTGAAAAATTCGGTAATTCTTTTAATCAGATCACGAATTAATTAAGAAATTCGCTCTGACTATAAATTGTCAATTGTTAATCTTCGTAGTTGCAGGATTTTTGCCGAGTTTACTTACTGAATAGGTTACATCAAAGCCATTTCATTCCCATGAGAGATTGCATGCATATTGGATTGGACTTAACTAATGATAAATAAATACAGTAAGATATGCATTATATCAGGCTGAACAAGTCATTTATAAGTAATACAAATTATGTAAACGTGACAAGTACAACTTTACTCACACGTATTATAAACATTTATTCAAGTCTGATTACATATGATGCCATTTATTTGCACAATTTACATGCATATGTCATATGTGTATAATGATATTTTAAATATCTATCATGTATCTTTATGTGCAGTTATGCTCGAAAGAGTTTAAGACGAAATAAATCAATCAAGCAGTTAAAAAATCATACATCTATGTTAGTGTATGTATAAATTTATTTGCACTTATTTTTGTCATTCTTTTATTTTTGCTTGACTAATTGTAAGTTATGCATATAAAATTTGATTGGTTTTGTTTCACTTAACGATTTATTTTTAATTCGATGCCAGATTTAAACTAAATTATGTACAAACTATCACTGGAGTATCGCGGCAGCTTCGGCATAGTAATTGTTATTGTCTTCCAGGTCAGACGTCCCAGGTTCGAAATATCTCAGCGAGTACACGGCCCACCAGTCGGAAATGTAGTTAAAACTGGGTCTCTCTTCAGGATTTAAGTTCCAAGTGGATTTCATAAGAACGTAGCTGAACATAAGAGAAAAAACAACAATTTAGAATTAAGATTCATATTTTCAAGTAATGCAAACGTATATAATTAAGTCAACGACTATGGATAATTTCCGACTTCCGGGCAAAACTTATGTAAAATCTAGAAAGAAACTTGCTCCATGTTATTGCATAGTTCTGGCTGCTTCAAAATATTTCCATTTTGCAAAAAAGTGAGAAGTTCTCCAGCCGAGGGTAGATTTTGATCTTGATAAGGTTCACCCCCGAGAGAGAACAACTCCCATACGCACACCCCGTACGACCAGATATCCGCTTTGAGAGATATGTTTTCTTCCCTCTCCAGAACCTCTGGGGACGACCAGCAACACGCCCGTTGCTTCAGAAATATGAAATAAATATTAGAATTATTTCTGAAATTACGTTTTCCAGCTGGCTGAAAAAAACTTTTTAATTCAGAAACGACTGGATCAAGTCTTCAATTTCTTAATTTTCTGTTACCTCGACATAATTTCTTCTCGCTGTGGGGGTCACCATTGAAGAAATTCCGAAATCGCCAATAGCAGCGGTCATATTTATTCGCAACATGACATTTCTTAATGCAAGGTCGAGATGAATAACGTTTTTGTGGTGGAGGTATTTCATTCCGAGGGCGATTTGGTGACACCATTTCCGCAGTTGAAGTTTTAAACTGTACTCGTTCTCAGGATTTTCAGCGTCACTGTGGAAAAAAATGTATTTGGTACATTTCATTACAGCAATTATTTGTACATTTATACTTGAATTACAGATACTAAAAGTGCAAATGTGTCCATGTCTAACTTTTGTTCATATTCATAAAAACTATGAAATTAAATTTGACTACAAATATGTATTGTAAAAAAACTACGCGTAAAATTATAGCCGTTAATTTTTAAACGTTTGCAAAATATGTTAGTAGTTTTTCCAAACGTGTACGGTTTACTGCGTAACAAAAATTCTAGTAAAAAGAGTTTGGGCAATCGCTCTTCTATATAATTCTGCATTCCAAAGTTTGGAATCCAAACTGTTACAAAATGACTTTTCGTACAAACACTTTTTGTCAGATTTTGTAAAAGTTTAAGACTTAATATGTACGCAGTACTTATTATTATTGGTTTAATTATTGCTTTAATAATCAAACTCACTGTGTCACATTATCTCTACAATGTTCCAACAAAGCTTTTTCCCTCGCATAGCTCAAATGCTAGCAAAATTTCACCTGAAAATATAACACGTTCATAATATACTTATTTATTTACAGTTAGGATTTCAAGTTATATGTTCATGCATCTTTGCTGTGCTTTATGTGACCTATTTGAACCCTACCTTGCAAAACATTTTGAATACAAACTCCCAAAAATTCCAGGACGTGGTGATGCTTTCCGACCAAGTCCAATTTCTCGGCTTCATTAAGCAACGAGTTTAACTGGGCGGCGGACGGATATGAACATTTGATCCGTTTTACAGCAGCAGTTACATACGCAGATCCGACGGTGACCTTGGCCGGAAAAACCGACCCGAAAAATCCCGCTCCGAGTTGAGTTGATTCTACAATTCGGAAATAAATTGGTTAAAAAATCATATTCAAACTTTGTTATTCACGCTCATTTGGTTTCATTTGTCAATTCAAAATTTCCCAGATTATGCGCTTATTTGTCATAAAAGCGGGGCAAAATGATTTCAGACTGTTGTGAGGAATTATTTTCACGAAATTTCGAAAACTTCATAAAACTACGAAACTTGGTGGGAATTACCTAAATCAATTTGGTCGCTTAATATGATTTTTCTCGAAACATCTAAAAGTTTTTCAGGGTCCTCTAATTCTCTCTCCAGACTCCAATCGCAATCGGTTAAAGTAAAGTTTCGAGGTGCAAATCGCCTCAAGCACATTTTCACCGTGAATCTAAGCATCGAATATGTTTGAAGTTGGATACCAATCGAAAATATTAGGGAGATTGCAGTGCCCCAAAGGATAATGGGTGACAGAGGACATCCAGGGTCTTCCGATTCTGGAATAATCATTCATCAAAATATAAATTTATTAGTATTTGTGCGTTTAGCATGCCTTTGTGGCTTGAACGGTTAGGTAGGTAATACATATTTTATCATTAATTGGTAGTATTTTTTTACCATCGGTTTATCTTTGTCTAATTTGTAATGACACACTGTAAATAATTTCGATGCCAAACTCTAATCTTAACGCGTGTTTACAAACTTTGGCATTTTGGATTGTATTTTTCCTCATAAATTTAAATTTCGCAATGAAAAGTATATTATGAATATATTTGCAATTGCATGCCAAATTACCATCACATAGTGTTACACTACAACCATAGATATGTAATTAAATTCATAAGCATGTACTATTTTACTGCCCGGTAATATTAAAAATGTAATAATGGATACTCTGCCATACAAGATTACGTACACATGCAATAAATAACTGCCCGGTAACAGATTGCTACCGTTTTACCGTATCATTCTAAATCTCATATTTCAGTAATGTGTTTGGGATAAAATATGAGGTCCAATTGTCTCACCAAGATTGTTTATTTTGTTCAACGGTTGCTGAATTGATGCTCGGACACCTCCTCGTGCTAATTCTTTTACATCAGTGTCATCCATGTCAATATGGTTTTCATTTTTAGGTCCATCATCATCGATTTTGGGAAGTTCATGGTGATTCATGTGCTCCTCTAATTCTAAATAAGAAAATTAAGGACAATCGTCGTTTCATATGCAATATAGAATTACAGATAATTGAAACCCAACTTGAAAAATAGTATTCTTAATTTTTTTTACAATTTACATAATTGTAAAAGCTTCAATGATTTGTGGGCGTTGGTCTTCCGGTGGGCGCTTGGTAGGTCAGAGGTGAGTGCAGTCGGGACGGACTGGGATGAATGTTCCGGAAGGACACCACACAGTTTGGAGGCGTAAGGCCGTATGTGCGATCGGCAGCCCCACTTATGATGTGAGATACACGAAAGTTAATGTTTTATCTGAATTTAGCACTCGAAATAAGTCACCGAAATGTAATACGCGTCCCCCGAGAGTTATAGTTTTTACAGAGCAACTGGTTATCAATTTATTTTACGTAGCCGGAGGATTTTACATTTATATATCAAGAAACCAAAATATATTTAGAGGTTGTGGAAACTGTAGAATTATGGGGGACTTTAGGATGGCAGTGGTGGAGAGAGGAGATACGTCTTGGTAGACACCGGAACTCCGTCTGCCTGGATTCTTGGACAGACGACAGTATATGTCCTTGTTGAAGGAGACGATGTCCTTCAGTCGATGTATGGATAATTTGGAGTGACTGGCCGGTCGAGATATCGATGTATGAATATGGAGACGAGGAAGAGATAGGAGGATAGGAGGGGAGGATGCATATGATATGCATAGTTCCCTCAGGACCCCCCGGGAAAGTAGCGGTAGTCCCTACCGTGGAGTGGGGCAAATTTGAGACAAAACGGGGCGAAAAAATCGGACGTGTCCATGTGGAGTTGTCGTCTTGGGGCGGCTGGATGGCCAGTGTCACCATCGTGGTAGATAGGGATGCGGGGAAGATTGTGTCGTCGTCATCCGACTTGAGGAGATCGTCCTATTCTTGGGGTGGGAGTTAGCTGTAAAAATTAAACAAGATTGGACGACCAAATTAATATGTATTATGGTCAAAATATAAAAAATTGTAGGGGTTAGTAATTTTCACACAGATTTTTCGTCTCTTCGGCAGTTTGTTTGTAAAATTGACATGTACGGAAAAAAAAGTAAAAGAAAAAAATTCGGCATATCTGTGTGACAAGATTATTATTTATACACACCAAAATTTTCGGGAATGATTTAAAAATTGACTCTTTGAGTGAAAATACGTGTATACTTGCAAACACATTTTGTGTGTATAAAAATTGGAAAGTTAGTCTGTGTAGATAAAAAGTAGTGTGTGTGTTAAAAAATTGAGGAGTAAAATACAATACGTTTTGTGGTATTGAGTAAAAAATTAAGGTAAAATCTGGGATTTTACAGTCAGAAAATTAAAAAACAACAAAATTAACAGAAATTGGTTTAAAATTGAAAAACAAGTCAATAATAAAAATATAGGAAGTTTTTTATGTAAAAATTCGGCAAAATTTCGGCTTTTTTCATTTTTAACGTCTAAAATCGCCTGGAGAGTAGCGAGATCGAGGATAACGCGTTCGTGTGCTACGACACAAAATTGTTTGTTCTCGTTCAGATTCGAATACTGAAGACTCTTCAGACGGAGTGGGGTCAAAATCGATACGGGGTTCGTTTTGGGAGGTCCCACTGGCGACAGAAACGCTTGGCGACGTACTATAAACAGAATAAGCAGATTCAAGTGACGAAGAACCTGAACTACAAGTATTAAAATATTGAGAATTATGTGAATTCGACTTCTCTGAACTACGGGCATTATCATTATTATCCATTGGGGGGTTAGGATTGTGGGAAATTGTGCGTGACGCAGGTCTGGAACTCTGTCGCGACGGTGGCGGGACTCCAACGGAAGAGTTTGACCTGTATGGGGCTCGAAATATAGGTTTCTTAGTTAGTTTGTACATTAAATTTGGTTTTTTAGTAAAAACAGGGAGGACATCAAAGTCAAAATCAGAATCTACAGCATTTTCCGAGTCAGATATTTCTGACACATCTTCGCAGACATTACCAGAGTGTATTTCACGCTGATAGGGTTTCAATTCTCTTACACTAACGCAAAATTCTAAGCGATTTTCGTTTCTTTTCTCTCGTTTATCTAAAATTCTATAGACGTTCTGGGAAATTTCGGCAATAATCATAAATGGGCCTGACCATTTTGGTCTGAATTTTGCAACTTCGCCCTCACGCGTGTCATGATTCACTCTGAGGACCAAGTCACCCGGTTTATATTGAATTGGCTTATGTTTGAGATCAAATTTCGCTTTCTCCAACTTCTGAAAATGTATGGTGCGACTACGTGCCGCATCCAAATTTACTCTTTGACGAGTTCTAAGTGCAATTGGCTCAAATTACTCATCATCAACAATTAAAAATGGGTTTTCAACTTCTGAAGGTAAAATTGGATCATAACCGTATACTAACTTGAAAGGAGAAAATTTTGTGATTTTATGAACGGCAATATTGGCAGCATAGGCGGCTGCTGGGACGAATTGATCCCAATTTTTGTGCGACTTATTGACATATTTAGCAATGATACTCTTAATTACGGCATTTTTCCGCTCGCAAACACCATTAGAATCTGGTTTATAGGGAGCTGTGAACTTTAATTTTATACCTTTTTGGAGGCAGAAGGCCTTGAATTCGTGACTTGTGAAGCTACTACCTTGGTCGCAAACGAGAGGACAAGAGTGACGATACAGAACATGTTTCAACAGAACCGAAATTGCTGACTTTGTGTCTACATTCTTTGTCGGCCACGCTTCAACATAGCGCGTCAAGTGGTCAACAGCTACAAAAATGTACTTATTTCTGTAAGGCGTAGTAGTAGGAAAAGGACCTTGAAAATCGATACCAATTCTTTGAAATGGCAATTTTGGAGGAGGGTCTGGTTGTAAAGCGCCACGAGTAACAAAATTTCTACGATTATAAAATTGACATTTTTGACAAGATTTGATATAGCGGTGAGTATGTATATACATGTTCCGCCAATAATATTTCGTCTTTAATGCGGCATACGTCTTGTAAAAACCCAAATGACCGAGCACACCATCATGAATCTCGTTTAAAATTTTTACCCGTAATTTGGCAGGGATACACGTTAGCCACAAAGGTGAGTCTTCGTTGTGAGAAATTTTACATAAAAGATCGTTACGAATAGAAAAGTCTGCACTTTTAGAGGTTAGCATTTCGGAGGGATGCTTGGGATTCAAAGTGACAGCTTCGACAAGTTCTGTAATTTTAGAAAGGGAGGGATCTGCTTTTTGCATAATAATTAATTCTTCTACAGGGACAATGCTGCTTTTCGTCTTGTTCGTCTTGTTCGTCTTTTGTGCTTGTATAGCGAAAAAATGTTCGTCGATCTCAAGTGGATCGCATTTTGAATTAGGGGGATTTACAGGATTTCGAGACAAAGGGTCTACGTCCGTATGAATTTTTCCTGCAATGTGTCGAACCTCAAAATCATACGGCTGTAGACGCATGATCCATCTTGCTAACATGTCTTTTGGATCCTTCATGTTTAGCAAATAACAAAGGGAATGGTGGTCAGTGACTACTGTAAAGTGACGACCATAAACATAAGGTTTAAAATGTTCAATGGCATAGATTGCGCCAAGTGCTTCTAATTCCGTTGCGCCATAATTCCTCTCACATTTATTCAAACTACGAGAGGCGTATGCGATAACTCTAGGAGTATCGTCCTGAATTTGTACCAAAGTGGCACCAAGTCCTAGCTTACATGCGTCTGAATGAATTTCGACTGGGGAATGAGTATCAGGAAATCCTAAGATTGGGGGGGAAACTAATTCTTTCTTTAACTTAGTAAATGAATTTTCGCAATCAGTATCCCAAATAAACGGCTGGTCTTTCTCGGTTAATTTTCGCAAAGGGGCAGCAATTTTAGAAAAGTTCGGAATAAATCGGCGATAATAAGAGCAAAGGGACACAAATGACTGAACTGCTTTGACTTTCAATGCTTTCGTTTTCTTTTCGTAAGGAGGAGGAAAATTTTGAACCGCATCAGTTTTAAGTGGATTCACTTCCATGCCATCTTCAGAGACTACGTAACCGAGATACAATAATTTTGGCTGTGCAAAGGAGCATTTTGTGGGTTTCAATTTTAGATTGGCGGCTCTGAGTGCATCAAAAATAAGAGTCAAATGATCAAGGTGTTCGGCAAAAGTTTTACTAAAACAAACAATATCGTCTAAGTATACGAGCGCAATAGTCCACTTAAGATGACCTAAGACGCTGTCTACCAGGCGGGAAAAGGTCGCTGGTGCATTACACAGGCCGAAGGCCATGACCTGCCATTGAAATAGACCGTCAGGGGTCACAAAGGCGCTTTTCTCCTTATCGGCTTCATTTAATTCTACTTGATAATACGCTTGATCACAATCCATACTACTAAAAATTTTTGCACCGCCTAATCTGTCAATTGCATCGTCAATTCGGCTCATAGGATACGAATCCTTCTTTGTTACCTCATTTAATTTTCTAAAATCACAACAAAATCTCCAAGACCCGTCAGGCTTGGCTACTAAAACAACGGGAGAAGCCCACGGAGAGTTAGAATGTTCAATAATACCTTTTTCTAGCATGTCGGCACATTGTCTAGCAATTTCTTCTCGCTCTTTTTGTGACACTCTATATGGTCGCTGGCGAATAGGAGCAGCATTCCCAGTATCAATAAAGTGTTTTGTTAAATGTGTACCAGTCAAATCCTGAGAAGAGGAAGCGAAAATGTCGGCATAATTTAAAAGAAGTTCACGTAGTTCGGCTGATTGTTTTTCGGTAATGTTGTCACCCATTTTAACTTTTGAAAGGAATTCAGGAACATTGGTTGAATCAGAATTTGAAAAATTTGGAGGAGGTTGAGCATTATCGGAGTTTTCATCATTTTCAGAAGTATACAAAGACAAAAGAGATTCTAAACGAGCTTTATTTAAGTCGTCAAGATTGCATTTAATTTGTGCGTCGTCAAATTCTTCACAAGTACCAATTGGGGTATTTTGACAAAGTTTAATTGGTTTACCAGTTAAATTGGCAATGAATGTACGACCCGTACCATTCGAAAGTGAAATAATAGTTTTTCCAATTGCTACCTGTTTAGTTTTTTCTAATTCCCGACGAGGCGAAATGAGAATATCACCCGAAAAACTACTGTTAACAAAGACGTCCACTCGTTTAAAAGAATGTGGCTGAATAATGCATGAACGTGTAATACGAATCGACTCAACGGCTTTAATAGTATTCGGCAAATCCGAAAAATCAGAATTAGAAAATGAAATTTGAGAGAATTTTGTATTGCTACTAGTGTTCGAGGTAAATTGAGAAGAAGTCTCCGATTTAGAGAAAGTTGAAGTAGTTTCGGAAGGAATTGTAATTTGTTGAGAATTGTTGCGTCTATTTCGTTTTCGCGTGACTCTGGGAGAATTTGCAAACTGTTTTGGCTGTACTGGAGATTCATTTTGAACTTTTGATTTTTCCGTATTGTTCGTACTAATGGGGGGATTTGGATTGGGGGGAGGAGGGGATATATTAACCATGGAGGGGTAAAGAGAAACAGGAATATTTTGTTGCCAATTTTTGTCACATTTAAAATCAGCTACGCCAAATTGTAACTCTCTTTTCTTAATATTAATTGTAACGTCGTACGCGTACATAAAATCTGTACCAAAAACTAAATCATGGGAAAGATTCGGACAAATAAAAAATTTCCATAAAAATTGTCGGCCTTGAATATTGATTATAATTTCTGCACTTGAATTAATATAATAAACTTCATCATTTTTAACTGAAACTTTAATTCGAAACGGAATACACGGAGTAATCCGGTGAACGGAAACAGGGGTCAATAATTTTAAAATTTCTGGATTAATTGCGGAAATACCTGCACCAGTATCATGTAAACCTATTCTTACAATATTTTCAATTCGTACTGCTGTGTGCATTTGTATCGGCTCATTCGGCTTATCGTCATAACGTCTGGGAAATTTTTGGCCTAAATGATAAGTACAAGGAACTGAGAGTACAGTGGCTCCAGTAGAAGAAACACTCTTTTGTTTAATTTTCAAATCGGCTAAATATTTAATATCGGCATGTGTGACATACGGCTTATTGAAATTAGGAGGAGGAGATTTGGATAATGGGGGGAAATGATGAGGAGAAAGTCGAGGCTGGTTAGTATCATTCGGATAATTTTTATAAGAATTGTTATAAGAAGTTGTGTTATTAGAACGTCGATAATTTACGAATTTATTATTATTATTGACAAAAGGAGCTAATTTCGCCCGAGGGACCCGCGTACCCAGGCGCATTAGTTTTCCGAATGATTATTAGAATCATCCCGAATTCCCTGGATTTGTGGATTAGGAGGAGGATTATGTACAGTATTGTTGTGTCTTGGCTGTCGCCAATTGTTGTCGTGATTTCGAAATTGTCCATTATTAAAATTGCGATTTTGATTAAAATTGTGTTGATTGTTAAAACGTTGATTATTAAAATGTTGATTGTTAAAAGGTTGTCGTTGATTAAAATTTAATTGTTGTCTAGGAGTAAAATTGTTGTGTTGTTGTCGGGGTGGATTAAAATTGTTCTGATTATTGAATTGTCTTGGATTGTTGTGTTTGTGTTGTTGAATAAATTGATTCAATTGGTGGCATTGTTCAGTCGTGTGTGTATGTGTACCATGAAGGGCACAAGGAAGGACAGTGGGGGGTTGTGGGGTAGGTTGAGAATTTTTCGGAGCTTGGTGTTTCTGAACACCAGCCAGAATTACACTGTCAGCTTCAGACGAAAAAGCTTTAGGAATAGTTAAACTGTGTCGACCCAATAATTCGTCAATTTTTCGTAATTGTTCTAAGAAAGCGTGTGCATCTGCACACTGAGAAGAAGTAAATTGTAATTGAAGTTTAATTGGAAGTCCCTTAATTAATTGTTCTACAATTTTACTGTCCGTCATATTAGGATCAATATTGCGTAAAATACTCAATTTAGAAGTTACATATTCTTGTGGATTAGATTTCTCAGCATAAACTAAAGCTTTGTTCGCTTGCTTGTGTGTACTAATTTGAGAATCATGATTAAAAAACAGTTTAAATTCTACTAAAATTGCTTTCCACAATTCGTCATAATCATTGTTACAAGTGGTAACTAAATTAGTAGCATATGTAGGAACTCTTGAGTTGAAAAAATCTAATGCTTGACCTTCTAAAATTCGGTCTAAATTTGTAGAAATCCACTTTGTTGTAACATGATGTTCGGCTAAATCGGCAGTTAAATGAGCAATAAACTCATTTACGTCAGTTTTTCCGTCAAATTTACGAAAATATTTGATAACCTTATTAGGGTGTTCGACTGCAGGAGGGTTCGACATTTTGAAAAAAATTTCCAAATAAAATCTCAAAAAACCAAAATAAATCAAACGACTATTCAACAAAATTCAGAATTATTTCCAAATAAAAACGACTTATTTTTCACTTTAACTTAACATTAGGTTGCCTTTGCCAGTTTCTAGCATTATTTCATAATATTAAAATAGAATTGTATGCATTTCCCAAATAGAAAGAGATAATTTTATGTACCCTTGTTTCGACCATCATTAGAATAATGCGGCATAAATAGAACAAAGGAGAGGAGGAATAAGGATACTCATGAAGGTTGTCCCTCGGCTTGATTGCCAAGGCTTACCCACAACTGCTCGCATACCCAGGATCTGCAACCATGAACCCGCAGGCCTAGCCTTCGTCCCCTGGCTCACGACGACACGAGCCGCCGCAACATTGACCACCGTGGTGTAGCTTGGGTCAATGTGAGGGACGGTGCCTTCTTCGGAGTTGAGTATGGGTAAGGTAGGTTGTGGAAAGGTAGGTAGGTAGGTAGGTAAGTAGGAAATGAATTCAGATTTTAAATATGTAAAAATGGTCCTAAATTGGAATTTTGGGAAATGTCTCGACTAACAAATGCATTGATGTGTAATAAAGTTCAACCAAACTTTGAATAAATGAACACAAAGCGAATTATGCATGCATGCCAACACACAATTTTTCTTTTCTTCTTCCTTGTTAATTAGCATAATGGTTAGTAATAATCAAATAAGTGACGCTATTCTAATGAATAGAACTGTCCTAACAAGAAGTGACCTTTACACGGACAAGTGTACGTTAAATCGGCTTATTTTCGAAATATATCGGCATATCGGCATTGTTTTCTATAGAAAACCGTCAATCGTCAAAGGCAAAATAATATTGAATGTATTTAAAAAGATTTGAAAGAAATCGAGTCAAAAATAAAAGTTTTAAAAGAAATTATGTATGTACATTTGTAAAAATATTCCTCTCTTTTGAAGAATATGTCATATTTTATTTAAAAATCAAAATTGAAAAGTGTGTTCCTCACACAATGTGTAAAATATATTTCTGGATGTATGTATAACATCAAAATGTAAAAGAAATTGTTAAAAACCCGATTTATTGTACGTATGTATGTACTGATTTACGAAAAGAGAAGCTGGAGGCAGCTTGAGACAAGTTTGCAAAAATTTTCTAAGTTTTTTTGAGAGCACTGGGGCAATGTGAAACAGGTAAGAAAAATTTGGGCAGAGTTCTGTTTCGATCTGACCACTTTTTAAAATTTTTCAGAAGTTTCTGTAAGAAAATGGGATAATGTGATACTACTCAAAAAAAAAATTTCGAAGGGTTTTGTTTAAAAATTGCCTTTTTTCATTTTTACTTTTCAAAAAATTAACCTCAAAAAACTCTCTCAAAAGTATAGCGTCTTTTTGTTAAATAAAAATGTAGAAAAAATGTTTACGGCACCTTTTCATGATTTTCATCACGGCTTAGAAAGATACGAACCAGAAAATCCGAAGTTTTATGGAGAAGACGGCGTGGTCCACTCGTTTGGGCAGAATGAGACAAAGGGGCGTCCACGAATTCGGACGAATTTTCGGGCAGAGAGGGGTCCAAAAAAACGATCTCAGGTCATCACGTCTGTGGCGATGGGTCTGGTGTCGAGGTACAACGAACAAACTCGGTCGGTCTAACCACGTCTGTGGGCGTGGATGTGGTGTTGAGGTACAAAGAACGACCTCTGCCGGTCTAACCACGTCTGTGGGCGTTGGTCTTCCGGTGGGCGCTTGGTAGGTCAGAGGTGAGTGCAGTCGGGACGGACTGGGATGAATGTTCCGGAAGGACACCACACAGTTTGGAGGCGTAAGGCCGTATGTGCGATCGGCAGCCCCACTTATGATGTGAGATACACGAAAGTTAATGTTTTATCGGAATTTAGCACTCGAAATAAGTCACCGAAATGTAATACGCGTCCCCCGAGAGTTATAGTTTTTACAGAGCAACTGGTTATCAATTTATTTTACGTAGCCGGAGGATTTTACATTTATATATCAAGAAACCAAAATATATTTAGAGGTTGTGGAAACTGTAGAATTATGGGGGACTTTAGGATGGCAGTGGTGGAGAGAGGAGATACGTCTTGGTAGACACCGGAACTCCGTCTGCCTGGATTCTTGGACAGACGACAGTATATGTCCTTGTTGAAGGAGACGATGTCCTTCAGTCGATGTATGGATAATTTGGAGTGACTGGCCGGTCGAGATATCGATGTATGAATATGGAGACGAGGAAGAGATAGGAGGATAGGAGGGGAGGATGCATATGATATGCATAGTTCCCTCAGATTTATATTCATATATACCTTCCATTGTAAATGGCTCGTCACGGGAAATTGGCTTAAATCCAAACGTACTAAGACCTTGCACAGAACAAAAGTATTGGAGTTGTTAAATAATTATACATATATATAATTCACGTAAAAACCTTTGCAAACATTTGTCTTAGGATTATTTAGCATAATTTTTTGTCTCTGCTGTGCAAAAATTGCACATCTTACGAGTTTGCATTTATGCAAATACTACAGAATAATCACTTACTGAAAACAGAAGGGGGTTGTCTTCTCCTTTGTCTGCCAACTACTTCCGGAAAGTCAAACAAGTAAGATGAATCTGCTACATCGTTTTCAACGTCAAGCTTTTTCCCATCGCCGGACAAACCTGACATGCAAATTGGTACATGAGTATTAGAAATCGGAGATTTGTGGTTTAATAAAACCAATGAATATGAACAACAAAACAAAATTATTCACTTTCACTATACAAGTTTACTTTATCTAAACTTTTTTTAATCACTGCCAAATTTTCAAGTTAGAATTTATTTTTGAAGTCATCGTAATAAAAATTCTTCTGATAAGTCTTAATACTTACTTTCCAATGGAATAAATTCGCAGGAAAATAGGACGTGAATTTGTATTGCAAATAAAAACAAGAAGATTATGATTTTCAAAAACATTTTTGTAAATTTAATCCACTGTCTGAAATATTAAATAATTTAGACTTTTTGAAATTCTTGATAACGTTATTTTAAGCGGTGCACCGACTTTTAGTGTTCACAATATTTTTAGTGTTTACATATCTATAATGGGATTAAATCAATCACATCAAATTAAATCAAATTTGACATATACAGCTCACAAATAAATAAAAAAACATTAGATAGCCACACAAATGACGATTTCTTGGTAATCGCACATTAAAGATATAAGTTTATTATCGTATTAACCATAAATGCACATGTAATACATATCGTAAATAAGGAGCTCGACATCAATAAATCACGTGGCATGGCATATTCACGTCAATTTCTGATTTCCAACAGGGATGGACTTCACATAATTAAATCAGAATTTAATTGAGTAATTATGTTAAACCAAAATGTCTTTAATAAATTTTCAAAGAAAATATCACACTTTATCTAATTCATAAACTACGTTTGCAAATATTTCCAAAATAATTCGTGACATTTTTTAAAAAGTATTCCCAATTTTGAAGACACCCAGCTTTTTACATATGAACAATGTGAATCCCCCCATTAATTTACATCTTATTTAATAAGATCCCATGAACAAATGAATGCAAGTGAAAAAAATTATCGTAATACATAACTTATGATGGTTATTCACTCAAGATGGATATTCATTATGTTATACTTTGACCAAGTCAATATATGTATTTATAAGTTAAATAACACGATTTGATAACAACTTATCGTACTGTCAATCAGTTCATGTATGTATTTAGTTGTCGTTCTGATACTTACCTCGTTAACATTGCGCAACAACCTTAATAAAATTTGTTAATATTAATATTTCCAAATTTTGCTATACGACTAAAATTTCAGAAGCTTATCTACAAATATTATTTATTTTCAAACTTGAATGGAACCAATATGTGAATTTATTGGTGCAAAATATTGTAAAACTATATACCTATAGTATATGCAAATATTTCACATTTGCATACTAAAACACAGCAGTTTGTGCAATTGAATTGGAGTATGAATTTTAATTTTCAGGTCAAAAGCATAGCGACGGATACAACGACATGGACGACTAAAACGGACACATGTGAAAATAAAGACTCTCTTCAACACGATTTTATCATCGTTGGTGTAATTTTTGTACTACTGATTTTGTAAGCGAAACAAGGATTCTAATTTTTCTGAAATTGTGTAAAATTTAAATTGATCAATTTGAAAACTTTTGTATAACATAAGCCAAACTTTCGGGAATTTACACGGTTTACTGGCTTAAAATACATAGGGTTAAAAATTAATTAAAGATTACTAACTTTCAATTATACTACCTGCAGATTGGAGACAAGTACAGTTTTTGCTGTGTTGGTGATTAAACGTGTCGAACGGATTAGTCTAATCGTCCAGGCGTTTTCCAACTTTAAAGAGAAAAAAAGTGTGCATATTCTCTTACAAGACTTGAACATCATGAGATCAAGGCCTCGATCTAATTGTCACAGAAAAGTTATCGGGGTGGAACAGCTTGGACAGGAAAATCGTGATTTTTCTTCATATAAATTGACGAACGGCGTGTACTTAATTAATCCTGAAAGAGGTATAGAATTAACCAATAATAAAATTCAGTAATCCACGGCAAGCTATGTAACCAGAAGAGTTGAGCGTTTTCAGAAACCCGATCCGATCAGTTTCTCGGATTAAAAAAAAATATCCGATCCGATTCGTTTTTAATTTAACAAATACGGATTACAGTGTCGGACAGATGTCTACGTCCACATAGTCGCGTCAATTTCATTTTCAAATTGTCACTGAACTACTGAACCAATTTTCATCATTGATATATCAAATTCTCACAAATTTAACGTAATTTCATAGCACATTATTAGTTTTCCGCTAAAAAATTTATTTTAGGCCAGAGATGTATTTTAATTCAAAATGAAAACAATTGGATGGACAAAAGTCAACGTCCAGTCAGAGAAAACATACAAAAAAAACTGTAATTTATAAGGAATGTTATAACAATTAATTTTTAATATTTGGTTGGGCCTCCGTTCGCTTTAAGGACGGCTTCAAGGCGTCGAGTCATTGAGTTTACCAAATTCTTGGTCACATCTTCAGAAATGGTTTCCCAAACTTCACGAATTCTGGATTTAAGGCCCGGAATTCCTGAAAAAGATTATTTTCTTATTTCTCTTTCAATGTGGTCGCACAGATGCTCAATGGGATTCAAGTCTGGAGATTGGGGAGGCCATTCTAGCTTCGGAATTTTTTTTTCTTGAAGTATTCCATGGTGGACTTGGCAGAGTGTTTCGGATCGTTGTCTTGTTGGAAGGCAAATCGTCGTCCAAGTCCAAGTTTTCGAACAGATTCCTGGATATTACGGTCAAGTATTCCCTGGTACTTGCATTGGTCCATAATTCCGTCAATAAATTCCATTTTTCCTGCCCCACTTGAAGCCATGCATCCCCACACCATTACCGACCCGCCGCCGTGCTTAACTGTGGGGTTGAGATTTTTTGGATTCAAAGCTTCTTTTGGATATCTCCACACTCTACGACGCCCATCTGACCCAAAGACATTGAACTTTGACTCGTCAGTCCATAAAATATGTCCCAGAATGTTTGTGGCTTGGAAATGTGGTCTCTGGCAAACTTCACTCGTTTGGTTGCATTCCTCGGTACAATAAGAGGCTTCCGAACTGCTCTGTGGGATTTCAAATTTCCCTTATTCAGTGTTCTTTGGATGGTCATAGGACTAACCTGTTTGCCGAACATCTCCTTGATCTCGGTAGATAGCTTTGGAGCACTAAGTGAGGGTGTAACGTTGACTTTGTTGAGCACGTGGCGTACTTCTCGGTGAGCCAAAATGGGTTTTCGACCACTTCTGACCTTGTTTTGGACTGAACCATTAGCTTTAAAGTTCTTAATGATTGTCTGGATGGTTGTCCTTGCTAATTTATACTTGGTCCATATTTGTCTCTGCGACAGCCCCCTTTTTGTCCACCCTTCCAGTCCTGAATGACAAGATCTCGAATAGCGATAGGAATTTCCTTGCGTGTCGACGCCATCATATTTTTCTGGAAGAAAATTATTTAAAAATTAATGCGGCATATGTTATTGATAGATTTATTAAGTTACCTGATTTTATAAATTGGAGAGATTTTTGTTGTTGACAATTAAAGTGAAGTGGACGTAGACTTTTGTCCGCTCAAATTTCATCCTCTCTCGCTCTGCACTATGATTCTCAGTTTTCCCAGAATTTTCAGAAATAACTCATATGTTTTATGAAATTACGTTAAATTTGTGAGAATTTGATATATCAATGATGAAAATTGGTTCAGTAGTTCAGTGACAATTTGAAAATGAAATTGACGCGACTATGTGGACGTAGACATCTGTCCGACACTGTATGTATTCAAAAAATCGGATATCCAACTCAACCAAATACTCGAAATTTGAGCATTTTGTTTCGTAACAAGCGATAAAGTTGAGAAACTCAGCGAATTTTATAAGATTTACGAAGTTTAACGTTATTTAGGTTCTTGGCGATCGACGCAAAACGGGGATGTAACAATTTTGTCTCATCGTGGCGTGACTTTGAATCTAGCGAAGCAAAAATTTATCGATGTTCTCGTCACGAGAGGTACGACACGTGAGGCAAATGAACGTCTGCGAGATGGTGCCCAATATTTTGCTGCCATCGGAGAACGTGACAACATCGTAAAGTTTTTCGGGTTCCAGGATCTTCCATCTGGTATAAAACATTATTAATATATTTAGTGAATCACGATGATTAAGTAGTACGAATTTTGTAATCTTGTAATTTGTGAAGTCCTGTCAAATTATTTTATGTCGAATATGGGATTGATTTTCATATTTCTGACTTTCTTTGTTAAACTTTTGATTTTAACAGGGTCAATATAATACGATATAAGTAACTGTTGAGCAATTTAAAAAATACTAATTTGTCTATGATGTTTTTGTCAGATTTACTGAGGAAATTCACGTACTACTTGTCAATATTGTAAAATCCGCACAACTTACAAAGCTTACGAACAGCCAAAGTCAGATAATTGGTTCCGAAGAATTTTACCAAATTACTCTGTATTGTAAAAAAAAGTTTATGCGAGTAATGTGCATTTGTAGCTTTACGGATTTAGGATGTGTTCGAGCTAATTTTATAAATTAATTTGTAACCCGACAAAATCACACCCGCCCTCAATTTTCCCATTTGTCAAGAAATTCGTAAAGTTTTAGAGGACTTGTAATACAAACTTTGTACGTATGATTGCACTTTTGCACAAATTTTGGTTTCCAAATTGAAAAAAATACACATTTATGAAATTTTTGCAGGAAATTTTTGCAGGAAAATATCGCAATTAGAGTATGTACATAAATTTTACAGAGGCGTCACCTAATTCTAGCAAATCTTTAAATTTCTGCACAGATCGTATCTTTCTGGTTTCGTAAATTTGTGAGGGAGGCAGCCTTCTAAATCTGTTGAGACTGAGACGAACATCTACAACGAGCACGACTTTTGCTGACAATTCGGATGGAGATGCTAACTACGAACAAATGTAATAATTAATATGTAATTATTACATAATAATTTTTAAACTATAACCAAATTAGTGGTCATACATTGTCATGGTCTGGTAACAAATTTGTCCTATAGTATTTAGAGTTGTAAACAACATAGTTTGGTAACAATTATCACACAACGTTAATAAAATTGCTGCATAGCATATTTCTACCCCAAGTTTTTTTTACCAAAGTACTATTACCAAGTTTTATTTTGGTGTTAGTTTCAGTGCCCTTAAGTAGTACCTAAATCCGTCAAATAACTACCTCTGAATTAATTTTACAATTTTAAAGGTGTAACGCCGCAAGTTTGAGTCCCATCCCAATTCCCCGACTTATCACGTGGATCATGGGTATCGCTCAAGGAATGGTGTATCTTCAAGAGAAAAACGTAGTTTTCACGATACAATTATTTCATTACGAATAATTTAATTAAAACTTCAAGCTCCACATTTTCCTATAGATTTACGGGGTTACTTTATCCGCACGAGATATCTGGCTGTCGTGGGATTATGTTGCGAAAATTTCTTTGTCGACCTTGACCGGATTTTGCAATCAGGAATCAGTTGAGGTAAACAAGTCAATTTCCACAAGTAAATTCGTAGTTTGTTTAATCGGGTTTTGAATTTTGACGATTTTTACACTTGTGAAATGCAAAAACGAATTGCAATTTTTTCATAATGAATTTTTCGGAAACAAAATCCTCAATATTTGCTCAATAATAAATCTGAATTTCAAATCTAAATTTTGACAGAATGGCGTGGACGAGGATCCCGAAAGAGTCAGGTGGACAGCTCCTGAAGAGCTTTTAAACCCTTCGGGTCATGTCCTTGACCCGCATCATGGAATAGACGTTTGGTCTTTTGGAGTCTTAATTTGGGAAATTTTTTCATGTGCCCAAACTCCATACTTTCAGTGGCGTGATGATGACAATTTGGAAGAGAATTTGGCATATTTCTTACATAGTGGGGGTCGCTTAGATGTTCCCAGCGATTTTACACCGGAAGCAATGTATGCATTCAAAATACACTAAAAATTTGCCTCTATGAAACTCTACCGTTGGTAACGATAATTTTTCAATCAACGGTAAAAACGAATCCAAAGGCTGATAAAAATTCCTCACTGGAAGGCGGTTAATTTGCATTTCTAGCCAATTATTGTTACCGTCAAATGGGTATCTTTGCCGCAAGTAGAACGCCATGAGATCCTACTCGAGGAGTGAACGGTCCGTGTTGTTAGAGAGTATTGTATAAAACTGGTGGTAGCATTGAGGTTAAAAATTTTCATGCAGATATGCATATTAATATTTATCACTGGATTGACAGATGGGACATCATGATGCTATGTTGGGATGTGGATCGCAAAAAAAGGCCAAGTTTCTCTCAAATTCGAGAAATGTTTCAGAATTATCTTACATCGACCATGTTACCATCAGAAGACTAGAAGATGTATAAAACATTAAAGATGAATTTGGCCAAAATTATTAAATCAGAATAATAAACTATGTATATTGCACAGTTTACACAGTCAACAGTTCGCATCTAAAATGCAACTTTGCATAAGACCATTGATAATTTAGAAAAATGCCCATGCAATTGACTCAACCGTATTTATGAACGTTATAGAATCTGCCTATCTGTATTATTCCATAGGATATCATGGATATCCGTAATTTTCCAATCCAGTTCGCAAAATTTTATACAGTTTGCAAAAGTTTGCGAATACGAGAACGCTCGACGAGAAATCTCTGTATTCCATCGGTAACCATGTACACAAAGAATAACCTCTGACTAACAAAGTTTAGGAAAATTTTTCTAAAGTAGACGGGCATAAAAAAGTATGCTTTTCACACTGAATCAAATAAACTTTCTTCAAAGTATCAAGTTTTCATCGTTTTGGAATACCTTCCACTTATCGTACTTCCGGATTTCACTTCCTTCCTGACCCTTCGTGACCAAGGAGTTTTTCCTCTCCCCGTATTCTTCCTCCTCGACAAGAAATTGGAACTCTTCACTATGTCTCCTCACCTCTCCCTCGTGGCCATCGTCGCCCTCGCCGTCTGTGTGATAACTGGTGTCACAGGTCAGCTCTATACGAGGGTGGAAGACCTCATGACAATCTTCAAGCCTAAACTGGGTCCCTTAAAGTGGCCCACCACTGCCTTAAAGAATCCTCCCATTACATGCTTAGTTATGGCGAACCGGTAAGTCAGACCAATTAATTTATTCAATTTAAGTAATCTGGTCACTCCAATTTTTAATTGGATTAACTTATTTAATTTGAATTCTTTAATTTTACCATCTTCAAAAGAAATTTGAATGTTTATCACTCTCGCGTCGCCTACATGGAATCATGGGACCGCTTCCGCACCGAATACAACGACAAAATCGATCCATCCAACTTTAATCCCCACTATTTCTGCGCCAACGTCCCCAAGTTCCGTTTCATGAGTAAGTAAAACAAAACGTCGGTATAATCCAAGATTATTGGACATATTCATGTGATCTCTATCATTAAATAACAAAAGTGGCACATTTTTTGCCTACAATTTTAGGAACAAATTGTACTAAACATATTTTTTAATTAACCGCAGGTTCTGACGTAATTAAAGAACCAGACAAGGAAGATTTCTCCCGCACCCCTCACTCACAGTTCTGGATGGAGGAGCCGACAGCTTGGTTCTGGCACAGGCGTTATCACGCAACCCTAGAATTAACCGCTGAACAACTCATGACGGGGAAGATATTGGGACTTATCTTTCGTGTGGATGTGACAGGAATCAAAAGCAAAGGTCGATTTCTGAAAGGTGACTCATAAATAATTTTACCCCGCTGTGGAGGACTTTACTTACAATGCGATGGTGTGAAGTGTAACCCTCCGATTTGGTTGAAAGTTTGAAATTACGTGGTCATTGTCAATACGTTTCTTCAGGCCGTTTGTGCAGAATTTACCAAAATATTTTAGGGCAAAGTTGAAAAAGATGGGATTTTTAGCACGGGAAGAGAATTGAAGTTGAGTTTGCTTCTTCCGCATGGTAAAAATCGCCCGTTTTTCAACTTTGCCCTCAAATTTTTCGGCAGATTCTGACCATCGCAAAAACTGCCTGAAGAAACGTTGGTTGTATTGACATGGACCACGTAATTTCAAAATTTCACCCAAATCGGAGGGTTACAGTTCACAGTTCACACCATTGCATTGTTAAAACCACAATTATGTATCTCATCCTTAGGCTGGTACCATTTGAACATCACGCTTGCCATCGATCACAATTTATCCAAGGACGTGGATGGTGTTCTTGTACGTGTCGACAACCAACGCTCAGCCGCTGAGGAGGTGTTGGCCAACCACGTGATTGATAAACTAATAGTGACGGCACGAGGCCTTACGCTCGCCGCGGGGAGACCTCGACCTCCTTGCGAACGTTGTAGACCCTTCTCGGAAACGGGACGTCCCCCATTTAAGCCGGAGCCTCGGCCAGTCCGTCGCGTGTGGGTGGGTGGAATTGGCGAATTTGTCCAAGACTTTCCCCCCTGCGAGGAGGACGGCTATAGAATGAAGACGGAGTACGTCAAGCAACAGTTCATGTCTTGTGGAACTGTCCAATTCGGAGAAGCTCATGTGAACAGTTAATTATTTCGTAAATATTATGACAAATATTGAAATGTTCTTATCATTTGTCCCTTTAGTACGGAAATAACTTCTACTACACGCGGACGCACAACGACAAGAAGACCAAGTACGGCCAAACCCAGGAAACTCTCAAGGGTGCGGCTGAGATCCATCTCAACTTTAAGTTCGACAACTCTTTCTGCAACCGCTACGCTGAGATTGACTTTGTGTAAGACGAATTTCTGTCTATTTTGTTACCCTAATTTTTCACAAGTCATTCCTTCTCCCGTAGAGTAAATGGTATCGTGATGAACAGAAATGTTACGCCTGAATCCTTCGACAACTGGGCCCACCACCCGTCCGGAAAACCTCGCAATGACAAACCTCTTGAATTCGTTTACCGTGAGAACTAATCCAAATTCGAAGATAACCTTTAAATTGTATCAAATTTTAGATTTCTTTTCCCAGCCGTGCAACGCTCGGTATCCACTCGAATCCTGTTCTCCTCCTCGCACGCGATGCACGCCCCGATCTTCTACGAAAGTGCCGACCCCATTCCGCGTGGCGTGAAGACCGTCCAATGCAGCCATCCACTGCAGGGCGAATGGGTAATGAATGACGCCCAGCCATTCCAAATGCCCGGAACTACAACGCTCCATCGCATGTCCGTCACTGCCGGGGCTGACCTCAAACTCAACCCCAAAGCGACTTTCGACTCCACCTTCGGCGGCTCGATCAAGTTCATCTTCGGCCTCCCGAAGGATCTCCTTCTCAGCGATGTCATAGAACTCAACTCCCCGAGTGACGATGTCAACGCTTTTGGACTTCGCCGCACCTCCACCTACCAAGCCCCGCTAACCGAAGAGGTTGGAGGGGAAATGTGGACACCATTTCGTGATATTCTGGGCCATCCTCAAAAGCAAGGACATCCTGTCTCGGCCTGGCTTTCTATCATCAGCATCGTCACCCGGGAAATGAACGAATTCGATTGGGAAACTTTTATCGCCACGGACGATCCAGATCCGACTAATCCTGACATTAAAAATGGAAGCTACTGCAACCCACGTACCATGTTTGATTTAATCTATGAGCCAGGCCCCACATATCTGGCGCACCCGTACTACGACGTGACCTGCTTGGGCGTGGAGTCCTTCAAAAATACGTCGGGTATAATAGTCAGAGCCGTTCCGTACCTAGCGAATGATGCCGAGATTATACAAAAGGGGCGGGACGCAATGTTCTACAAAAAGTTGCCTCCCATCACGGGAAGGTGCGTTAATTAATTAATTATGTTAATTGCATTAATAACATATTATATTCCACCGATTCCTCGTAATTATAGGTGCAGGCCGCTCCTTTGGTGGAATGATGGCGTGGGGAGCTTGAGGGCAGCAGCGCCCAAATGCGACGACTTCTTCCAAGAGTACAGGGACGGCAAGACGAAGGGTGAGTGACACATGACCAAATTAAGAAGTGGAAAAATTATAATATTTCACAATCTGATGAAATTGCTACTTAAAACTGCCTTATGCCTCGTTCAATCCGTCATTTTGCAGCAGATTTAATTGTGCAGTTTTCCTAAGTTTAGCTACTATAGTATTTCTGACCTTGATTCACCGTTTTTTTAGACCCCGCCCTTGCAAGGCTCGTGAAGATGGTTGATGAACAGCACAAGTCGAGAAGTCGAGAGAAATGGAAAGACAAGTACGAGGAGTCGGCGAAGAGGAAGGTCATGGTTGGTCTGTGTGGTGCGATGGAACAGCTGAAGAAAGACTACCCCTGCGCCATCCCAGTTCCGCGGCCATTCACGACCGCACCGACCACTGTCAAGAGTAAGCGTTACCTTCTTCTGGCCAACTTAATTCTGATTTATACATGTTTCTGTGCCAGGTTCAAACGAGTCTGCGGCCCAGGAAAGAATTGCGGGCCAGATGAAACACTCCAATGCCTACCTGCGCGGCATGGTTGTGAACGAGAGCCCATACACCGTCTACATCTGGGTGAACATCAAGCTTAATCGATCCTGGTGATTTATTGGCTGTGCTAATTTAGGCATTTGTATTTCCACAGGATTCGAGACTGATTCACGGCGTGATTATGACCATCATCGTCATGTTCGTCACCCCGATATCCTTCTTTCTCACGCGATACTTCAAGGAGACGTTCATGAACACGCGACTTATGCTGCAACACCTCTGGTTCTTTGTGAGTCTAGCCTCTCTCTAATTTTGAGAAGTGAAACTTACCTCTGACCTTTAGGTCCACCTTTGGTCTGCGATCGTGACGCTACTTTTGTTCTTGGTCGGGATGTGGCGTCAGGTGGAGACGCGCGGTATCCTCGGCGTGAGTCTGCACCCTACGGCACGAACGCATCGAGTTCTTGGCTGGATGTCTGTCTCCATCGCGGCGACCATGCTCGTCCTCGGTGGCTTTCGATGCATGAATCGTACCGTGAGAGGCATCATTATCATCCTTCACTCGCTCCTCGGATATTTTTACTACGTCCTTTGTCGTGAGTAAATGTGTAGATTTGATTAGTAGGAATATAAAATAGGGTAACTTTTGACCTTTGACTTTTTGTATACGAATGTGACATTAGTGACCTGTATGATCACCTCGATCCGAATTCCCGGTTCCCCTGCAGCTTTTCAGGATTTTTCCGTGGTGTCTTTCGAGTTGAAGACTTTGGACAGAGAGGCCGTTTTCGTTGTCGTTGTGGTCTGGATCATATTCGACCTGGTGATGCATATCGTCATGACGGTAAGGTCACGGCAGTAGGAAACTTGTGCACTTCAAATGATTGAACTTTGACCTTTTTTTAATTATCCGCAGTTTCGGCAGTGTATCAATGATGGAATCATGAAACTGACACGTGGGCGATTCTATTTCATCGCACCTATCCCCGTCGTCCTTGAAACTGATCGGTTCGACACTCCTGTGAGGCAGACATGTAAAATATTTGCTGTGTAACCTTTGACCTAATTATTTTCATTTTGTGTGAAGGGTCATCTCACTCGGATCTGGATGCTACGGGCTTACTCCTTGGTGGCTTTTATCGCAACAATCACCATCATCTGCTTTATCTTGGGTCACTCTCCACGCGGTAAGGGATTCGGATTCATGACCTGCACCCACCATCCAGAGAACTTCGAAGTCAGGACGGAGTATGAATGTCCCAAAGGGTGGACCATTTAAGAAGAACAGGTTCAACGTTCCTGGATGTTGTCATTTTAAATACGTCACAATTTCATCTTTACTGTTGTTCGGAGAAAATTCTCCGGTATGTTAAGTGGAGATTTCTGGCTTGCAATGTCAGACAGCACTTTCCTCTTCTTCGGATGACAAAAGTGACGAAAATGTAGCGTGAAGTATAGAAAATTATCATGAATAAGGGAAAATATTTCACATTTTTGTGTGTTAGCTACAAGTTTAGTAGTAAATTTTTGATGTCATTACTGTGACATGGTTCATGTTGTGGCAAAAGTCTGTAAATTATTTTCATATTTAAATTGGATAAAAATGTTTCAAAAACTAATTGGTCAGGTGTTAATTTTACAAATTAATCATTTCAACCTGATTCCATCACATACCTATGTAGCGTCTTCCTTATCGTTATACATAATCGGGAAAGTGGTAACTCCAGTCTTAACGAATATTTAGACAATAAACCTGAATAACTCCTATCTGACCAGGTCACGTGCATACATATGTCGACAGAATGCGAACTATATGACCTCTGACTTAATATTTATTGTCATCCCAGAAATAAGGTATTAATTCAATGGACGAGGATAAATAAAATGGTAGAAGCGGTGGTTGTGGGTTTAAGTTAATGAGAAAGCATAGTGGGTTTGATGTTGAAATTTGATGTCACAGGAAATTTCGAAGATCATGAAAAATTGTGCACCTAATCGCGCATCAAATATTAAGCTGGGAATGAGCATTTATATTTTATAAGGAGAAAAACGTCCCTGTAAAAATATCCTTTCTGGGTAAAGCAAACACGTGTCATTTTTTGTTAATAAAAGTAATAAATTGTGTGCTTTACATCTTAAAAAATCGTCTGTCTGGCTCATCTGCCGAGATAAACCGGCTCGTTTCTAAATAAATCTCGGGAAAGTTGAAGCGAAAAAAGTTCGATCTTAATCTGCCCACTTGACGCCTTTCTGCTAAAAACTTCGAGAAAAAGTCGTGTTTTTTGTTTGTTAAAAATCTTCTTGAGCTCAAGTGACTCAGAAATTCATATACTTTCACTCATCGCACAGCTTTCTCTTTTTGTGCATCACTTGATTCAGTACAGTCGTGAGATGTAACTACGAAGAAAGTGACAGTTATGCATTTTCACAAGTAAAGGACACCATTAAATGCGATTCCAGTTTATTTTACTCTTCTCGTCTTGCGATTGCTTGGGAGCATTATAAGAAATATGAAACATAACGTTTCAATTATTGCAATGAAGGCTTGAAAAAATAATTACAAATTTTAGATTCGAGTATTAGGTACTCTTTTTATTATTAAGATACCGTTAATCAAACGTATACAAAATTAAGCTAAAACTAATCCTAAGTTATCAACAAATTAACAACACATTTCTATGTAAAGATATATACATAATAAAGCTGGATTAGAAGTACTTCAACTTTCTGTCTTTCTACCAAACTTTCTAATATTTAGCAGGCGACGTTTTAACTTTTACTGTCTCAAATTGGTTTTTACAATGTATGTACAAGTTGCATCACCAAATTACTCAAGCAAGTATATTTACAATCCTCCAATGCATGCACTTTATGCATCTCTAACATTCCTACGAAACGGGGAAAGTTTAGTGGTGTGTAAAAAGTAATATCCGAAATATGGATCCAACTGGAATGGACAACAATCCAAAAATGTCGGTCTGCAAACATTTCAAGGACGCGAACGTATTCATTCCATCACATCATCCACTGTTCAGCATCGACCCCGGAGAAAGTCAATTCAGACCAAGTATTGAACTTGGGAGATTTCACTCTTAGAATTTTGTATACAATTTGCTTATCAACATTTACCCGATCTTATCAAGTTGGTAAAGTCACAAGGTTACGTATTCTGTAAAGCTTGCTGGATGTTTTTACTGATGCATGCCAATAAAACGTGTACCTTGGTCCGTACGATCACAAATTTACCATACTGGGAAATTTCTGTAATTGTGCAATTTTTAAGAGTGGCGTTAACTGAAGTGGATTCCTCTTCTGTCCAAGCCATTAGATGAATGATGACCATAATGGCTTTCTCCTTCTCTTCTGACGGACAGTCATCCCCCGTTCAGAGCGAAGAGGGAAACAAATTGATCCGTTGAAATCCATCCCAGCCAACAACGCCAAAATTCAGTCTCAAAAGCCTCCCCACTTTCTCCACCCGTTTTCCTCATGTTGGGATCCTCGCTAAGTGTTTCGCTCTTCTTTTGTCCCTGGACAGGTCTGAGGCCTTCTTGACGTGGCGTGGGAGTCGGTGCATCTGATGACCCAGAGTCCACGAGGAATGTCACACTTCAAGTCGTCGTGTGGGTGGGGAGGACTGAAAGCCAGCCCCGGTGGAGAAAGTTGAAGGTGAAAGCCGGTCAGCCAAGATTCTGCCCCGTGTGCGATAACGCGTCCCAAATTATTTATCGGAAATCACTCTATCAACTCCAATTTCAATCAGAGAGTGGATGTGGTTACACAAAAATGTTGAGGCTCGAGGGAATTTTACTCTAAATAATTCTGTTTAGTATTTCCAACCTAAGTAAATGCCCCAAGGTTTGTAGTAACTTACGACCGATTTGGTTGCAAATTGTTACTTATATTAGTAGCAAATTATTCGAACAATAATTACAGTTTCAAGCTAAATTAGTACACTCCGTACTGGATACATCAGTGGAGTCATACTTATAACTACCACACGGTAACAAATTTCTACCAAACTATTTAGCGTGTACATAACTGAATTAGCGGGAGAGCCGGACATGTGCACCGCTTTCTCCAAACGGGTCGTCGAGTGAATGTGTCGGCACGGTTGGCTGGTCCCATCGCATGTCGCTCTCTGACTCTGTCACATATTTACAAGCAAAAAGTCACCAGCCACGAACCCTGAATAAAACCAGGGAAAATGATATAGGTAAATATCTATATCATTTTCACTGGAATAAAGCTAAAGAGATTCATTCATGATTCTCCGTCAAGGTCGGGTAAGTCCTTTCCTCATTAATTATATTACTGATCAGAGTGGACAGACACGTGGAGTCCACTTTTTGCAAGTGTGACAGGAAAGTAGCACAAATTTGAGAGAGAAATCTTCCAGATTTAATATCATCAGAAAATATGATGTCACAGTACAAAAAAAATACAAGGTATGTATGTAGATACTTGAATATAATGAACTTTAAAATTTCATTTGCTGGTTAAAATATCTACTTGTTCTCGCATCAATTTCGGTAGTTTTTTATGACAAGTTATTTGTACCATGGTTAAAAAGTAGTAAAATTGGTTAATCTTAGTGTACACGCTTACATCTTATTATAGCCAGTGTTTTACAAATCGGGCGCTTTCACTATAAGAATGGACAGAAAAATTGCTCGTATTTTTTTACGCATATCATAAGTTTGTGCTGAAATCAGAAATCATTAGAATTACTTTACATGATAAAAAGTATTTAAAATTAAAATTTCATTAGTGTGTGTGGTCGTAAATAAATTGTTGCTCAAACGTTCATTTCAAATTTAACAGTTTACTAGATGAATACATATGTAGTCGCTAGCATGATTATTATTTTCCTTTCATCGACTTCACCGACGGCACATTCAAACTACGAAGATCTCTTATCAGCAGGAAATAACTAATTATCTAGATAAATACCAACTACGCATCAGATAATGCATACATTCAATCAGCAAACATCCGTCATGTGGGTATCTTTATGCTCTGTAATTTTTAAACGACGTTTTGTCTGACGATTCCCAGCATTATTGAGTAGATACGACCTTTTTATTAATAAAATAATAATTATTTGGTAAATTAACCAAATATTCTACAACGAGAACTTCTAAAATCTCACAGCACACATTATACTTTATCATTATCCAAAACAGCTCTAAAAAATAATTCAAAGCCAGAATTACCTGTATAAGTGCTACCTACGCACATTTAATCAGCCAACATCCGCCATACGTGTAGATAATTCTAAGCGATGTTTTACTTCACAATTTAAAGAAATGTATATGGTGATGGTAATATAAACATAAATCCGACATTCCAACATTACTACCTAAACCCTAAGCTTTTCTATAATAAGAAAAAAAAATATTACCACAAAAATGATTGCTCGTGCTCTAACCTCCTTTATAAAACGGTACCTTTCCATAGCCAAATGGATCACGGTGTGTCCCTTCGAATGGGAAGACTCCTCCCACTCGATTATCCTCCGAGGCCTCAAACACCAGAAAACCGTTAAACGTTGGCTATTTTTTCATCTCGTTTACGTAATCGTAGAAACATTGCTGGTTGCTGGTAAGGAGTCGGACCTCAGACAAAATTTCAGAATGCTCATGTTCCTCGCGGGGTATTGGATATGCATGGTTTTACGATTGGAGAAAAATGTGGACACATTGCCAATGGCGTTGCATAATTGGTGGATTTCAAAAAGTTCCAAGAAAGGTGAAAACATAATGTTTTAGATGTTAAAATCCAGGGCTTTCTAATTAATTGGTCAATCAAATTAATTATCTATTTAATTAACTACCATATTTGAACTAATTATTAATTACTAATTAACATTAATTAGTACTACTGAAGCTAATTCAAATTGCTAATTAATTATAAAATCACAAATTAATTGGTCAATTTTCCAATTAATTAGCTATTTAATTGACTTAATTAGCAACCTCTGCTTATTTACTAATTACCAATTAATTAGACAAAATATGTTTTTGCTAATTACCAATTACTAATCAAATAGACATGTGGCTAATTAAAAAGCTCTGTTTAAATTTCGCAAAAAAATACGACTTAGCATTTTTCTTTTTTTACAGAAACGAGTAACTATCAGCCCACCAGATTGGTGACTTTATGCAAACTATTCTTCAACCTGGTTGAGGCCTCAATGTGGGAGGTTCCTTTGTTAATGGCCACGGCGGGATATCTTTTCCCATGTGACACCCCGTTTCTAGGATCCTTTTTAACATGCTCATTTGGCTTGGGGAGAAATATCGTGTTTGAATTGTTCGTATTCCTGTTCGAATTTATGACTGCGTTGGCCATTGTCGTTGCAACAATTCATTACTCTTCGTACACACTGGTAACTTCGATTCTGATTTTGTACACGGAATGTAAATCGTTTTTGAACAAACAATTTGCCAATATTGGGGAATCGTTGGTTAGTTTTCGTGAATTACAAATTTTGGAAAAAGTGGTCAACAGCATTATTAGATGGCGCCTGCTTCCTGGTGTAATTCTAATTGTGCCAATCATACAGATTCTGGGTTGCTTCGAAACGGTGATGCTCCTTAGGAGGGTCAAGCTCTTAATTCAATCATGTTTTTCACAATTTACGTAGACAGCGTTACTTTCACTTTACTAATTTTAAGCCCAGCTGCTCAACTGTATGTGTCAACAGGAAAATGGTGGTCATCGTGTGGTAGGTTGGTTGGAAAAGGAAAGTATTACAGTAGGGTGGTCAGATCATTAAAACCGGTGAAAGTACAATTTGCAGACAACTTTGTGGATCATTTGACTCCATTAATGTTTCAGGAGTTTTGCGCCCAACAGACTGGTTCTCTACTGCTTTTTGCGCACTCACAATAAAAATGATAAAATGAACAATATATTCGGGTAGAATTTGCATTCATAATATATGTTATTTATAGGTTATTGTAATATTAAAATAATTATTGGCTGAGTTTTAATATACTTTTTAACAAGTCAACCCTGCATTAACAAAATTTTTCGTTGTTCACAAAATCCGAGATATGTGGTGAATTTTTTCCAACGAATCCACCTTATCGTGAATATGAGTCAACGCAAATTGCACACCAAAACTGTACAATTCGATCGTGGAAAAACTAATAGCTAACTTGCAATTATTTTGCATTATTCAACAAATTGGAAAACTGGGGTCCAAAATCGACGCAGCGAATAAATTCTAGTCTAAAATAATCTTTAAAATTATTTCGAGTCATACTAAAGCAAAGATTAGTCAAAATTTGAATTTATCTCAAAATTTGCAAAAAATTCGCACATTTTGGCTTGACGCGCAAAAACTACCTATCCGCCACCCCAATATTATTACGGATTCTTCATGTACGCAAAGTTTCAGCCATCAAACTCGAAAATCTTTAGAGCGCCGAAAAAACGCTATTTAATTGTATATATATATCTTAATTAATAAGCAAAGCGAAATATATAAGTAGCTTCTCGTAAAATTTATTTTATTTTTGTCCGGGTT